GGGCTCCTGGACAAGTTGGTTGGCCAGCCACGCCCCGGGCGGTAACATAGCACATATACACCTCGATTAAGCGAGATAGCGGACGGGGGTAATCCCAGTAAACGGCAGCTAGCTTGAAAGCGTTAGACGTGAATTTTTTAAAGGTACGGATAATTCCTTTAGGCAGTACGCTAGCTTTGAATAGTTAGATCCCGTCTTCAGGGATCACCGCCGTTAGGTATCTCGCTTAAATTGCGAGGTGTAGCACACCCTGGCCAATATAAGCCCCGTTTTTGGATGTATGGGCAGGCCTGAAGAAGCGTGCTTATTAGCATCGGAGCCGCCGTGTGATGGTGAAACTGCTGAAGTGAAGTCAGGAGCCATAAAGTCGGTATCCTAGGGGTGGCGCTTAGTTCTATCGATTGATCTGCTTTCGGTGCCTCGTGTCTGAACGACATGCTGTGTGATACACATGTCGTTTGATGAAAGCAAGGGCCATGGCACAGCAGCAGGCATCCGCCAGGAACAGGGAGCTCGTGCCAAAGAACATTCAATGATTCAACAGACGTGTGATGCGCCTCCAATGTCCCTGTTCCTTGTCCAGTATTATTATTACCACTGAACGCTGCATGCCGAGTCGTTCCAAGGAAAGGAAGGCGTGCATTCCAGCACAGTTCGCCGACCTGTTTCAGCAGTCACTACTACTGTTGTCGACTGCTGCTCTGGCTCTTCCTCTTGCTCTTCCTCTTGCTCTTGCTCTTGCCTGTCTCTCGTCGACTCGCTTGGTCTTCGCAAGGCCTGGAGCGAGAACGTTGCTTGTCCGCCCGCCACACTCACGACGCCAGAATCAGATAGAGACAACATGTTGTTCAGGAGCACACTTCTCGCGCTGTGCGCACTTGCATTTACCCACGCCGTTCCGTAAGTGGCGCAGAAATCGTCCCTTTCGCAAAGGCTAAGAGCGTGCAGGAGCCTGTACAGTCGTGCGGGTCCTTCCGGATTTGCTTGGGGCAACGATAAGGTCAGAGGGGTGAACATAGGAGGATGGCTGGTCCTGGAACCTTGGATAACGCCGTCTATCTTCGAAGCCGTGGATCCGGAACGGAAGACCATCATCGATGAATTCACATTGTGCCAGAAATTGGGTGCTCAGCGAGCTCGTGACACCATCCTCCAAAAGCATTGGGAAACATGGGTAGGGTGGGGAGACTTCAAAAAGATCGCAAATGCCGGATTCAATATGGTGCGCATCCCGATTGGATTTTGGGCATACGACAATTCCAACACTCCGTACGCGAAAGGCGCAGCACCATTTCTCGATGCAGCAATTGATTGGGCGAGATCTGTGGGATTGAAGGTCATGATCGATCTTCACGGTGCACCGGGCTCCCAGAACTGCTTCGACAATTCTGGACAGAAGTGCGAGCACCCTCAATGGACGACTGGAAACACAGTCCAAGCCACTTTGAATGTTCTTAAGCAGATACAGACCAAGTATGGCGATGCTAAGTACGACGACGTTATTGCCGGTATTCAACTCCTGAACGAGCCGCTCACACCCGTCCTCAACTTGGATACTGTTAAGAAATTTACTCGAGATGGTATGCACCCCAAGGATCACTTCAAACTCTGCAAATTCTGACATGTGAGAAGGATACGGACAGCAGCGAACATCATCTCCATCGCGAGTCGTTGTCTTCCACGATGGCTTCCAAAAGACGAGTGTATACAACGGCATGCTCACGCCATCAGACAACAATGCTCAAAACGTTGTCATCGACCACCACGAGTATCAAGTCTTCGATCTTGGCCTGATTCAAATGAAGCCAGACGAGCACAGAAGATTTGTCTGCCAGAATGCGAATGCTTACAATGGCGCTGACAAGTGGACCATCGTTGGCGAATGGAGCGGCGCCATGACCGATTGCGCCAAATACCTCAATGGCTATGGCGTGGGCGCTCGTTATGATGGCTCGTTCCCAGGCAGCAAGTGGGTGGGTTCATGCGCGGGCACTCAAAACATTGCTTCGTGGAGCCAGCAGTTCAAAGACGATACCAGAGGTTACATTGAGGCCCAAATGGAAGCTTTCGAGCGTTACTCCCAGGGCTGGATTTGGTGGAATTTCAAGACGGAAAATTCAGGTGCGCCTGAATGGGATGTCTTCGCTCTCCTCGATGCTGGAATCTTCCCACAGCCACTCACGGACCGCAAGTTTGGCCAAATTTGCACATAGTGCGACTAGGTCGAAGGTATCGGAGACGTATTGTATGGGCAATGCAGTATACCGCTCCCCTCATTCAACTACTCGATCGCTACGACATAATGATCTCGGGAGCATAATGGAAACAGGAGCATCTGCAAAAGAAGGATCAAAAGCAAAGCAAGCGACCAGCTAAGCAACAGGCTCACTGCACCGCATTGTGGGACGGACATGTGATGGACGGTAAACAGTAAAAAGGCGATTGGCATCGCACCTACTACAGATACCCGGCCTCGCCATCAGAGGCTCATGATTTCTTCTTGCTCTCATTTTGGTGGTTGTACAAGCAAGTCCACTTACCACGCAACATAGCACAATCTCGTAGTCTACAAGGAAAAGAGAAATATCGTACAGAAGCCAGGATGCGCATGTCCTTGATGAAAGTTGCTGACCACCATTCTTTCTGACAGTCGACAGTGCTAAATAACCTGAAAACCGCAGATCTCAAGCACTTTGTTCGCGAAGAAGGAAGAGGAGTCCGCTCGACAGTCGCACACATTATTGCCGAGACCTGGCGGGGTCAATGATCCCGAAGCGAAGACATACCACAAGATCTGACCTGTGACAAGCTGCCAACAACCACAGCCAAACAAAAACCACACGCCATACCTCCACAAAAGCAAAATGCCACCTCCAAGAACCCGATGGGCACTCATCACAGGAGCAAGTCCCGGCGGCATGGGCGAAGCCGAAACCTCAGCCTTCCTAAAACGCGGCATCAACGTCATATCAACATCGCTCGAAGCGGACAAGCAAGAAATCGAACACGTCAGTCCCAGCCCAGGCACTCGAGACGGCTTCCTCGTAATCCTCCATCTCGATGTCACATCTTCGAAATCTATCGCTGCGGCTGTCAAGACGGTTCACCAACTTACCGAGGGGAAATTGGATTGGTTGGTGAATAATGTAAGTATATAGATAAATAACATCGCCACACACACACACACACCTCTGAAGATTTGTTTGTTTATTTGTTGATGAGAGTGAAGGCAGGATTGGGATACTATACTCCCCTCCTGGACACATCCCTCGCACTCGCGAAACAGGAATTCGACGTCAATGTCTTCGGCCTTGTAGCCGTCACGCAAGCTTTCTTCCCCATGCTCCGCGCCGCGAAGGGTTGTGTTGTGAATCAAGGGAGTATAGCAGGTTTGCCAGGGTTTAATCGTCCTTATATGGGCTTGTATTCGAGTTCGAAGGCTGCGGTTATGAATTTGAGTGATACGATGAGGCTTGAGTTCAGACCTTTTGATGTTCGGGTGTGTACGCTGATTACGGGGCCAGTGAAGACGGAGTTTTTTAAGAATTTGCAGGGTGCTGAGGTGGAGGCGGATTCGGTTTATGGGGGGATTAGAGAGGTTGTGAATTCTAGGATGCGTGGGTCGTTGGGTGGTGGGAGGGGTCATGATCGGTTTGAGGTTGCGAATGCTACTGTTGAGGAGTTGCTTAGAGAGGATGTGCCGGTGTATGTTACGAAGGGGTATATGGCTGGATTGATATGCTGGCTGCACTGGTTGCTACCGACTTCGTGGCTGGACTCTTACAATAATAGGGGGAGCGGACTAGATCGTTTGAAGGGTTTGATCAATGGGGAGATTGAGGATGAAAAGTCTAAGTGATCGTAACTGCTAGCAGGTATCAAATGCATTAACATCTCAAGATTCGTAAAGCTGATCCACATAATAGTCGTAATATCGAAAGCCATTCCCTATCTCGAAGCACATCGAGTGAGCAGACTTCTTCAAGCCTCCTGTGAGGACTTATCGGACATTGCCTTCTCGACTTGCTGCAAGAGATCGAATCACGGCACCTGCGATCGCACCTCCTGACAAGCCGTTGTCGCCCTGGCCCTGAAGTTGTGGATAAGCATTGCTTCCATCTGGTGCTGTGGTAGTCAGGCTGACCGATCAGTCCGTGGACACATCTGGATTCTCTATAGTCGCGTTGAAGCAAGGAATGCTTTCATCAAAGGCAGCGGCATCAACATAAGTGATATCGGTACAGGCCCAAAACGGGCTTGTCTCTGTTCCACCGTCTTCCATGTAGAAAAACATGAACGTGGCATTGCTTCCAGCGGTGACGTTATTGGGCGGGTTCGGAGCGAGGATGCATGTGTGTCCGACATCAAGGACTGGATCAAGCTGCGTTGGGCTGTAGAAAATCTCGAAGTCTTCGATCTTGGCAGGATCTATGAACAGGCTAGTTTGAGATGACATTTCCGATGCAATGTGGAGTGGGTCACTCACTGTCGAGGTATGAGACACCAATATGCTGAGCGCTGGTCTCGTTCTGAGCGACCAAGGCCAGTCTTCCATTGGCTACATGACCGTCAGTGGGCTATATAATTGCATTTTCAGTCATTCTGGTCACTCACTCAAAGGAAACCCAGTCCGATTTCCCACACCGCTCGACGAGCCGCATGGAGGAATGTGATCACTTTCTGCTGACCATGGCCGGTCTGGTGGCCACATGAAAGCCGCTGGTCCCATTTCCGGAGAATGAGTTGTGTTTCGATTCTGTGCGGAGGCGATGCAACTCAGCAAGGCGACTGCAACAGCAGTAGTGGGCAGCATCGTGCTCAGATGGTTGGCGACGAGCACTGATACTCAGATATCAATCGACGTTTTGATGTCTTTGGTGTGTGAGTGGTCGAAGACAAGAAATGATGCGACGGAAACCGACAAGCTCACCGGGAAGGCGTGCATCGCTGCTGCCCATGGAAGGATGGCAAGAGCACATCGCATCTTGCTCGCATCTTGGCATGTTCGCACCACGGCTTGACATTTGACCGGCATAATACAATACTCGCGTGGCTGGAAGCAACAGCCTCAATCTGCTGGCTACTCGTATGGAAGAGCCGAGGACAGTCCATTCATTCGTGGTGAAATCGTTCTGCGCCTTCACCCGCCGCCGATCATTCATGTGCGTTCCCTTTTCGCTCCACCAAATAAAGCAAGGCCTTGTGTGGCTTCATTCTGGCTCAACACCTAAAGCAACAAGGACTTTGCATCGATTTGTTCTGATATATGCCTCCCGTCGACAAATAAATCCATTTACCAGCCAGACCAATCAGCCTCCGGCTCGCTGTCTGCTACCACATAACTCTTCACCCAATCGAAGTTTGCAGCACCTCTGTCCTGGACGAATCTGGCGTCGAAGTTTCGTGCTGCACGAGCCCATGCAAGCTTGAAATCGTCCAACATCCTGGTAGACGGCATAATACTCCCGTGCTTCGTCATGATTGCCTCCAACTGCTGCGTCACGCTGAGGACCATGCGTTGGGACGACGCCTTAGCATTCTGAGACAGAGCGGTCTCGGTCGAGCAAGTCTGATGGATTTTGTAAGACTTGTTGTCTTTCGCGATCTTCAGCTCAAATGTGACGGAATAATGTTCAGGTGGAGTAATGAGCAGCGATTTGCGATGGCATGTTAGCCGTATACTCTTGACCGGGGCCAAACGCTCTTTAGCATGGACCGATAGCATGTGGTTTTCTCCATTTGTCGCTGGGGAAAAGGTGAAGTACCTGTCGCGGTAATCATAGGAACCCGGCACGATCAAGGCCACAAGCAACCCTTAAATTCGAACGCCTTCCACGACTGCGATAGGGCTTGCCATGATATTGAAGAGGGGCGAGGGTGCTTCGTAGGCTCTTAGCGCTCTATGCTGTGGTGATGAACCACTTGAGGCCGCGTTGAGAGTCGATGGCGATGCTGACGAGTCTGTTTGTATGTAAGTGCTACGAAAGAACAAGTTAAAATATCATTATCTGAAGTAAAGCGGGTCGTGAGTCCGTGCGCTGTTACAGGCACATGCAGCCACATGTGAGACCTCACATGCTCCAGTCGTGTGATCCCGTTCAAGGATCATGGAGACCTTGGGAGAGGCATCTGTCGTTCTAGAATGTCTATGATCATATCAGCCATCTTAGCAAAATATCACCTCTCTACAACTTCGCCCCCACAGGCATGAACTTCATAGCCTGCCTCACACCAAGATCAGCCAGCACCTCTTCCGCACCACCAAGAATAGCATCGAACTTATACGTCCTATTAAACATTTCCACCACCTTACCCATACCGGTCTGTGTCAAACCACGTCCACCAAAGATATTCGTAGCATTATCCGCAACTTCATGTGCGCTTCTCGTGCAGAAAGTCTTTAGTAGTCCAATTGGTCCAGACAATTGCTTCGATTGCTGGTCGTAAGACATCTTGGTCATTTGATATGTGATGCTCTCGATCCAGGCTTGGTTGGCTTCGACGTTGGAAATCATCACGGCGAGCTTCTGTCGGATTACAGGCTGGTCGATGAGTCGCTTGCCGAAGACCTGTCGTTGATGCGCCCATTTGAGACACTCTTCTGTGACCGTGCGAGACCATCTTGCGACCATACCGGCCATCATGAAGCGTTCGTGGTTGCTGACAAGAGTGAGTTAGCATACGATATAATTCGGCATGACGATACAGACTTACAAGTTGGCCATGATGACCACAAAACCCTTGTGCTCTGGCCCAAGGATGTTTCGCTTGGGCACCTTGGTGTTGTTAAACTCGATGTATGTGGTCGCAGCGGCAGTGGAGTACGAAGTCTTGATCGGCTTAGTCTCGACAGTGTCATCGCGCTCGATAAGCAGGACAGTGAAGCCCTTGTCTGTCTTGCATCCGGTAACGAAGTAGTCGCAGAACATCCCGTTCGTGATCCATTTCTTGGTACCGTTCACGAGGTAATGGTCACCCTTGTCCTCGCAAGTCGTCCTCAGACCAGCGACGTCGGATCCTGCAAATGCTTCTGTGACAGCAAGACAGATCTTCTTCTTGCCACTAAGCACCTCACCCGAGACTCTTTCCCGAAGCTCGTTGTCCTTGCACCATTGATGCACAGCTGTGAGGGAGATTGTCATGCCTGCCATGTTTCCGTCTTGGAAGCCTCTCATGTTCGCCCTCACGATCTCCTGACTGACGATCAGATCGTGAAAGTAATCGTATTCCTCGCCCTTCACGACGCCACCAAAGATCTTGCGTCCCTTCAAGTGCTTGCCAGGACCCAGTCTGCATGCCAGGAGATTGACATCGGCCATCTTGTTGATGAGCTCTTGAGAAACATACGTGCCATCTTTCTCCTTTTCCGCCGCCTCCGGAACAACATGTGTATCCACGAATTCTCGCACAGCTCTTTGGAACTTCTTGTGTCCTTCAGTGTAGTATGGGCTGTAGAACTCTGGATTAAGCCAGAGTGGTTCTGCATAAGGCACGGTGCTGAGATCGCCTGGCTTGTGATCGATGGCTTCGGGCTCCTCGCCTTCAAGGGTTCCGATACACAAGGCCTTGTATTGCTGTAGAACTTCATGTCGGTGCAGGTTGTAGAAGGCTGCGGTTGCATCTTGGCCAGCGACTTGTCGGAGAACGACCTCTCCACCGGGGTGAGCGTCTAGGAAGTCTGAAACATCGTACACTTTGTGGTCGACAATGACCCAAATGTCGTCTTCCTCGGTGTGCTAGAGCGCAGTCAGTAATCTACTGATACTGTATTTCATGGCAAGCGTACCTTTGCTACTTCTTGCCGCGTCAAAGGGCCCTGCATGATGGCTATGGCGGTCTGTCAAGATGGATAGAACCACAGGAAGAGGAAAAATAGCAGTCTAAACAAGACATCTCGACAATGGCAGCCATTCTCGCGGCACAGTGTTGTTTGGTCTTTTGACCGAGGTTCGAAACGGAGGGTAATTCGCGGTTGCCAATTGGTTATTTTAGCGACACGCTAAGAAGGTGTATGTACTTTGCGCCGCGGCGATGCTATGCCTATAGTGAACAGAAAGATGTGTGCTATTCTCATGCTCGAGTCGATAGGGATGCTTTCCCCAGTTGCTGCTCAGTAAACGATTAAAAATAAAAGCAATGATCGTTGCAGATGGACTGTATTGAGAAAAGGGTAGACGGGCGGGTTCATCAATTGTCTGGCAGCTTTTAATAGCCAAGATGTGATGAGTTATGAAGACTATGGCTGCCCGTAAGGACCACACTCCTGGCATAATCTCTTCCTCCGCTGAGCTTCTGGGCCGCATAATCGGATTCACCAAAGCTGATAAGCTGGCTGCATCCAGACTCTGACCTCTTTCTCAACGTGAGGTGACAGGCAGTTGACGATAGCCTGCTTCAGATTGTGCTCGAAATGATGTGTTTTCGATGCAGTGAAGTCATGATGCCAGAGGTGGCCATCTCGTGTTGGTTGTCAACCGGATATTTTCTCGCCTGGCTTCAGGCGGCTCGATTGTGACTACTGCCACGTTGCGCCGGTGTGCCAGGTCCACTGATGGCGGAATAGTCTCCAGGTGCCCGCTATCAAAGTTCACATGCTCGTCGTCAGGAGGTCCCTATTAGTGTGAATCGTGATCTCAATTTTCGGCTGCAGCGGTTTGTGCCTCCGAATTGACCTTGTCGAACGCTCTGATGACGGGAATGCTGCCTCCGAAAGCCATGCCAGGTAATTGCTGCAGATTCTCCTAAGCTTTCTGCCACCGAATGCACTCGTGGCCCTTTTCAAGGAAGATGCGACCCTCAACGAACCATCATAGGGCGTTGTGGTGATCTTGATGCCAAACGTGTTCTGTGACGATATTACGCCCCCGAAAATCATCACTATCTTCCATTTTGCATTCCTGGCGGACCAGCCGGAGGACCTCGAACACCAGGCGGCGGGCTCATGCCCTGACCTTGACCTGGCCCAGAGTTGGGTCCGCCGGCTTGAAAGTTCGGAGGCATATTGGGTGGCATCCCAACAGGCGGCGAGAATGGCATGTTTCCGTGCGGAGAGTTTGCATTGCCCGGGAATGGAGGCATTCCACCTTGAGGATTGAATCCAGGCGGGAAGCCACCAGGTGGAGCCGGAAAGCCAGGTGGTAGCGGCGGCATTCCTCGTCCGCCTGGGGGCATAGGAGGAAATCCTGGTGGAAGAGGTGGCATACCTTGATAGAAGTCAGTATTCGTCGATGTTGCGCCAAATGTCGTGCTTACCTGGAGGCATCTGACCCGGGATGGGAGGGAATCCTGGTGGCATTCCTGGCGGTAGAGGACCAGAGAAGCCTGGCGGACCTTGGCCTGGTAGCTGTGGATTTGGCATAGGCATGCTCTGTCCTTCTGCCGCGTAACTGCTTGTGATGCCGTCTATTACTGCCTGCGCTTTCTCGTGTCCAATTTGTTGATAGTAATCGACTACATTTCGAAGATGGTTTCGACCGCTGTTGTGCGCTTTTCGCACGCTCATGGAGTCGTGCGTGAGGTAGACATCGCAGTAGTCGCAAAAGAATTTGGGCATTTTGACGGCTGCGAGCGATGGCGCGCTCGCGTCGCTCGAGGGTCTTGCTGGTGGCGTGCGGTTGTTTCGCCAGATATAGTGTATTCAGATATGCTGCGCAAATGTGTTGATGTCGTATCGCAAAGTCTCGAGGATTGGTGTGAAGTCACGAATGTTTGGTGAAGCTGAAGCTCAAATCAGTCGAGATGTCGGCGGCGGACTGGAAGCTCTTTGTGACAGGGATGCTGATCCTCAGACCGGCATGGCTAGGGAGGCCCATACATACCAGAGGCTCAATGCGGGGTTTCTCATACTTCTCACCGCTATTCCTACCTAATTCTTCGTGTTTAACCTTCTACGACTCGTACTATACTCGCTATCGACTCGTAGAATGCCTCTACGTATCGATTTATCGCTATAGAAGGCTTAGATAATATCTTAAGTCTACGGCGGCACTATACGAGAAGCAATCGTATAGTACCTTATATAAGAGACCGGTTGTTAGATATCTCTTAATATACTTAAACGAAGGCTTAAAGAGTAGAACATTAATTATAGCTACTCTACTTACTATTACCGAGTTAACGATATTAAGGCACTAAAGATCCGGGTCGTATATACCTTCTACGTTCTACGGTTAACTAATAAAGAGGCGGTTCGAGTACTATAGGCGGATAGGTTTAAGATTAGCTAGCGGAGATATTAACGGATACGTTAAGAGCTTAGATTAAAGAAGGCATTATTAATAGATAGATAGATAGAAGCGGAAGAATAGATAGTAGAGGTCTTATAGGAAGAGCTCGAGAAGTCTATAGTAGAGTCCTTTAGCCGACGGCACCTATATACCTATATTAGGTCTAAATACAATATTATTAGTAGAGATCGGCTATATCGTATAGCTTCCTTACTAAATCCTAAAGAGTTACGAGTCCGCCGCGAGCGGGCGCGAGAGCACTATAGAGCGATTATTATACCCGGCTCTAGTTACGCAATATTAATAGATGCTTACTATAAATTCGAGTATTAGGGGATATAGATCTACGTAGCGATTAATATTTACTCGCGTTATATTATCTAGATCTATATAGGCATTACTAGCCGGATAGCTATCTCTATACTAGCTTAATACCTTGCAACGATCCGGAATAGTAGTATAATACTATAGATTATTCGATTAGACCGTAGGGTAGAGACGATTCTAGCCGCGGATGCTTACTATAAGACTCGCCTTACGACTCGTAGTAACCCGGAACAACCGCTAGCCTTCGAGGACTGCTTTAAATATAGTACGAGTAAGATGAACTAGCGGATTAAGGCATAGTAGCGTTAGTAAGTACTTGTACTAAATAGCTAGAGAGGCTATTTCTACGAGTTACTACGCGAGTTACTATACGATACTAAACTGCTAGCGGATCGGATTGCCTTCCTTATAATCTATATACTAATTATACGTTATAAAGTCTTCGAATTTGTTTACCTCTAGAATAGCTATCGTATCCGGAAGTAGGCTAATCGACTATACGTTATACTAGGTATTCTGTATATTCTATACTATTATCTAGAGCTTAGCGGGCATTCTTATTAAGGTATTCCTATGCCTAACGGTGCACTTAATAATATAGAGTAAGACCTTTAAGGATTCGGTATATATTAGATTCTATAGTATAGACTCGCTATAGACTCGCTAATAGACTCGCTAATTCCTAGATCTTAAAGCCTACCTGCCCGAGGCTACGCTTTCTTAGTGTAAGACAGCATTATAGATTTATAGCTTCTCGTATCTAGTAAGTAGTAGCGAGAATAGCGATAATATAGAGCGCCTTTACCGCTCTACCTACTTACTTCTTCGAGGGTTAGCTAGGGAGCATATAGCTATAGGGTTAGAGCCGGAACTAATAGAGTTAGATAAGCTATTAGCAGCACGTAGTTAGTTAGCGGCGGCTCGGAATTAGAAAGCTAGGTTAATTAAGTTTGTAAATAATGTATACTAATCTCCGATCTACGAGCCGGCCGCGAGTATATAGCGAGTCGCTTTTTCTAGTTCGATTTTATCTATAACCGTTTTAAACCTCTGCTATTTCTATCTCTATTTATCTAACAACTAATAATGCCTACTAATTAGGGCACCTATTGCACTAAATTAGGCGTCGACTATACAAAGATATATAGTAAATACCGATTCTGTTTATAATACGGCCTTCTTAATCCCGATCTACTAAGCGAGCAATTTGTTCGCGAGTAATTAGTAGCCGCCGCTACTGCGAGTAGCTCCGCGAGTATAGTACGAGGCTTTAATACGTTCCCCTCTATACCTAAGGCGGCTAATGCTATACGTAATACTACTAGTTAGTACAAGCTAGCAACTCGAATACTAAATGCTAGATCTCGGAGCCTCTCGTAACGTCTACTAATACCTGCTTTAGCTTTAGCTTTAGCTTTATTAGACCTAAAAGTATAGGGATACTATTGCCGCTATTTGATCTATACTTAGTATATAGAAGTTAAGCTTACGAGTACAACTAAGACATAGTTCTATAGTAAACCTACCCTATATACTACTATTACGGATGCCTAGACTAACTAAGAATTCCTCGAAGCCGAGATAACATTTATAGACTAGATTGTCGACCGGATTAACGCCTACGAGCTACTAGATAGTAGTATCGATCGGACCTAGGACTATTTTAACTACTTCCTCTATATAGACTTTAATAAAGCAACTAATTAACTAGAGAAGCTAGTAAGTAAGGCGCTTCGATTACTTAGACAGGCTTTAACGGTCTACAAACTAGTAACAAAGTTATTATTAGTCTACGAGATTAAGCTCTATATCTAGACTAAGTAGGAGAAGTAGCAACAATAAAAGCGGAAACATCGGTTAAGTACTATTACTACGAGTACTAGTATAAGTAATATAGCGAGTTAGTAAAAGGTAGTTAATAGCATTAAGATTAAGAAAGAAAAGCTATAGACTAAGAAGGTTATCGATACGAATTAGCCGCCCGAGATAATTAACTTAAGCGGCGATACTACCGCGAGTATACCGCGAGGTACGCCTACTTCGAAAGAGTCGAGCGATTAGCAACCTACTAATAGATAGGCTAATAGCGGTAGATAGGCTAATAGCGGTAGACAGGCTAATAGCGGCGGAGAGGCTAATAGCGGCGGAGAGGCTAATAGCGGCGGAGAGGCTAAGAAGATAAAGCGTAGTTAACGACTAAAGAAGAAGAGATAGAATAGTAGACTCGTAGTAGACTCGCTATAGACTCGCTCCTTAAACATTATCTACTAGTAGCTCGCGATTGCTATTTAGCTATAGCTCCTTCTATATCGTATATATATCCTTAGACTTAATAATAGCCTTATTCTTAAGCTATTTAAACTACGAGAGGCAATATCCTTCTAACTTATCGAACCTAGCTTCTAATACCTTAATCTTTGCCTCTAGTTTAGTATTCTTTGCCTCTACGGCCTCGACTCGCGCCTATATCGCGGCTAGCTCGCTATTTCTATCGTCTTCTTTAACCTCTTCTATACTAGCCGTATAGCTAGACTTGCCCTTATACTTATAATAAGCGTAGACACGCTCGCCCTTAGTATTAAGTATACGATACTTAAAGTTATTAGAGCGTATATAGTAGTAGTATAGCGCTAGTACAAGCTTACTAGAGTCCGTTTCTATAATAATTCTAGTAGCCTTATATTTCCGTAGTCTATTTAATACCGCCTTCTTCTTATCCGATATCGCTATCTAATCGAGTAGCTCTTACTATATCTATGCGCTATAGTACTAGAAATCGTAGGTATTTATAGTCGTAGGGCGTCGAAGTCTAGAGCGAGTTAGTAGCGAGTCTATAGCGATGCGCCTCGCGACTTATAATAAATATTCTCCTCCTCCTACTAGTAAGTACGCTACTAAAGCTAAAGCTAAAGCTAAAGCTAATACTAATACTAATGCTAAAGCTAATACTACTAAAGCTACGCTAAGAATAAGGTCGCGCGGAATACTAGTTATAGCGGCTGCTACTATCGCTGTCGCTATCGGTATCGGTATCGGTATCGATAGAAGAAGAATATTGCGAGGCAAGGCGCGGAAGTGTAGCGAGTCTAAGTAAGGTTTATCGCGACAATAGGTATAGTAAGGTTGGTAAGGAAGGTGTAGGAAGAATAGGAAGCGACAATGGGCTAAAGTGAAGCCATTGAGCCTCTGGTATGTATGGAGCTCCGTCCATAGCCTACATTATTGCATGCATGACCACCTGCACTCTATCAAAGGTAGAAGGGTAGCTTCTGGCTTGCTTCTGCTTGTGACCACATACATCAGTCACTTGCTATACCAACTCTGCCCATAAGTCTAGGCGCTCGCAGTCATCCTTCAGCTCTTCCCCCTTTGCAGCACCTCCGCGATGAATAGAGACAGAAGACGATAGCATCTCCCGCTCCCATAATAGAATGCCTTCCACCTCTCCCGGCTCCTTGTCCCTCGATCTCGATGCGCCGACTGCCTTCTCGCTCATCTTGCCTGGCGCTCCGACCGAGTCTCTGCAAGCCACAACCACCTTCATCTACAGGTTCAAACGATACGTGGCATATATCGCTGGCAAGCAACTGAATATACTCAATGCACCGAACACGCTTGTTCAGGCAGTCACCTTCAAGCATGACCTGGTCGCGATAGCAGCACATGAAAATACAGGCAAGCTCAGCGTCGCGAGCAAGAAGGAGGCATGGGTATTAGAGCCTTTGACTGAAGGCTGGACAAGAGTCTGGTGGGAAACGTCATTGCTGCTTCGACGAGAGGATGAGGGGGAGGGCGATGAAGCACGCTGGCTGAGTTGGGGCCGTGAAGGGGAGCTGTTGGTGGCAGGTAGTCGACTGCTGGATCTGTTCTCTACTGGTCCAGCATCTCGCACGACTTCGCCACGAACTTCTGCCGTCGACGAGGAGACTTACGAGGAGAGGAGAGCGTTATGGTCCAAAGCTGTCGCGTCTCCCATCCGACAAGCAGAATTCAGTCCAAGCTCGTCTCTCATTGCGACGTGCTCTGAATATGACCGACTCGTCAAGATCTGGCGCAGACTGTCATTCGAAGACGGACTTTTCGACCACACATACCTACCACATCCAGGAGCTGTGACACATCTCCAATGGAGGCCGATACATGACGATTCTGAAGAACGTCGGATGAGTGGCATTAGCAGGAGACATGAGGAAGACCCCGAAGTACTTTACACGATTGCTAACGATGGCGTCCTTCGCGTGTGGCGCACTGGAGGAGTCCATGACATTGACATCTTGCTCCTACACACCTCCATCGATCTTGTCGCCGCCATCCCTGATTCTCCAAGTGTGTCTGCCAAAGGCAATTCTAACACAGTGAGGCCTGCACGATATGCAGTGATGATACCATGCACAAAATTTACTGCCGCAGTCAACGCTGCCCTTGGCATTTCTCTTGGCGGCAAGACAAGCCATTCCAAGGAGTTTCTCAAGGAGTTGGTTTCCAAAGACCTCGATGTTGTTATTGCATTTGATGGACAAGGAAGAATGTCAGCTTGGGGACTTCAGAGCATTGGCCACAAACGGCGGCCGGAAACTCCAACACAATTGCAACCGTACCACATCGCACACGCAGAGGGACTATCGATGAAACTTCAGAACAACACACCTGCAGTCAGCACTTGCTGGTTTCAGGACGACCGACTTCACCTGCTCTCTCATGCATTTGCCAAACGCGGCGAGGTCTCGTGGTGGCAGGGTGCTGTCGAGACTTTCTTCTCGCCTTCTGCACCTGGCGCAGACAGGCTATCAAGAGTGAGCAAGTGGACAGGTGCTGCTCTCTCCGAATGGGCTGTATCACAGCGACAGTCGTCGATTGACCTTCGCACGATCTGCAGCAAAGATGATGACGAAGTCATACACGCCATCCCTGTCACTCTTCCTTTCGACCCCAGTCAGAATTGCATCGTCAGCTTAACCAGAAGCGGAGTTGTGGCGTGTAGCTTAGTGCTTGAAGGAACGGCTCAGACCTCTTTCGAGCCTTTTGCTACGTTCGAAACCGAAGTGCCGGAACCTGGTGTGTTCGCTGCAAGTGCGGAGTTTGCCGCTCTCCTCTCACAAGACTTGACGTTCTTGACAATCATCGACCTCACGGACGGCTATCTTGAGCACCAGCAACAGCTTGACGCTTCTGCGACACATCTCAAGTGTTTTACATCCTCTGCGCGGAACAACTTCCTTGCTGTTGGCTATGATACTGTGGTTGACATTCTTGCCCAAGGATCGTACCAAGATCACGTCTGGCAGACCGTGAAGCGAGTGTCAATTGCTGGGCTTGGACTACAGCTGGAGCACGTTGCATGGACGATCGAAGGCGGTCTTGCTTTGACTGCCGGTAATGGGATCTTCATCGCTGGGCCCGAGATTGAGCTCAAACAGCTCGATGCTACCACTCAGCGGCGTGTAGGACCGGTAGAAGGAGAAGCAAAGATCCCTCTGCCGCACCTTGCACAACGTCTTAAACAACCATTACCAACATGGCACCCCACCGTCTTGGCCGACATTGTCCGCCATGGTCATTATACGACAGCATTGACTCTGATTGCGAAACTGGCTCGGCAGCTCAAGTTCTACAGCAGTGGCGATGATCTATCGCCAGTCCTTGATGAGGATGTTGAAGCGCTGATGTATCGACATGCCGCCTCTGAAATCTCAATTGGAAAGGATATGGTCGACGATCTGAAGGAACAGCTTGATGAGAAAGACCTGCCTCTTCTCTCATCGAACGAGCAAAAGCGCCTGGCTCATGTCATCGATGCTGTGGTCTACGTCAAAGATCATGTGAACGGCCTCGACACTAACGCGTTGCGATACTTGTTCGAATGGAAGTTGCAGATTTTGCAGCACCACGCCAATACAGCTGCAGCAAATGGCTCGCCAGAGCCAAATGGCCTCCCTCATGCATTCGTACCAGAGATGCAGTGGCGCGAGATCACCCTGGCATACCACAGCACCACACAACAACCATTGCTGGACATCCTGATTTTGCACCATGACAATAGAATGAATTGGCACGCCGCGCGGTTACTTGGCGTGACTACTTGGGTGAGAGATAGACAAGCACTGGAAAGCGTCTTTGAACAGCTCGGCCAGACTTCCTATCGCTCATCGCAGCCACCCGATCCTGTCAACGCGTCGATTTACTATCTCGCACTACACAGGAAAGCCACGCTACTTGCACTTTGGAGGATAGCGACCTGGCATCGAGAGCAGAGGACGACTGCAAACTTTCTCAAGCGCGACTTCCATCAAGCAGAAGCCAAGACTGCAGCAAGAAAGAATGCATACGCGCTCATGGGCAAGAGACGCTTCCACTACTCTGCTGCTTTCTTCCTTCTTGCTGACGATCCTGCTTCAGCGATCAATGTACTTGCTGGCCAGTGCGAGGACGTTCCCTTTGCAATTGCTGTTGCACGTCTTTACTGCGGCGATGGTTCTTCGACCCTTTCCAAACTGCTTGTAGACAGGGTTGTTCCGCAAGCAAAGAAAGACGGCAATAGGTGGCTCATGAGCTGGTGTCATTTCGTCTTTAACGAGCCTGTGAAAGCAGCAGAGAGTCTTGTCGAGCCGCTTGATGGCATTCGAAAGTGGACACAGGACGACCCAACAACGCTTATTTTGTATAAGCAGTTGAGAAACTTGCCAAGCACGAACGAGTACGACGCCGTCCTCAGGGCCGCAAGGGTGCTGAGAAAGAAGGGTGAATGGCTCCTTGCCCTGGACTTGGTGCAGCGCTGGGAGTTCAAGAGTGCTCAGAGTCAAGCGCGGCCTATTCAGGAGCCGCAGACCAATGGAGTAGTCAATGGATTTCATGAAGAATTGCCCGACAGGACTTCAGCCTCGACGCCCGTTCTCTCGTCTGAGCCGCAATCGCTCCTCGATAGCTTCGCGGAGCCGAAGCCAGCACAGCCGGTCAACGAAAAGGCATCTCGTGAAGCAAAAGCAGCCGAGCTCTTAGCCAAGCTGAAAGCGAGGAAGGAAGCTCCGATCGCATCTGCGCCATCAACAGAAAAGACGAAGCCGGAGCCAACACAATTCAAGGAACCTGATGCCAATTCTCTCTTGGATACTTTTGGCTTCTAGCGCTGCATCTCGTGTACATTTAATACTGATTGCTCTTGATAGCGAGGCGTCATTGGGGATCTTGCGGGTTGGTATACCCACCTACATTAGCAGTTATGTAGGCTTTTGCTCACGTAGAGCTTTCCTGTAACTTCTACGGACAGCCCGAGATCAGATAAGTTGTAACAAGAACGAAATCACGTTGTCTTTCCAGGATGGTGAGGCGAGTGAGAGTCACCCTTGAGGTGTCGGAATTGTCTATGCAATACATGTAAGTATCATTCAGTCTTGTCTAGCTACCACAACGCACAGATTTCCGCCTAAGGTTCAGCTTCCCTCTTCTCACTCGATGTATATCCGGGTGGTGGACCACAGCCACTTGTAGCACGCTTCCAAAGCGGACACACTTTCGCGTCGGCCTCAGCATCACGTTTCGATGTCGATGGATATGTCGTCCCGATCGGTCTGCATCCGTTGTCTAGCACTCTTCTCCAAAGCGGACAGACTTTCGGCTCGGCTTCTGCTTCTCGCTTTGTTGTCATCCCGATGGGTTTACATGTTCCTGGAATAAGAGTTCGTCTCCAAAGTGGACAGACTTTCGGCTCTGGTTCTGCTTCACGTTTCGATGCCGATACTGAGACCGTTCCGATTGGGTGGCAGCCGTTATCTAGGACTCTTCTCCACAGAGGACAGACTTTTGGTTCTGGAATTGCGGAGCGTCTTTCGATGTCTTGGTTGGATGGGCTTCGTGTGACTAGGTCCGCTGAATTGGGAGATGGAGTTGGAAAGGCGAAAGCTGAGCCGATCAGGGCGAAGACGAAGGTTGATTTGAAGAGCATTTTGGTTGTTGGTGAATGGTATGTATGGAAGAGACTACTGTCGTTGTTAGTCGTCCATGATCGTATTAAGGCGTCGGTATATGGCAGTACTTATTACAGGCAAAGAGTGTAGTATGTCGAGCCGCGCTAAAAGGAGACTAAGAAATGCGAACAAGCAGGCGACGAGCGCGGCGAAGCAGGTATAATAGGAAGTCACCCTTACTTAGGCGCGCCGCATACGTACGCCTTGCGCACATGTTCGACTGTTCGAGCTTGTTGATTGACCAAATAGGCACCTTGCGCAGTAGGTTTCCGGCCGTTTAGCATATGTAAGAAGCCGCGAATAGCGCCGTTTTAGCGCCGGAAAGTGAATAATATAGATAACGGTCCATATAAGGTTGCGTAGGCAATTTGGTAGCGTTTTATAGTAGACTGCTTAGTAAGCAACCTCGGTACCAAGAGGCAGCTAGGGTCGTAGACCTTACTGTAATTAGTGCTATAGGTTAGATGTTAATTGCTACGCTATACTATAGAAGAATACGACTCGGACGGCTTCTTAACTAACGAGGATATTGTCGCTATCTATAGTAGAATACTAGTAACAACCGCGGCTATATTAGCCTCCGAAGTAGACTATAATCTACTAGATCTAGCGGTACGCCGAGACGGTAAGACTAAGCGTAAATACTAGCATAGACAGGCTCGTAATAATAGGCTATATAAAGCGCTACGAGAATATCTAAAGGACAAGGAGTGGTTACTAGAAACATACCCTAAAGCTAACTTCTAAGGTAACTTCCGCTTTACTAAGCAATAGGTGTTAGAATTAGCCGATTTGCTAGATATTAGGTCTATTATATTGCCTTACCGCATACGTTGCGACCCTATAACAATACTATGTATTGTATATAGAAGGCTTAGCAATCCGGGTTATTAAAGGAACCTAAGCTAGACCTTTAGTCGTAGTAAGGGTTAGATTAGTCGTATATTCAATGCCGCCTGCACTTAAATAGCAAGGAGGTAGAAGGAGCGATTAGTATAGGACTTCAACCGGCTAAGTAAAGAATACTTATAGCGGATAGCCGTTGCGGTAGCTAGACTAATTAATATAAAGGGTGTCTTTAGTTATATCGATAGTACCTTACGGAAGTGCTATAGGCCGACTTATAACTAGCGGCCGTTCTATAATAGACACAAGCACTTCTATAGCCTTAAATATTAAGGCATTGTCCTTCCGGATAGTATAATATTGCTATATAGTCTAGCACCTAGCTCCTACGGTAATATAACGTTAATAATAGAGAGCAAATTTAACGAGGTATAGAAGTCGTATTTCGAGGTACTTAGACAGCTACAACGACCCTTCGAAGAACGGGTATTCTTATATAGTAACTAGGCATATAATGTAGTCGATAGCGTTATAGGAAGCTAGAAGACCGTAAATAGCGAGTTTCGTAATGCTAGCGAGGCTACGGCGGCTAAGGAAATAAGTGCTATACGGTAGTCGGTAGAATAGGGGTTTGCTAAGGTAGTTAATAACTTCGAGTTAATAAAGTACTTCTATGGCCTACGAGTCGAGTTAATGCTAGTCGGAGCTATGTATTTAGTCGCAACACTGCTTACTAATTGCCTAACTTGTTATCGTAGAAACAAGATTAGCCGCCTATATAAAACTAGGCCGCCGAGTATATATAAGTACCTCGCCAATCCACCGCCGCTACTACTACCTCTAGTAGCTTAACTAGCCGACGGTGACCTTCTACGCTATAGTAGGGATTTTAGAGCGGGTTTCTATATAGGTAAAGAGGCGCTCGATAGCGGTGTTTCGTTTAGATATAGTCGTACGGTCGTACTAGAGCATAAGACTAATAAGATTGAGGTTATTGATATAACAGATATAGATTGAATAATAATAGAAGATAGTAGAACTGTTGAAAACGGGTATACCCGTACTAGCGCGTAGTATACCGTAGATAATACTTTGCGACCTTAAATATAATAATAACATTACTATTTTTCTAACCTATTACTAGCCCTATAATCTTTAGTATACGGTGCGTTAAATAATCTAAAAAAGAACGAAAACGACCTATACGTTATCGCGTAGTAAATCGTAGAAGATTGAAGCCCGCTTACTAAGCGAGTAAAGGTCGGCTTTCCGCCTTACTTCGAGCTATATACTACGACATACACTATATTTCACGCCGCCCTCTTAGCGATCGAAAGCGCGTTCTACGACCGAGTTCAAACCCCGCGATTTGTATAGAAAACAACGGTCTTAGCACTCTTATACCGAACAAGACTGCGATTTCGAAGAGGTAGCTATAAAAGAAGGATACTAACTAAGTAATTACAATATACGATAACAAGATAGACTATAGTTGCTTTACCCTAACACTAATACCGACCTAATATATTAAATTATCTGCGAGAATACCTTATCGTCGAGAGTATTAAGGTCTACGAAGCCGTCGCTATCGTCGTCGTTGTCTATCGAGTCCGTTTAACTGCCTATAACAATGTTATTAGAAGGAAGCTCTATTTGAGACAATAGTAACGGCCTTAACGGTAACGAAGCGGTTATCGTCGCCTATAGGGCTTAAATACTAGATTAGATAGTATTAAGTTAACGTACTATCTTTAGTTTAACCTCTTTTACCGCCGCGCCTATTACGGCGCTTAAGTCGCCTCCGGCGCTTACAAATCTAGTAGGACTTGGTGTATTCGGCGCCTCGCTAGCGGCGCTAATAATAGAGACACTTAAAGACTCGAATAGCGACCTAATTCTGCGTCTTAAGCTACGGCCTTTAGCTAGTATCCTTAGCGTATTAAACATAGGCGATAGTACCTCTTTAAGCATAGCTCCTTAAGCCTACGACCCTCTCTAAAGCCGTTTAGACTCGAAGTCTAAGCGACGACGCTTAGTAAGCTAAGCAGTATTGCTATCGGCCGTACTTAGTATAGATAAGTCGATAACTTCTACTCTCTAGATAGGCGTTATTAGAGCTACCGCTAGAGCCGCCGCTAGAGTCGCCGCTAGAGCCGCCGCTAGAGCCGCCGCTAGAGTCTAGTTGTTGCGCTAAGACAGCGTCGATAGTATAGCGTTACGTATATTCTTAGTAGGGTAGTTAAATGCCCTCAATTCCTTAGTATTTAACACCTTCTTACGCTATACCTTATCTAGTCGAAACAGTGTCTCTATAGCCTAGTTAAGAAGCTAGTCTTAAAGAGTCTCTATAATAACTATACCGGAAGCCGCTTCTAACGGTCTTCTAGCAACAACTCGGCGCTTAATTATAGCCCGATAAGCCCTTACTAGATTACCGAGTGTTAGCTTACCTATCGGCTAACTAGCAAGAATAATGGCCTTAAAGCTATTGTTCTACTTACGTACCTTGCTAGTTACTCGTTTATAGGCTGTTATAGTACTAACCTTAGCAAAGGTAAGCTCGCCGTCCGAAGAGATATAGCTATTGCTATTAACTCGGATATTGCTATGCTCCTTAGCGACAGAAGCGGCAATAATCTCGTCTTAAGAAGGTCTAGAGTTAACTAAGGTTTAGCTATTAGTTTGACTATCGGATAGAGCGCTAATTAGTATAGCAACTAGCGCTAGAATTAGCGTAGAAATAGACGCCGTAACTAGCGTAGAAACAGACGCCGTAACTAGCGTAGAAACAGACGCCGTAACTGGCGTAGAAACTAGCTAGATTGGCGTAGAAACTAGCTAGATTAGCGTAGAAACTAGCTAGATTAGCGTTGAAACAGGCCCTTAAGATAGCGTAGAAACAGACTTAATTAGTATAGAAATAGGCCTATTAACTAGACTAGCTGCTAAGTAATAGGTTAGACTATATAGTGCTAGTTAACTATAATAGTTACGGAAGGTAGCAAGTAGTATATATAGACCTAAGCGAGGGTGTAGATCGCTCCGCGAGAAGTCGAAACCTAGATTAAGGAGGGCGGTAATACTAGGCAGGGTATGTATTAGGGTTACTAGAGCCGCTATAATGCTTAGAAGGGCTAGTTTGCTAACAAACACGGTAGTCTAGGCATCTATAGTGCTCTTAGAAGCCTAATATATGCCTCTCTTAAGGTACGGACTAGTTCTAATTACAATTACTCTCTACCGAGGTCTCCGTAGCTGTTCCTATAACGGCTCTTAGAGTGATTGTATATAGGCTACTAGACCTATATAACCCTTAGCAGCCGCCTAGCGACCTTTACCTACCTCTTGCTAGACTTACCGTTTTTATATATATATATAAGGAGTGTATAGTAGCTAGCAGGTAATAGCTACTATACTAGAAAACTAAATTTAATAGAAGGCGGAGACAGGGTTTAAGCTATTTAGCTAAGGATTTAGCACACTCCTTTATTTAACCACTAACGGCCTAGCGCAGGGTCTAATTAGCGTATTTTCCTTTATATAAGGGTACACGGTTGACTGCACGAGCTCGTGCAGTTACCCGTGCTTTTATTCACTTAATCCTTTACGCACGGATAACTACACGGAGCTTATTCACATGTTAAGGCGCTAAGGGGTGCCACTGCCGCGTGCACGGAGCGCAACTGCCCTTCTAAACCTACTGCGCAAGGTGCCTAATAATCTCGTCTATCAAAGGCACAGGACGTTGGAACGTTAGCAGTTGTGAACTCTGATCGTCCCGTGTCTACCCAAAACCCTAACTATTTATCTCTTCTGTTTCCGAGATCTTAAGCTCGAATATGGCGAGACGCATAGCAATGATAAGCAACAGGGCTGCTCTTGTCGCGTATCGCAAGTTTATGTTGTGTATGTTATTCAGTGATAAGAAACGAGGTTTCAAGGAGTGTTGGCCGTTAGAAATCACGAATCCTGCTGCCGGTTCTCATGCCCAACTTGGAGGACAATGAGATCCGTGCGTCATGCAAACGCCACCACGACCAGAACAGCGATGGATGGGAAATGGATCCTTTGATGATAAATCGAAAGCTGTTGCCGGACTCGGATACAAATGCAGGAACTCTACAGGTGTGCAAATGCTTGCGCCGAATTCCCGAAGCCATTGATGAAATGCTTCCCCAGCAGGCGGTGTTGACTATACAAACATGTACATCGGACCTGCCTGCAAAATTTGAGCCCGACGACATTGAAAATGAAGGGCCGGTCTGCGCTCCTGCGGGCTTCGGAACGGCCTTATTAAGGAGACGCTGAAGGCTGAAGTGAGCAACATCTTCGTCCTCATTTTCAGGCCTGCCTTGCAAGCGGATTGCGTTCATTTCCGCCGCTGTCAGATGCCGGTGCCTTTGAGACGACCGTGTCAGGAGGAGGTCACCGCTTTCTGAATGTGGTATCTATGGCTTCCTCCGAGTGGAATACTTAAGACAGTATTGATGGTTGTACCGAACTCCTCTGCGAGAATGGCGCATCTGCATTGTTGTCGATCCTTCTTGCGTTGCCTTTCGATAGTCGACTGTGTCTCCAGATGTTGTTCAAAACTATTGTCCGACCTGGATCAAAGGAAGAATTGGACAGCCTGATTGCTTGGATGCGGGAAAACCTTCGAAAGCTACCGTAGTGGCCATCGAATCCACCAATATCGCTACACAGTCCGTATCGTATAGAGACCCGTGGCTTCGTCGTACCTGTTGCATGGGTGAACTTCCTTGTCAGCAGCTCTGCCGCAGGTAGCTCGGAAAATCTGGAAGGTCTCCAATCGCAGTCTGTGAGAGTCCGAGCCGTCCATAGGTTTCACCCTTGCCATCGACGACTTCGAGTGTGAAGCGAAACATGCCACCTCTGTTGGCTTTTCTGGCTGAAAGGAAGTGGTGCTCCTTGCCCTTGGTATGCGTGGGCAGTTTGTGCCTGGTGTGGTCGGGAAGTGTGATAGGATTACGAGGATTTGACACGTTCTAGCGTTGATCAGCGTGCCAGAGTAGCAAGGACAATATGTCTCGTTGTCTCCATCGTGGGATCATGTTGTTGCTTTTCACTTGTGGGAGGAGAAGAACTTCAAGGTGTTGCAACACCAAGGCGTTGATCACGAGAGCGCGATGGCCCATTTGTAAATACGAGACGCGTGTGCAATTCAATCTTTATTCGTTCTCTCGTCATCTTTCGTGGACACTTATTCATATTTTCACCTCAGCAGGCAGACTGACTTCCATAATGTCCACACCCTTCGTAATGTCGCTCTTCTTTGGCATCTTTCCTTTTAGCATGAGCTCAGCACTTTGTGTCATGTATGGGTCCTTCATCATGCTCGCAACAGCGACAACCTCTTCACCCTTGGTGTAGTATGCGATAAAGCTCTGCTTGCCTTCGCTGACGTCGGTGTTGCCTTGGATGATCACGTCGTCAAAGCCATTTGGTGTGTGGCCACAGTATCGAAGTTGGGCGCCGAGAGCTGACCAGAACACAGGAATAAATGGCTTGGGTTTTGACGACGGGTCGATGATGCTGCGAGCAACACTTCGACCGGCGTTCTGCGCAACGTTCCAGTGCTCAATTCGGACTGGCTTGCCGTTGCCATCAGGTCCATGGTAAGGATATGTCGCAATGTCACCAATGGCCCAGACGTCCTTGACGCCCTTGACGGCGAAAGACTCGTCGACAGACACAGACTTGTCTTTCTCGAGTGCTATTGAGCTGTTTTGGAGATAATCTGTTGAAGGTTTGACACCCACCCCGAGCACCACAAGGTCTGCCTCAAGCTTTGAGCCATCCTTCAGGACAACGGCACCAATAGCACCATTCTTTGAGCTCTTCTCTTCTCCCTTCTCGACTGAAGCGCCCATGTGGAACTTTACGCCATTCTTCTCAAGTAGTTTTCTGAAGATACTTCCGACCTTGTCGCCCATGACACGCTCCATGGGTTCGCTTTCCATACCAACGATGTGGACATCATGCTTCTTACCAGCGAGTGCGTTGCCGACTTCCATACCGATGAAAGAGCTACCGATAACAACGACCTTCTTGCCGCCATCTTCGCCGGCAGCCTTGAGGATAGCTTGTACGTGTGGTACTGTTCGGAGAACGAAGACATTCTGCAGATCGCCTTTGAGACCAGGTAGTGGAAGCTGATTGGGTGTGCCACCAGATGCGAGGATGAGTTTGGAATAGCTGAAGTCCTTGCCCTGCTTTGTCTTGACTTTCCTGCTGTCAAAGTCCACAGAGGTGACAGTGTCCGTGATCATGTCGACATCAGCGTCTTTGTAGTTTTCTGGTGTTCGGAGTGCTAGCTGAGATGCATCACTGATCAAGGCTTTGCTGAGCTTGGTTCGATCTATGGGTGTGTGGTCTTCTTCGGCAATCGTGACAATCTTGCCCTTGAAGCCTCCAGCACGGAGGCTATCGACTGCACCGAATGCACCACTGCCGCGACCAATGATGACCACTTGGTCCTCCTTGTCTTGTGATTGACACTTGATGTTCAGTGTCCGCCTGTTGGCCTTGATCTGCTCTTCCGTTCCCTTGATGTACACAGCACCATCCCTCTGCACGATCGCGAATTGGTGCAGCGGGTCAATCGCAGGAGCGTCCTCGATATCGCCTTGAACATTGAAGCAAGCTCCGTGCCAGGGGCACGTTAATCGACCATCAGGAGTGAGCACACCTTTAATCAGAGGAGCACCGTAATGGGTGCATTTCGGGGAAAGAGCATGGACCTCATTGTTTACTTTGGCGAGAAGGACCTTGCCCTCTTCAATGCCTTCGACCTCAGCCTCTTGCATCTGACCATTCTTCAGTTCAATGCTGTTCACCTTGAGCTTGAACTCGGTCGCCATGGTTCGGATCGTGGCCGTGGCCGAGAATGCTGTGGTTGGAGGAACGAAGATGGTTCTGTCAAGCGGGCGTCGCAGTCGAAAGGACGAGACGAAATGGCGTGCAAAGGACATGAACAGCAAGTCCTCCTACAGCACTGTTTCTTATCAGGAGCAGACCAGCATACTGTATACTCGTCATCCTCCAATCATCCCGCGCCTGCTGACCGCGTCCAAAGTGACGACATTGAGTGGAACCGTGAACGGGACGGAGAGGAGTCCGGACCAATCATTGAGAATCATTTCTAATACGACTCTCATACTATGAGGCAAAGGAAATGCAAGCAGTACGTCAGAAGATGCGACACCGACACGTGAAGTCGAAGAATTGAATATGGACGTTGGGACAGCTAATAGCTGGCCCGTCTGGCATCTAGCAGGCGCATCTCACATGCTCTTCAGCTGCCATACTACTCTTTCCTGCCACCTCTTCTCCGCCACTCCACTTCATATCCTCTCAACAGCATTCACGCCGAGCACTGCATCTCGACTCCGCGCATAGAGAGGCATAATTCCCGTCCACAGCCGGAACTGATGCACGCCCTGAGCAGTCAATGCCTCAAGCCCACCTACCCTTCTCCACCCGCTAGCTTCCGCCATCTTCATCAAATTCGTCACAGAAGGCTTGTACGCCATCTCCAGAAGCACCTTTCCGCGATTCGCGGCCACCACGCCTGAAGCATTTGCGCTTGTGGCGCCGACTTCAAAGATCGATTTCAGGTTTGCTTCCATCACGGAGTCGATAGGCAGATCTGCAGGAATGGTGCCGATGGCAACGACCGGCTGCTGCTCGGTAGGTATGCTTGCGACATCTTTTGCCGTTGCAAGAAGCTTGATGTGGTAGTCTTCAGAGAAAGACTGGGTCAGCTGTCCTAGCTTCTGCTTGTTGCGTCCAACGAGATAAATTGGCGAGTATCCCATCTGCTTGAGAGCGTAGATGGCGGCCCGAGCAGTGCCGCCACCCCCAATGACCATTCCAGAGTCCTTGAAAACCCCATTGCCAGCTCCAGCACCAGCGTTGCGAAGAGCAAGGACCATACCTTGCCAATCCGTGTTGTGGCCTACCAGGATGGTCTTACCTTCGGCCGTCTTCGTGGGAACAATCGTGTTGACAGCACCGATTGTAGAGGCAGCAGAGTCAATTGAGTCGAGAAGAGGCATGACATCCAGCTTGAGAGGAATCGTTACACTGCCGCCCCCAAATTCTGCACTTCGGATAATGTCCACAGTCGTCTTGATATCATCAGTCTCATGCAGGCTGTAGATGTGAGGCAACCCAGTCAAGTCAAACAGTGTGTTGTGCAACGCAGGAGATCGTGATTGTTGGATCGGCCTGCCAAAAAGATAAAACTTCTTCGCGGGAATTTGCGCCACAAGTCCGAGCACCTTTCTGATCTCTGCAGCAGACAACTGTCCAGGAGCAGCTTTGCTCGGTAATGCTGGATGAGAGACCGGGGTCATGAAGCCGTTGGTGACACGGGACATCTTCCCTAGCTCACCCATATTCAGGGCAATGACAGGTAGGTCTGGGTATAGGAAAGCCATGTCCTTCTTGAAAGCCTTGAGGTCATCATTGTCATCGAAGGACTTCGCAACACCGACAAGCTTGACAATATCGCCATATTCGCAAGCGGACTCGAAGTGCTTCCGCCACTCCGGCGCACCTTTCGACCAGGCCAGAGTTGCCTCAGGGTCGTGATGAGAAGCAATGATAGTGCACATCTTGCGATGCGACAGCACGTATTTCTTGACCTCCACCGGAGCCGTGAGCTCAAGATCCACAAAGTCAAAGCCCATGCGAAGACCTTCGCGATAAAGCTTAATAGCCAGATCAAGATCATTATCCGGAAAGCGCCCACCTTGACTGACGGAGCGCAGCGTGAAGATCAGCGGGAGAGTCGAGCTTGAACGAAGCAGAGCGACCTGCTCGATGAGGAAGTCAGGCGTCGGCAGACCATTCTTTGACTTGGGGTCAACCAGAAGATCTGCTCGCAGTTCTATGGCATCGGCACCCATAGTAACCTCTGACAGGACGGGCAGAAGCTGCTGCACTGTCGGACTCGTCAACGCGATGAAGAATGAGTGCTCCTTGCTTTGAAGCTTTTCCAAGGCACCACTCCTTCCAGTCATGGTGTTCAGGAACCTGCTGAAGTCGTCCAGAGGGCTTGTCCATCCTGCAATAGCAGCACTCTCATCGACAGTCTGGCTGTGATAATGCAAGTTGGAGCACTCCTCAAACCACGGCTTTCGTCGTAAGTAGACACCCATCATGTCTTCCACGTATGCCGGTCGAGTCTTGTCAATCTGAAGGAAGTCCATGATAGCCTTGATGTCTCGTGTGACGTAGAGAACCATGCCGTCCTTCTGCCAGTCTTTAAGGATCTCTCTGCATTCGGGCGTTTCAACTATTCCACCACCTGTGGCAATGACATGACCCTCTCCCTTTTCTTGAGTCATGCGCTTCAATAGGTTCAGCTCGCGCTGTCTGAATCCAGCCCAGTCGTTGTCTTTGAGCATCTCTGGTATAGTCATACCTTCTTGCGCTTCAAGCTCGGTGTCCATATCAAGGAGTGGCCAGCCTAGGATTCGAGATGCCCAGCCACCAGTTGTTGTCTTGCCGGCGCCTCTCATGCCAATGATGAAGATCGATTTCCTGACTTCTCTGTGCGACTTGCCATCACCGTTCACGCCATTGGCAGTGCCATTCGTACCATTCGTATGAGGCTGGTCAAGCTGAATACCCTCAAGCTCTACGCCAAAGATTTGATGTAACTGGTCCCACCAGCCTGGCCATGTCTTGCCTACGCACTCCCGCTCGTCGCAGATTGTGCGCTTTGGTGCAACAGCTCCAAGCACGCTGAAGCTCATTGCCACACGATGATCATCGTAGCAGTGAATTGGCTGACGCGGAGCTTTGATGCCGTCAAAACCGACGCCGTCGATCTCGATACCATCGTCCAGCTGGCGACAGCTCACACCAAACTTTGCCAACTCATCCTCCATCGCTTGGATTCTGTTGCATTCCTTCTGTCTCTGGTTTGCGATGCCGACGATCCTTGTCGTTGCACCGTGCTTGTTGGGTTTGGCAACCGCAGCCAGTACAGATGCGGTCAGGAAAGCATCAGTCATGGGCTCCATGTCCACTTCCGGAAGAGGAATTAGCTCGCCAGGTGGAGGTCCAGTAACAGTCGTGCTAGTCTCAGTTTGCTCAACATGGCAGCCCATTGGTCTAAGCACATCCACTGCGAAACGCGCATCGCCTTGCAGTGAAGCAGATCCGATGTTCGGTACGGTGCATTTGGTGCCAGTGATTGCAGCCATCGCAAGCGGATATGTGGCACTGCTTGCGTCTGACTCGACCTCATACTCTGCTGGGTTCTTGTATGGCTGCTTAGGGATGTGGTAGACATTGGCCTCGGCCTTGCTTCTTGTGACGTGCACACCAAAGGACGCCATCATTGCGATGGTCATGTCAATATAGAGCTGGCTGATGACCTTTCCGCCAACCAGCTTCAAGGTGACTGGCTTCTTGGCGTAAGGCGCAGAGATGAGGATGGAGGAGACGTATTGCGATGAGACTTTAGCCGTGAGCTCGATCTCGCCTCCCTCGAAGCCACCGGCAGCAGCAATGCGAAGGGGAAGTGATTGGCTTCCTGGCTTTCCCAAGTACTCCATTTCCATGCCGTTTGATCGTAGAGCATCAACCAGCGGGCCTTGAGGACGTTCTTGCATGCGTGCATTGCCTGTGAGAACCGTATGCGATGCGTCAGTGGTTGGCTGCGCAAGCGTGAGGGCAGTTGTCAGGAAACGAGAAGCAGTGCCAGCATTGCCAATGTAGATTTCACTGGGCGAAGCTTTCAGCTTGCCGCCATTGCCTTCAAGCACAAGGATACGGCCTTCATCTTCCCAGCTGTACTTTGCGCCTTGCAAGCTTGCGATTGCGGAAAGCATGTATTGCGTGTCATCCGAATGCAACAAGTTGCTGATCTTGCATTTGCCCTCGCCCAGAGCAGCCATGAGCAAAATCCGATTCGAAATACTCTTGCTTCCTGGTGGCTTGCAGGAGACGTCTAGACCTTTCTTCACGCCGGGCTTGACAACGATCGACGGGCACAGCACAATACGCAGATCTTTGTCGTCCACTTTCGTGGCAGATTGCTCGTAACATCGTCCAATGGCAGCAAGTATCACAACCTTCTTCTTTGACCCGGCATTCTTCTTGTCCACAGCCATGCGTCTCAGAAGCTCTTCCGGGTCGCAATGCTTGCTTGTCAGCTTTGTAATGAGCTTGTCACCAAGGCTTGTGGGCAGACCGTAGCTGGCGATGCACTTTGTCAATCTTGCAACTGCGCCAGGAGGCAGAATTCCAAGGTATCTTGACAACTCTGCTTCGGCCACCATGCCCACCGCCACACACTCTCCGTGCAGGATCTCGGGTGTCAAGATTGCTTCGTATGCATGGCCGATGGAATGTCCGAAGTTGAGCAGGTTTCTCAAGCCGCCCTCTCTTTCGTCGGCACTCACGACGCCTGCCTTGATCCTTGCAGATCCGAGCACAATTCTTTTGAAGACGTCCTCAATTCCTTCGAACCTTCCTCTTCCTAGTGGTCTCTCAAGTGCTGCCATGATTGCATCTGCATTCTCTTCCAATCGTTCAAACTCTTCATAGTCCCAGATTGCCGCGGTCTTCACGACCTCAGCCATTCCATTGCAGACCTGTCGCTTTGGAAGCGTCTCTAAGAACTGGAGATCGATGTAAATTCTCTCCGGCTGCCAGAAAGCTCCGATCAGGTTCTTGCCCAAAGGTGTGTCGATTGCGGTCTTGCCTCCAATACTGCTGTCGACCATAGCAAGAAGCGAGGTAGGAATCTGCACGAAGCGAACACCACGCATGTAGGTTGCTGCGACAAAGCCTAGCAAGTCGCCCATGACGCCTCCTCCCAGCGCGAGGATAACTGTGTCTCGCGTGCATCCTTGTGCAAGTAGCCAGTCTTCGATATCTGCTTTTATCTGGCGACTTTTTGATCCTTCTCCAGGCGGAACAGTGTCATGAATGAGCAGTCTGGTGTCCTTCCCTTGCCTCTTTTTTTCTGCTTCGAAGCTCTTGACGAAATTGGGTACATAGTCGAGTTTTGCGAGGTTCGAGTCGCATATGATGACGTACGTGGACGAAGCGATGTTTGCAAGGAGGTCGTAAGTCGCATAGTTAGGCCAGAGACCATAGTCGACCACAATGCTGTCTTTGCCCAGGATTGGGACTTTTATGGCTTGAGATGTGCCATTGATGGCGGCCATGGTGAGGTGTAGCAGACTGAGGCTCTTGCTCTTTCTACGTCGAATGTATTTGTATTTGATCTTTTGCTAGTAAAGCTCGGTCTAGCTTACGAGGTGCTCGCTGGCAAACAAGACCGCAGTCTCGGCGAGGAGGAGTTGGAACGAGTGCAGGTCTGTCAAATCCCAGATCCGCAATTTCTGCATGCGATAAGTCTGTCTATGGATGCATTGGAGGGGACAAAAGTGCTTGCGCAAAGCTTTACGTGGTATGCAGGTGGACAAAGAGTCATCTTGGCCGGCCAGTTAGCCGAAGGTCTGAAAATGTGCGCAGGGTTCGCAGCGAGGCTGTGGCGCCAATGGCAATCCTTGCTGCAGATCCTCAGGAACATTCACACTAGATTTTCACAGCAGCGATAATAATTTGGGTTCTCAGGAATTGTGAGGGCGAATGCGCGCCGGCAACTTTTGTAAGACAGCTCGCATACTCAAATCTACAGACCCGGCGATTCTCATCGACCGAACAGAGCAACCAGCACAGGGCATTCCCCTCCTGTCTCAGCTGAGTATCATTCCATTCCGTGACATCTAGCAGACAGCAGGTATCTTTCCCTCATCAAGCGCCAGTCCTTCCTAGCCTGTGAAGGGCGAGGCAGTAGATTCAGAACGGTTTCAAACAACAATGCGCGCAAATGCTCCAGCTTAGCGTATCTACCAGTTGGTCTCTGGCGCGGCCTCGCCGGCAGTCTCAGATGCCCATCCCTGGTTGCCGGTCTCGACTGCAGTGCTGCTGGCAGCCCAGTCGGCACCCTCAGCATCCCACGAAGAAGAAGCATTGGCACCAGCGGTTCCGGAGGCAGCAGCGAACGCGCTGCCAGCGGTAGCACCGCCAACCTCCCACTCGTTGTTGAAGCCAGACTCAACTGCACCTGGGCCAGCCTCGTCGACACCTGGAACCTTGCCCTCGTCCTGGCCGGCAGAGTCCTTGTTCTCCTCAGCCTCTGGGTCGCGGTAGAAGTACAAATCAGTCATGACGTCCCACTCAGCCTCGCGGCTGGCGAGAGTGCCACGGAGACGGAGCACCTCACGAGCGAGCATCCACCAGATCAGACCGATGGAGTGACGACCCTTGTTGTTGGTTGGGATGGCAACATCGACGTACTCGGTTGGAGAGTCAGTGTCGCAGAGAGCGATGACTGGAATGTTGACGTATGAGGCCTCCTTGATGGCCTGGGCGTCGGTGCGTGGGTCGGTAACGATGATCAAGCGTGGCTCCTTGAATGAGCGGGTGATGTAGTTGGTGAAGTTACCTGGGGTGAATCGACCAGCAATTGGAGATGCACCAGTGTGGGCGGCGAACTTGAGGACGGCACGCTGACCGTATGGACGAGCAGAGATGACGGCAACATCGGCTGGGTTGTCAATGGCGACGATGATACGGGCAGCAAGGACAATCTTTTCCCTGGTATATTTGTTAGTCCAAATTGCCAAGACTTATGTTCTCGAGGTCGCATTGAACGGCAGAACAGCCAGCCATATTTGTTGCCTCGCCCTCTTTCGCTGCATGCAGCCTCGTCGCCTTCCACATACCAGGTCTTGCCAATGTTGATCACATTGATTCCGTCTGGGCGGGTCTTCCAGAGGTAAGGCTCCATATGCACTTGGAGGTTCTTGCTACCAATGTGGCACTGAGCCGACAGGAGCATCTCAATGTCCTGGGCGGTGGCGTTGAACGCCGGTGGCAGGTTCTTTGCGGCCATCTTCGCGGTGGTGGGTGAGGAAGAGGGAGTGTGTTGTCGTCGCGAAGTGCTTGTCGTTTGGCGTGGGCTGCTAAGGCGGGATCAGAATATCTGACCGAAAGTTCGTGGTGGGTGATGCGGCGACACTTCCGGCTTGGCGCGACAGGGACTGGTCTGTGCGTGTCTGAATGTCACGAGCAGCAGGAATGAAGCCTTCGATGTGCAAGTGAGAACACTTCAGCCATGCCGCCTCGAATACCTGCATTCCAATGCCTGCGGGCGCCGAATGGTGTGCAGAGTCCGTCTCAAAATCTGTTTAGTGCTAATGATTTCTAGCCACCCCATCATCCATCACGCGATCGTTCTCATCAACTACCTGCCAGCATGCATCGACAGTAGCGCAGAGAAAGAGGCATCGTGATCCCTGGGCACTTGCACAGGCAAAGGCGAAGAAGGCGGCAAACTTGAGCAGGCAAGAGGTTTTGAAGAAGGAAAGAGCATCTGCCCTTGGAGATCCCGTTCGAGGAACCACGACGGCATTCGTCAAATCTTTTGATACCGCTCTACCACCCGAGCCATCGCCAGACACGCCATCAGCGCACGTACGGACGGATCGCTCACCCAGCAAAAATGCGCCAGGAGTAAAGACAGATCGAGATGAGCATCTAAATTTTTACCTCACCAAGGACGAGCTCACAAGAGGCATTGGCAGAAGTCAATGGCTGAGCAGCCCGCTGCCATCCGAGGAAACGGAGCAGTCGCCTGGGGTAGATTCTGAGAATGCGCAGAACTCAGAGGATATCAACAGTCTTTTCGGGGGTGGAGGGACGGCCGAATCGCCTGACTGGGTCAAAGGACAAAGCATGCTCGTCGACTTTACAACAGACACTACTCCTGAAGAACGTAGAAAGAAGCAGGAGCAGGAGCATGAAATCGCACAGGAAGCTTTGAGGCGCATATCCAGCATGTCTCTTGGAAGCAGCAAAGACCGTCTTCGCCTCAACAAACAAAGATGTGTAGACGTGTTTGGCCGCCACAATACCGACTCCACTTTACCTAAAAAGCCGAGATCCCTGGACTCGACCGGAAACGAAGAAAAAAAGGAGATACGTGTAGGCCCGGACACTGGAAGTAGCGAGGTGCAGATTGCCATTTTGACTGCAAAGATTCGTTCTCTGGCAGATTTTCTAGAGACGAGAGGCACATCCGACAAGGTCAACAAGCGAAACTTGAGATTACTCGTTCACAGGAGAGCAAAGCTGTTGAAGTATTTGAGAAGAAAGGAAAGAGGAGGCCCGAGGTGGCAGAACCTGGTGGAGAAGCTTGGCCTGACCGATGGTACCTGGAAGGGCGAGATCAGCTTGTGATCTGATCAAAGTTGCACAGCGACGGCGTTGAGGGCTATTGGAGCATGGCTGACATGCCTTGTAGAATTGTACAAACTACATGTACCACGGTATTCTACCGAATCTTCGCCTGCGTGTCAATTCCGGCTTGGCTGCCACGATATGCACATCCCCGCAGTCAGGTAGCAGCGACCTCCATTCCTCGAGAGGCACACATCTTGGCATGTGAGCTGGTGACCTTGAATTAAAGTGATGCGGGTAAATGCTGTGTTCGATGGCGCCCAGTTCGCGCCTGCCGCCGCCATGCAATGAAGCGTGTGGGGCCAACTTCACACCATTAAAGAGTCCTACAGCTGGCCAAAAGCGCTCTCAAACACCAACAGATTGATTCTGACGTCGAAGGCATGATGTCGATTCACGCGAGCCTGGCTGTCTTCGCACTCATACTAATCGCCAGCGGCTCACCGACGCGCCTTGAGGATGAAGTCGCCGCAGCAGCTCCAACCGCAGTTGTCAAAAATGGCAGCTATGTCGGCACGTACAACCCCTCATACGGGACAGACCACTTCCTCGGAATGCCGTTCGCTCAGGCACCGGTAGGCGATCTACGATTCAAGGTACCGCAACCACTCTCCGAATCCTGGCTGGAAGAACGGAATGCCACAGAATATGGCTACGAATGCGTGGGCTATGGACGCGACACCTGGAGTCAAGGAAATTATGTCAGCGAAGACTGCTTGACGCTCAATGTTGTCCGCGCTAGAAGCTCAGTAGGTCCACAGAAGGATCTCTTGCCGGTGCTGGTCTGGATTCACGGAGGTGGCCATTACATGGGTGGCTCAGCGGATCGTAGATACAACCAATCCTTCATCGTTCAGCAAGCAGAGGAAGCTGGTCAGCCAATTGTCGCCGTATCTATCAACTACCGCCTGGCATCTTGGGGCTTCCTGTATGGCAGAGCAATACAAGAATCTGGCAACACGATGCTCGGCTACCGCGACCAGCGTTTGGCATTACACTGGGTTCAGGAGAACATCGCAGCTTTTGGCGGAGACCCATCGCGGGTGACAATTCAAGGAGAATCAGCAGGCGCTAGTTCCGTTGGCGTGCACCTGCTTGCGTACACAGGTCGAGATGATGACCTTTTCCATCAAGCCATTCTTCAATCTGGGACTGGCACTTTGGCAGGCAGCAACGTGATTCCGACTGCAGAATCTTGGGAACCTGTCATCTCAAACATTTCCTCTGCTGTCAATTGCTCCGACGCCACAGATCTCCTCGCATGCTTACGTGCCGTACCCTATGAGGAATTGAACGCAGTCCTCAATTCAACAGCCACCTCTGGTGCCTCCTATGGCCTCGTCATCGACAACGACCTCATTACCACGCCAGGCATCTGGCAAATTTCCCACAATGAATTCGTCCATGTCCCAATCCTCGTCGGCTGCAATACCGACGAAGGCTCGGGTAGCAGCATCAACACAACATCCGATTTCCTTTCCTACGTCAACTCTCGAGGCTACGACAACGTTACAGCCCAAGACTTCTCAATCCTGTACCCCGACATTCCAGAACTTGGTATCCCAGAGACCTTCGACGGCCGTCCAGCAGTCGGAGCCCAATACAAGCGTGCAGCAGCACTTTCCGGGGATCTCGGCCAACACGGGCCCCGGCGCTTGGCTTCTCAACTGCTAGCACAAGGCGGTATCGATGTTTACTCATACCGCTTCAACGTCCTAGTCAATGGCTTCCTCTCAATCCAAGGCGCAGCACACTTCCAAGAAGTCGCCTTCACTTTCTACAACACCGAAGGTCTGGGCTATCCACAAAACGGCAATCCCAACCCATTAGGCGGCGAGAATCGTGAGCAGTACCTTGCTCTGGCTAAACAAATGACGAGGATGTGGATTTCTTTCGTCAACTTTGGAGATCCAAATCGGCATGGTTTGGTTGGTGATGAATTTGAGTATTGGCCAAAATATGCGGGTGATGGCGTGGATGAGGTGGGAAAGAATTTCGTGTTTGAGCAGAATGTTACGAGTCATGCTGAAGATGATTTGTATCGTGCCGAGGGAATTGAGTATATTGGAAGACTGATTGAGGCGAGGAATGGGAAAAATTGCTCGGGGTTGGTGGACTGTGGTGGGAGTGCTACTTACCCATGAATAATACTCTAGGAGCATCGTGTGAGCAGTGTGAATCTGGTAGTAGCCCTGCCACACACGGGCTGCTCATTCACTTGCCGTCCTCAGGCTGCAGTGAGATTCTTTTTCACTTGATGCTGATGCTTCACTTTCAAGGCAACCCTCGCATTTCGATTGAGGAATTCTTATCTCCTTTCCCAGTCCCATCCAGCAGACGAGATTGACGACTCGCAGTACAAAGCCTCACGAACGCAGTACATATAGGAAATCAGCATCATGCCTGAGAAGCACACCAAGCTAGGCGCTCCCAGTCAGCACCGCGTGCCCATGTCAGAGCTCGATCCAAATGCTGGGCCTTGTCGTAGCCACCTACACCCAGAACTGGGCCCTATGCTATCTCTCAGAGAAGCACAAGCGCGTCCGGACATCAAGCGACGCGGTTATCTTCGACCAGAGCTTGGACCGATGGTGTCTCTAGCAGAAGCACAAGCGCGTCCAGACATCAAACGACGTGGCTTATTGCCCATGACTGCGACCTCTCAGAAGCAGCAAGTCCAGAAGACCATCGAGTCTGCTCAACCAGTCTTTCCAGTCCCAATGCCAAAGCGTAAACCGGTTCCGATGCGAAAGCAGTCCAGCATCGCTGCAGAGCCATCTGTGATCAAGCGGAAACCGGTGCCAAGCAAGTTGTCTTCCAATCAACCTAACCTTCCGGAAGCCGTCGAAAAGGAGCGTATCTCTCCGATCGACTCGTTGTGGGAGCGATCTTCACTTCAGGTTCGGTATCAACGACGCAGCTACTGCCAGGTCACTCCTCCGCCATCACCAGGTAAGGTCTGGCGGTGGCTCGAAGTTGAGTCTGAGGGTACGATCGAGGCTTGGCCAGGCTACAAGTCTTCGCCGGCTTCAGAGGCGTCGCCAGGTAAGGTATGGAGATATCTCGAAGCTGAGACTGATGGTGTTATTGAGGCTTGGAGGAGGAATCCGTATAATGATTGAGGGCGTAGGGACACGGCTTTGCGGTTGTTATGAATGAAACTAGAGAGTATCAGCAGTTATTGAGTTGCGAGGGAATGAAGAGAGTGATTTGCGAGTGTCGGACTTGTTCCTTGTATGCTAAGATAGGTCTAGATGAGTCAGTGGCAAAGTAGCCGCATCATGGTGGAGAGAAGGTCAAAGCGATACCAACGCCAATACTCCGACAGAAAGAAAATACGATGGCAATACCCAACCTTACCTTTTAATCGAGGCTTGGTTTGTGGAGTCCAGCGCCATTATTGAGCTCCTAACGTTTGGTCGGCTCCATATTCAATATGCAGAGAATCAAAAGTTCCCATCAACACCAGAAGGATGGAAAACCACGTCAGGCTGAGCATCAGAAACATACTTACCTCTCACAATTCCATTCTCCTTCTGCTTCGCCTCGAACTCTTTCTTGACCTTGTCCACGGTAGTCGCCCGGCTCTTGGCCAAACGCTTGATGCTGCGAGTGATCAGTTTTTGGACGATCTTATCGGTGAGGACAACGGTGGCATTGTCCACGTTGTTCCTGTTCACATGCTGCACGATATCCTTGATGGTATATTGAGCTACGGTTCGCATAATGTCGTCGATGTCTGCAAGCGGAATGTCCTCGAATGGAATGGAGAGGATCTGCTCGTAGTTGAGGAAACTGCCGTAGATGAGGAGTTCGGGAAGGACGAACGGGTCTGCCTCCTGGGTGATATCTGACTGCGATGGCGTCAGGTCAGCCATGTTGTAGTTTGTGGCAACGTTTTCGGACTGCGAGTCGGGTAATTCTGCATTTTCCTCCTGCATGGTGTCAGCGTCGAACGTATTGATTCGCTGTTCAATGTCCTGTTGCGACAACTCCTCGTTCATCTTGATATCCTGATTGAGTTCGCAACTTTAGGTCTTGTGCTGGGCTTTGGAGATGTCAGAGTGCTGGCCTCGGGACGATTCGGGGAAGCGTGATTCTGATCAGAGGTCTAAGTGATGGAGAGACGGTGCTTCGGAATGCGCAGTAACTGCGGACTATATAGCCAACAGCTTAATTGTCCTGGGAAGACTATGCTTTGTGTCTGGTGGAACAAAGAGAGGTAGGCCATACGAGAGACGCTAGTGAGGCTTGCGCCTAACAGAAGGCATTGTTCGCCTAGGAGTCTTCGCAGACGTGCATTGCTGCTGAAGAAGCGATGAAGTTCCTTGAAGACTGTGCCTAGGATGGAGTTGTGATGCCTTTGCGGAATCTGTCTGCAAGGAGATCGTTCATTCCCATTTCACGGACCACGCCTTGAGTCTCACTCCGGTCTGAACTTCCCTCGCCGCCTCTTCATCTCCTCAACCCTCTTGCGATCTTCCTCAAAGCCCTTGACCAAGACCTTAGCTTCCTCCTTCTTCTTCTCGCGCACCTGGAAGCGATAGAAGTCCTCCTTAATACGATTCTTCTCCCTTTTCTTCAGTTCCTCCTCCTTCGCTTTAGCTTCTTCCTCTCTACCAGGCCCTTGCCTTCCACCCCTCGTGACAGTAATGAAGCCGTCCTCATCAGGTTCGTTTCGTAATTTCGCTAGTGCCTTTGCCTTGGCCTCTTCCTGCGCAGCGAAAGCAGTCATGAATGCATCCACGCTCTGCTGTAATATTGCATCATCTGGATAGCTCAACTTGTGATGCGCAGAGTATCTCTTGCTACCCAGTGAGGGCACGCCCTTCACACCTTCTCCCCAGATGACCTCACTCTTGCCTTTTGCTGCCCGTTTAGCCTCCTTCAGAGCAAGCTGCGCACTTGCGGCATCCACAAATGTCACTACCGCCGTGCCACCGCTTCGATGCAAATCTCGATCCCATGTTTCTGGTAGTGAGCCGACTTCTTGCGCAGTCCGGCCCTCCTCATCGCCTCGCTTCCTCTTCTTGCCTTGCTGTACAGGCGCAACCGGTGCAGCAATTCCTTTGCCTACTCGTGCGCCTTCGAAGGCCACATTTTCGACTCTGACGCCGCCAAGCTGGTTCGCAAAAAGATGCTTGATATGGATATCCGTAGCATCAACAGGCAGATTTACCAGGAACAATTCGCGAGGCGTGTTCTCAGTTGGCACCTTGGGCGCATTTGCACGAAGGTAAAGATAATGCGTCGCTTTCTGTGGGAACGATGACGCAGGCGGAATTCGTAAGGGAAGGGCGACGAAGTCGTTCACTACCGTCGGCACCTTCGAAGACGGCTTCGGGACCATTTTTGGCTCTTCGTCAGGTCTCCAAAGTCTTAAGAGTGAGGTTCAAGATTTCTTGGAGGGATCGGCACGCCGAATACGAGAATACGAACACGAAAGCTTGGCATCAGCTTCTCAGCGGAATTCGGAATTCCGCAAAGAGAAGGGCAGGAAATGATGGAAACCTGAATACGAGATCATCAACGCGTTTCTGCGTATTTTCATTTCCATCGATCATATCTGAGTGCTAATTAGATCGCAGCACGATTACGTGAGCTTTCCATGGAGCTCGAATGATGACCGATGTCATCCCCAAAATTATGCAGCAGCCTCTGCCTCCTGGCCAACATTGCTCGCCCTCCTGTGCTCCTTAAACTCGGCATTGTACTGCTTCTCCTCCTTGCCGCTATGCACGGCTCCTGCCACGTAATTGGCAGTGGACTTGTCGTTATTGGTAGTGAAGAATGCGAGAATGAGAGCAGATCCAGAGAAAGCCAGGGAAACAAGGAACACCGTCTTCGCCGCGTCTCTGAACGCCTCTCGATATGGTTCTTGGACTGCAGCTCGAATAGCGGGCGTGATTCCTGGCACGGCGGAGTACTGGCCCTTGTTTCCAAGCGCATCGATCAGAGCAGGCAGGGCACTCTGTGACAGTCCCATGTTTGTCGCGACGGGAGCAACATATTGCTTGGTCGTCACAGTCAATCGATTGTTCAAGGTCGCAGTATACACTGCTGTCGCGATGGCCGAGACGAAATTTCTCATACTTCCCGTCAATCCACCACCTTGGCCAATCTCTTCTTGCGAGCGGAGTGAGAAAGTAGCAGTGGTTGTTGCGAGAGCTTCGACCAGACCCATCGCGAAAGCGCCGACGACCAAGAGTCCTTCCGTTTGGGCGCGATTGTCGATGTTGGAAGCCACAGAAGTGAGGAAAGCGCAGCCGACCACAGCGGAGCCTACCATTCCCCATTTGGGTCCTGTCACCCATTCCAAGAATCCGTGACACATCTACGAGGCATTAGCACTAATTCGAACAAGAACGAAGAGGCCGATGCTTACCTGAGCAAAGACGAAACCCATGGGAGCAAGGCCGGCCTGGGTACCGACATCATACATGCTGATTTCACCTCGACCGTAATAGATGACTGTTACGACCTGTGGGAACACGAGCGAGAAGCCGTAATAGACACCCGCGGCTAGTCCGTTGTTGACTGCCGCAGACATGAATCCTGGGTAGCGAACACATTAGCTCCTGCCATGGCCATTTCTCTGGGAGATATTCGGGCGATGCATACTGATGTTTTTGAATAGATGGATCGGCAGATATGGTTGCTTTCCACGTTTGTGAATGAAGATCTCGTACGCCGGCAGGATGACTGCGAGGGTGATGGCTCCAATGACCATTGTTGCGATCACATGAGCAGAGCTCCAGGGGTATCTGGAGGCTGTCAGCAAGCGGTCGCTGTACGCCATCTCCGAATGTGCCCAGACAAAGTCAGATTGGTTGTCAAGGTATACTCACAGAACACCTCCCCAGTTCAATCCGAAGATGAAGATGCAGAGTCCGCCGCTGAACAGCAGGAGACCGATCCAATCGAAGTGTAGAAGGAGATCTCTCGCCAGCCTCTTTCGATGCAGCATGCTGAAGGTCGGTGGGTCTGTGCAGTCCTCTCATCAGTATCGACCTCTTCCTACTCGGCAGGGCTGCTTACGATAGAAAATATACCAAGCAATCATGCTTGTCGCGTTAATAGCGATCAAGAGGTAATAGCAGTTGCGCCAGCCGCCAGGGTAAGTCTGAAGAGAGTAGGCCACTCGAGCGGCGAGTGGACTTGTTGGCGTGGTCATGGCGTAACAGTACGAATTGGCAAGATATCTGGAGGTCTCCATGTCAGCACTTGTCCCATCTTCGCATTCTCCTCAGGCCCACCTGAACTTCATTGGCACAATCTCTGCGACTACCCAGAAGAAGGACTGCTGAAACGCCACAGCAATACCAATCAACACCTGCGACGCGATGAGCGTGTTGACGCTGTTAGCAGTCGCGCCAACAATGCTGCCAATCAATGCCAGCCCAGATCCAAAGACGAAGAACCTGCCAATCATCAGAGAACGCCAACGACTTTCAAATGTTGTTGGAGAGTTACCATCTTCGTCCCAGGATATCCGACAAAGAACCAACTAGCAGGAAGAAGACAGCACCACAGGTGATATTCGCGAGCGACACCCAGTTGATGTTTGGTGAAGGACCAATCTCAGCGTTGATGTCTTGCAGAATCGGGGCAATCAAACCAAAGCCTGGTGTCCAACATCCATCAGTGTTTGTTCTCCTAGGGACCAGCACATGCGCGCTCACCTCCTATGCCTCCCATGAATGCCATTCCTGTGGCAAAGAGCGTGCCGATGAAGTTGACCGATAGCCAATAGCTTTGATCGATCTTGTCTGCATCGCGCCCACGAGCGACATCCGCTCTATCGTCGTCGGCTCGATGGTCGGTCCTGCCTGGGTCATGGGTACTGATTTGGTGCGCGAGGTCGGTATCCTCGACCTTCTCGTCGGAGCTCCTGTGACTCCGAGCGTGTTTGTCAGAATCTATACTACAGGGTTTCTATGTGTATAGCACAAGTTGTACTCAGACACGGGCCCGAAGTCGAACACCCTAGAACGAGGAAATGGCTCATACAAGTACCTACCGTCGATCACACTCTCAAAACTATGGTAATTGCTATTTGGAACATTCCTCTCCCGTTCTCCTCTCGATGGACAGGTTCGGACATTATTGCTGCAATAGCGAATCATGAATCCTCTTGAATCCCAAGCTCTCCATCTGTTCGTCGTGGTACTGGAAACTCTATTGGCAGTTGTCCAATTCGTGAAAGATTGACGTCTGGGGGAGTTGAAACGCAAAATGACGCTGTCTCCAGGCACGACTTGACGATCTCCCCCATTCTTGACAAGACGGAGCGACCAGACCGAGCTGGAGACGATCGACACGGCACGCCTCGGTTCTTGCTTTTTGGGAATCTGGAGCACCCATGGGGTAGAAGTACAGTATGATGATGCTATCGACACGAGGTCATGCGAGCACACATTGCTTATGCCCATTATATAAGTCTGCCTGTGGCTCAGCCTAATAATGACGACGAAGAGCTTCTCGGATCATGAAATTGCGGGACATCGGTGAGAGGGATGATGCTTTGCATTGAGCTGCTGAAGCCCAAGATGTCATACAAAATCCTAATGCAGCTGCTGAAAATGTCTTGCGTGTGCGTGCAGTGCTTACTACATAGCCGGCTGCGATTTTGCAATACCCGGTGCGATGCCTGCGTGGTCGCTGAATGAGTTGGCCTGCTTTTCAAAACAGTCGTGTATTCACACTGGTGAAGGAGGTAGAGAGCGCTCTGATGGCGGCACTGTGGGAGCACTGTATGCCGAAGATACTAGTATACTGCGACAGCATCGAAATGAGTCTCAAAAGGCAGTCTGAGGGGAAAATAGCAGGCCATAGGTCGGTATGATACGTGGTATTGTCGACAAGCAGACCCAAAACCAAGAAACCAAACCAAACCACCTGGTTGCAGTCATGGTTTTCCGCACCTCAGCTAGCGCCCGAGAAGCCGCAACCAATCACAACTGCGTATGAAGTGCTCTCCAGCTTCACGAACCACGCTTTCCTTCTCCTCACCGACAGCAATGTAGTCGCTCTGGATCGAAGACCGTCTGGTCTTCTGCAATACAGGAAATGCTGAAAGCCGTCTTCTACGCGCGATTTCATCCCGGTCGAGGTCCTTCTGTGATCCACCAATACCCAAACAATACCATTCGAGCCACGCCTGGCCACGAACCTCTGTTCCCATGGAGCGACATCTCTTCCTATATAATCCCACCGTACGATCTATGCAACCAGCCAATGTCAATATGCACCAATGGCTATAGGATCATTGCATATCCTGTCTCCCTTGAGCACGAAGAGTACCACAGGAACCGATTCACATTCAATGTCTGCTTCGTGCTTGCAGAGGATGAGGACGCGCATCCTTGGCAGCAAGTAGCTCGGAAGACTGCGAGGTTCTTCACAGAAATGGAGTGGGATGACTGCATGCTTCAGAAAGAAGAGGATTCGGTCGGTCTTGTCTGGGCTGGCGAGGAGGGGTATCCGAGACGAGACGGAGGTACAGATGTTGGTAAGGTCTATGGTCTCTTGGAGAGTATTGTCGAGGATTTGAACAAGTATGGAGAAACTTGTGTCAGGATTGACGGCGTGCACATCTTGAATCTAAGACTTGAGTATCCAAAGGAGTACGCGAAAGATGCTCCGGACAGGATACGCGCTTGGGACGTGCCTTTACTGGTGAGGAGCGTGCCATCACAGGGCGAGTGGACTTGGGACCTCACTCTTGTCCGAATCTACGACTTCATAGATGGGATAAAGCACGTGCAGAAGATTGCTGAACTAGCCGACGTGGAAGTAAAGCTAGTCAAACGAGCTGTAAAAGAGCTGGTGCATCACGGCAAGGCCATTCTGCTCGATATTTTCCACTTCCAAGCAATCTATGCATGCACGGACGAAATGGTTTACCTTTTGGGAGACCCTGAGCTTCAAGACGAATGTAGAAGATACGTTGCAACGTCGCCACCTACAAAAGGCACGAACGCAAGTGTCGCTTCTTCGTCGGTGAACGGAGCTGCGCAAGATGGCATATCAACCCGGGAAGAAATCGTGGACTTGTACAGCACGCTGTCACCTGGCCTCATTCTTTCGGACTTTTGTCTAACCAGCAAGGACGAGCTCGCATGCATAGACATCCGCCGCTTTATAACCTTTGGTATTATCAAAGGCTTTCTCCGGCGCATACATAAGTATGCTCTAGCCATGGAGCGCAGACCAGCATCACCTGTCTCCACCCGCTCCAACAAGCAGTCTTCGGGCTCCAATAGCCGCAGATCAAGGCTTCCGAGGTCTGGCGATGATGCAGTGAGGGACTTTGAAAGGGCATGGCGGAAAGCTGCTCTGACTAGTGGATGGGCTACACCACCTTCGGGGCCACATCCGGCGAGTCTAGGCAAGAGTTACAAGAGTGCGGATCGGGTCAGAAGTGAGGAAGATGAGAAGTTACGATCTTTCCTAGATGGACAGCATTGTATGGACCAGATATGTGTCGAGATGAGGATGAGTGAGAAGAAAATTTTGGAGAGGTTGAGGAGTGGGAGACTTGGCGAGGTGATTCTGTTTAACAAGTGAACGTGATAAGACATTTCGCTGCCACATTATTTGAACGTGGTCAATGTTGCGAACCAGACACAGCAAGACGTCCCCTTCGAGGCTGCCTGTGAAGACTTACGCGCCTGCAAGCCTAGATTTGCCTTTGCGCGCGAGGTGCTCCAAAGTCTTCTCAATCGAGCGTGTTTGCCATAGAAGTGTGGGTGCCTGGTGGTAGTGATAGATGGTGGCGTTCGTGAAAGAGCGCGCCTGCCACAACCATGTTTGACTTTGAGAAACAGCTGACCAATAGAAAAGTGGGGACGTGCTCAGCCTCACATGACGCTGAAGGCAGGCAGACATACAGACTTGCGTGGCCAGTCTCCCTACACTCTTCACCTACCACAATCTCTCCTTTCCTTTGTACAATACCTTTCGAACGCACGCGAACGACGCACGAACAGCCAACATGTCGGGTGTCCACGGACACGTAATCGGCCACCTCGCTCGTCGAGGCTATGACGCTGCGCAAGCCTACTTCCACGAGGTCAGGGTCAGCGCAGAGCAGATGGCACAACTTCAGCAAGATGCAGAGCTTTACGAACAGGCCGGTCCAGCAATGGAGATCAAGCCATACGAGATGTTGCCGGTCCTCATCACCGCCTTTTTGACCATTCTGTTGGTCGCCTCAATAAAGTACACGCTCGGTGAGGTCGTGGCTTCTCTGGCTATGATTGAATCACCCACCTCGACCGCAATCATCGAAGACAAGCCACCAGCATACAAGTACGCCGATGAGCCAGATGCGCCACTTGAGAAAGAGGGTCTGCTTCCCGCAGAGGCAGAGGCAGATAAGGACGTCGAGATCACTTTGATTCCAAACAAACCTATCACATCCAGCATTAGGGCGACAATGGGACATGTGACACGCATTGGAGGCTTCCGCGCCCAATGGAGAGGTGCTGGCGTTTCATTCATCTATCACTTTATGCACAGCGCTCTGGTTAACCTGATTGCTGTATTCCTTGGATTCAGCTTCCTTGGACATGCTCTGGTATACGTCTTTGTCTCTGTCGGTCTCGCTCGCATCCACATGGCATGGACTCATGCGATGATCTCGCAGCCATCTTCGAAACCATTCTGGCGCCGCCTGGTCGCACGCACGCAGTGCAAGGCACTTCTCCTGCCAAGTTTCGTCTTCGCTTTGGCCCAGCAGGCAACTTTCGTCCTTCCAATGATTGTGGCTTTCGCACTGGGTCTTCCAGAGATCAACAGGGATCACGTCATGGAGGCCGCTCACAAGCACGACTGCAGCAAGCTCATGTTCACTGGTCTGCGGTTCTTGGCTGTGCCAGCAACCTTCCTCTTCGTCGCCTTTGCAGTTTTGCTCCCAGCAACCGTCACTCTTACCCGCATTGAAGCTCTCCTTCTCCCAGAGGAGCACGAGACCATTGTGCCATTCGACCGCCAGGCAATTGTTGGCGATGTTGACATGCAGGCACGCGGCAGCGCCAAGCTCATCTTCATGCAAGCATGGCGCTCATTTGACCGCGCTGCTCGATGGAGATTGATCAAGCTTTATGTCAAGATGGCATTTATTCAAATCGGCATCATCTTCATCAGCGCACACCTCATGGTCGCGGAGGTCTATATCATTGGTGGCGAGCGTCTCGGGATCTTTGTGAAGAGTGCTGCTGCACAGCTCAAGCTGGCTGCCATTGAAGCACGCCAGCAGTAGAGTTTTACCAGGTGTGGGAGGGACAGGTAATTGACAAGCAAGGCCTGAGAAGGACAATATAGTGGATCGCAGTATAAGGTAGCGGCGCTGTTAGGACGAGGGTTAGTCTGTATATTAGTATATTAGTCAAGCCAACACAATGTTCACTGATTCTCCTTCCTCTCTTCTGCGTCAGGGCATTTGGGCATGTGCCGATGTGCTCAATCCTGCAGCGTGCGTCTCAGCACGGCCTCTGCCGTTGATGGCACCCAGCCTGCAACGAATACTATGATCTGATTGCGTGTAATCCTGTCGTTGGATCAGGGTCTCTGCAATGCCAGATCACTCACATATGCAAGCAATCTCGGGGTCTCGCCGGCCTCCTCAGCCACGGGTTTCAGCTTCGCAACATCACGAGTCGCAGAGGGAGAAAGCACATGTAACGAGCCCATTTCTTGCGACATTCGGACCTGCTCACTCTGCCAATGGCGTCGATCGACTTCCGGTCGAGGAATACAATAGACGTCTATGGCGCCTCCGAGTCCCACGGCAGACTCAGTGTGTCTTGCTCGCGACAGCACCATTCTCAAACGCTGGTGCAGCTGCACCTGCCCTTGCTACTTCGCCCATGTGCTTCCAGAAGTAGCATGATGTCCTCTAGAGTGCAGGAATCAGGACATAGAGTTGTGTCACTCGCGCTGTGTCGAGCACATTCACGATCATGCTTTGGACCCGGAATGGCATCACAGCCAGAAGCAGCTTCTCACACTTACAACGGCTTTCTCGGGTCTAGCGATCACTTACCAAAAGAGTACTTCTGGAGACGATTTCAAACATTAGCTGCCTCTCTTACGGTCCACATTCGCCTTGGGTAGCAATTCTGAGCGCCATCGTTCAGCAGGCCAGTATGTTCCAGATTCCGATTATAGCACAGAGCTGCTTCGGAGGCTACCGCTGAGAGCTCGGACATGTAAGGAGTCGACGTTGCAGAATCGAATCATAGCACATTCACACCACGCTCGGACAGGAGATCTGTAGGTATAAGATTGTTCCATGCGCTGAAGTTCTCTAGACCTTCCCAAGCCACCAAGGCCAATCTTTTATTCTGTACTTGCGATCTTAGATTTCATTGAATTTCCATCCTGCGTTTAGAGTCGATCCTCAACAACAGCTTCGATCAACATTCACGATGCGGGCCTTCGTGAATTTGACGTTTGCCTCAATGGCACTGGCTGCCGCAATTCCTGATCCAAATCTTGGCAATGAAAAGAGGAAGAATGCTCTTTCTTGGGGTTTCCACAACAAGGGCGTCCAAGGAGGAGAGTCCGCTGGTGGTTATGGCGAGGGAGGTGAGGGAGCAAGCGCTTCTGGTGGTGAGTATACATCCATTGGCTTGCAGAGACTGGCGACTAACACGATCCAGGCGTAGGAGGGGGAGCGTCAGGCGGCGTCAATGGCGGTAAGCATGAGCAGCTCTGCTCTTATACACCAATGATCTGGCAACTGATACGATCCAGGCGCAGGAGGAGTGCCAGGCGGCGCCAATGGAGGTAAGCATGAGCAGCTCTTCTCTTTTACACCAATGACTGATGATTGAAGGCGCTGGAGCTGGCATCAATGGCAATGGTGGAGGTGGATTCTCCCTCGGCCTCCCTCTGGGCGGTTCTGTCTCCTTAGGCGCGGGCGGAGATAGCGGCGTTTCGATATCGCTTCCTGGCATTGGTGGTGGTCTTAACGCTGGGTAGGCTTTCCCTTGGTTCAGGCTTCGTTTCGCTAACATTGGAATAGAGGAGGTGTATCTTTGGGAGGTGGACTTGGGTAATAAACAGTCTCCTTTCTGCTCACGTGATCTATACTGACTTGGCGACAGCGGTGGTTCAGGCATAGGCGCAGGCATAGGCGCAGGCATTGGGTATGGATTCCTTGCCATCGCTCACATAGATTGCTCGCTGATATCAATACAGGGGCGACGCCGGCGCAGGCGCTGGACTCAATGGTGGTGGCCAAGTCGGTGGAGGAGGACAAGTCGGTGGAGGAGGAGAAGTGGGAGGTGGTCTGGGCGGAGGGTAAGCTCATTGCACCACTACATATGTAGTACATGCCACTGATGTTAAAGCAGTGCTGGCGGGAGCATTGGAGGCGGGGCAGGTATTGGTGGACAAGGCAGGTAAGCAGAAAGCGACATGTCGAAAGTTCGGCACACGGTGTTGACTCTCGGTAGTGGAAGTGGATCTGGCTCGATTGGGTAAGTACCGATGTCTTTCGACCGGACAAATAACAGCTCATTGACCTTTGAAATAGAGGTGGTGCAAACGGATACGGCAGCCCACCACAAGCATCGGGCAGCAGCGGTTCCTCGCCTCCCTCACAAGGCGAAAGTCCACCCACATCACCAACAGGCAACGACAGCCCTCCAGGATATGGAAGCTCTGGCTCTGACTCGAGTCCTCCTGCGCCAAGCTCGAGCGACAACCCAACAAGCCCTGTAGACAATGGAGGTAGCGGCGGTGAAGGAAGCTCACCTCCAGGATATGGCGGAGACTCTGGTGGTGGCACAGAGACATCGCCAACCAGTGGAAGCGGTGGAAGTCCAGCTGGATATTCCAAGAATTGATTGGGGTCGAGAAGGTTGTAAACATAATGTAACATCAACAACGCATCACATAGCACACTCCTTTGGACGACTTAATGAACGAAAGATGCTTTTACGCTCGCTTGGCTGTCGATGCTTCAGCCCTATCACCTTCCAAGAGTGTCGAAATTGTTGACACCGCGTGTTGCCTTCGCTCCAGAGCTTGTGAATGTTTGTGAGAAGATGTCGCTTAAGGAGATCAGATGGCATTTCTCCAGAATTGCAATAATAGACAGCCAGGTGCCAAGTCTCCAATTTACCTTACTCGACACAAGGCTACCAGTCCAGTGCCGGTCTTCTTGCGCAACAAAACATGGCCTTGGCATGGCTTGCTACACCGGTCCATCGAAGCATGTCCACGCGATCTGCAGTGTACTCTGCCCGGGTCGGGTTATTGAGGCTCAAAACGGTCGATGGCTGGCTTGGCGGAAGACAGCCATTGGCTTGGAGTGGCCAATGCGGCTTGAATGTAGTATTGTGGCTTGAAGCTGAAAGCTACAGGAGGATAGGAAGCTGTTTATGGTAGTTGTGGTCTCTCTCAGGTAGCGACGTCTTTTGGGGAGGGGAAGATGTATTTAAAGGTGATGACGGAAGGACGCGTGAAAAGTGGGCTCGCGCGACTTCACCTTGTGTCTGATCGTTGTCCGCAGCAAAGATGTATCAAGCTTGGATTTGGTTGTTTGGTCTTGTCGCATGCGTGGTCGCTGAGGAGGAGGAGGAAGTCAGAGCGAAGACATCTTGGGCAGATCGAGGTGAAGAACCTTTTGGTGCTGTTTTGCTTCCCAGAGATCTTCTTGAGCGACAGTATACCTGCGATGCTGGATATGGACTTTGCAGTAGTGGATCTTGTTGTCCGACGAACGCTGGCTGCTGTGGGCAAGGATGCATTGATCGAGCTGTACGTTGCCGAACACTCATTTTGCTTGACAATGCGCTGATTCGACCAGAATGTGTGCTGCTACGGATACGTCTGTCCACCCGGTAGGTCATCTTTCCGTATCCACAGTCAGGAATGGCTGATCGATGTATCTCAGGCTCGAGGTGCTGTGGGACATCGGTAAGACAACAATGTTTTGAGAGCACCCCAATGTCTGAGACATTCGCTGACCTTCGAGTCATTGCTTTTCAGGGATACTGCAAACCTCCTGGGTGGGGATGTTGTGGTAGCCAGGGCCAGATCTACCCTCTAGATGGATCGCAGTGCTGCTCTGATGGAAACCACTGCCCTCCTGGAAGCCGCTGTGTGAGATGTTCGGACGACGTAAGCGAGATCTGCTGTCGTGGATCGTCTGGACTCTTCACGGCCACCTATGCAACCGACGTCGCAACCTTGACGTATTCTTCTGCCGACGAAGCTACCACGAGCTATTCAACGTATACCAGTGAGTATGCAAAGTATAGCTACTCGTACAGCTACTACTACAGCGTCTATGTCTGGTGGTGAGTGGAACGCGAATCGCGAGATAGGAGGAGTTTTGTACTGACCTTGCGTGAATTTTGGCAGGTACATCTCGTACTATCCTTCATATACGCCGACCGCGTCGACTACTGTCACGACCACGACGACAATCTCAGCGTACGTGACAAACTCTGCCGATGCCGAAAGCTCGTTTGCGGAGATCACGAGCTCGATTGCGTCGGATGCGAGCTGGACCGCGAGTTTCAATTCTGATCTGGCGACGATCCTTGCAAGTGCCAGCAGTTCCCTTGAGTCTGTGAGCAGTGCCCTCAGTATCACTGGCGGGAGTGGAGGCAGTTCCAGCGGCGGAGGAGGAGCTTCGGCAGCAAGTTCTTGGAACGCCAATGTCCTGGGCGTACTCTTCGGCGTTTTTGCGATCGTGGTTGGAATGCTCGCAATCGCGTTGTAATTGGACGGTGAAGTCTGGAAGAGCGTTCCGATTCTGCTACGTATTGACTGCCATAGAATACACGATCACTGCAGAAGACGTGGTGGATTTGAGTTGCTACCCTGCTTACTGGGCCTAGTGTATAGAGCCTCATCGCGTTGCGTGTCATCCCTGTTGAATCTAAATTTGACTATCGCAAAGAGCAGTGGGGGTTTACCATTGGGCAGGGACATCACGATCTCATCATCACTGCAGTGTTGTTGTTGAAGTGCAGGCGTGGTCGAGGTAAAGGAAAGGAAAGGAAAGCACAATGGTCAGTCAAGGGAGGAACGAGGAGGATCTCGACGAGCCGAAAGCCGACCACACTTGCACACCTCCTGCCCTTCCTTCCCTTTCACCACGCGTCTTTGCTGAAACATCACACCCATCCATGGTAGAATTGACGTCGACGAGAGCTGCCAGATAAGACGATTTCTATCGACGTGACCGATGGCGTGCATACACCATCACCATGCTGTCGAAGAGGGCCAGCAACGCATAGAGGAAAGAGAAGAGATGGGTCGCTAAGAAGAGGAGAACCACTGAGCTTTGCTTTGGTACAGAAGAAGGCATCGTATCGCCGGTCGAGAGCGGAATAGGCATACCTTGCGGTAGACAGCATTGTTGCAAAACGAGCGAATCGCGTCGGAGCGTTGAAGACCTGCGTTGGATGGCCCTGGGGAGCATGTCATATGCCATGGAGAATGCTTTGCGCCGACCTTGGTGGCTAGGGTTGATTGACTGCCAATGTGCCCAATGTGAAAGGGACGGTATCCATCGTGGTTGACAATGGAGATGTTCACTTTCGACCACTTTCGGTGTCAGCGCGAAATGCCTCACGCGTCATCACAGGATCGGTCGGTGCCTCAATACCAGGTCACGGGAGCCTGCGTCCCCGGGCGTAGATGAGAAGATGTCTTGGGATGTTTCGACTGTAAGTGTAGAGCTTCCTGGAAAGACTATTGCATCGCTGACTTCGCCTTCTTTCAATCGCGACTCGCACCTTAGCTGCTTTCCTGAAGCAGATACGCGTCAGAAGCATTCAGTATCCGCGGCAACGGCAGGGACGGCGTCAGTGCTGCCAGCAGTATCAGGTACAGGCAGGCTCACTTCATGTCCTCACTATGGCTTGATATGTCACATGGACGACGACATCTTTTCACGTCTACGTCAAGCACTGCATCTGAGCTGCAACATAGCGCTATCAGCGTTTGCATCTCGTCTCCTTCGCGGGAGGCTGCAGACGCGTGCCAGAGGGCAGAAGCTCGGCAACATGCAGCACCGTTTGGTGTAACACGCAGAATTTCAACAAGTCGCGCTCATGAACCTTCGCCGCAAATCCGCCCAGTTACCACATCACCCAAACCTGCTGCTTTCCGCCTACATCTGCGCACTTCTGACGCCGACAGCGCGTCACTTCGGTCCTCGACTCAAGACACAGTTGAGCCACCCACACCCAGGCCTTCGCCGCGCTCATCTCACTCACATTCCCGCCTTCCCACCAGGCCTGGTAGCAAAAGCAAGCGCTCGCCATCATGGCGCCTCTCGTGGATGACGAAGGTCTATTGACTCGCCTCGTCAACCACATTTTCTTGCCGCCCCAGCTTCCGCAGCGAGAAGACGCCGCCGATATCGACCGCGAGCTTCTCCGCGTCACACATCAAGCACTGCAGCACTTCGTTGACAGCTTGGCCGGGGGGCATGTGCCTCCATCAATCCCGCAAGCTCTTCAGATGCTCAAGTATGCAGAGGGCTGCCACAGCTTCGTCGATGGCACTCTCAGTGAAGCCGAGCTTGTAGAGGTTTTCGGCCGACTGAGACCTGGCCAACACCTTGCTCTCCGAGTCCGCGCACAAAATGCTGGACTCCTGGTGTCTAAGTATGCTGCTCACACCACATTTGAAGCCTTCGAGCTTGCCCCAATCAATGGAGCTGTCGTCACCACCAACGGCAGGCTCACGCGGCGCTTCCCTGGCGTTGCCACCTCTATCGATGACTCGACATACTTCCAGCCAGAATTTCAAGCTACCGTCGCTCAAGCCTTGTCGACAATGAGCAAGCAAGCAGCCGCGGAAATGCAGCCTATGATCACAAAGGCAGGTAGCAAGCATGAAGAAGAGCGTGACACGACCCATCCTGGGCTTGTCTGCGAGCTCCTCGTTGGCGGCATGCTCAAAGCTCTCGGCAACCATCGACCACATCTTGTCGTGGACACGATTGTGAAGAACACTCGAGACGACGTGCTGTGGCAAGACGCTGATCTCCCGTGGCGCCGGTCTCCCACCTGGATGTTGATCAGAGTGGCGCTAGAGCTGGTGTTTTCGCGGAGTCTCGGTGGTGCAAACGCAATCTACAAGGCCTCCATGGCTTTTCTCATGGCAGAGCTCTTAGACGCTGCGGGCAACCTCGGTGTGAGCGTCGATCTTCAGTATGCCATGAGCTGCAAAGTTTATAGACGACTGCAGAAGCTTGGTCAGGAAGTTCCGACAAATGTACAAAAGAGGCTCCACAGTGTGCTGAGCAGTTGCAACGCCACAATCTCTCGCGCATGGAAGAATGTGCGTGAGGCCGAGCCCAACTCGTGCAAAGGCATATCAGCTCTTGCGAGCCTTCAATTTGCCAAGGACACTGTCACTCTGCTGCCAGAACTGGATCAATATATTGAAGACCGGAAGAATCGACGAACCCTGGACAGCAAAGTCGGTTTCAGCGCTGGATCAGGCCTTTGTCACTTTACAGAATACTCGTTTCCCAACCTTTCGAAGGCGAACGTTAAACAGTACCAGATTGCCAACTTACAAGAGTTTGAGAATTGGGCCTTCCTACATCTCCGCAAATGCTCCAACATCTACGATGCCGACAAGTACTGCTCAGAACTACAAAAATTGGTTCGGGATTATCACGCATCAGCGCGGAAGCAGTACGAACGTGATATCAGTGCTACGTCTGCTGCAGATAGGCTTGGAAATCCAGAAGGCATGTCTGTTATGCTTCTTACGATTCTTGAGCTGTGGGTGTCGATGGATGAGAAAGCCCTTGACGAGTGCCCCTTGCTCCAGGAATTCTATCCCGGCATTCCGGCGGAGCTATTGCAAAACCTTCTGCTATCGTCGAAGGAGCAGTTGACGCGTCTGCGTTCAGTCGAGACTTACCTTCAGAGCCGTCGAAATCGCGCCCGCCATTCTACAAGCAGTCTGTTTGGAAATCCAAGAGATTCTAGCAGCTTCGCAGTCCAATGGTTTGACCGTTATGGGGAGACTAGTGGGCTGCACAAATTTCTCCACGGCATTCAAGAGCAAGGGGAGAGAGGCAGATCCCGCAAATTGGAAGAGCTGGAAATTCTACTTGAGCAATACCGTGAGCTCAAGAAGCGCGCTCTACAGGCAGAGCACACTTTCACCGAGATTGTTGAGGCCTCGAATGCTTATCCTCATGTCATGGTGACACGCAAGATCGATGACCCGAAACAATGTCACAAGTGCATCATGGAGAGCAAGGCGGAAAAGATGCGAATGACTGCGCATGAGTGGCCTCTGCCAAGCAACAAGAATGAATGCAAGTCGATTGTGTTTGAACTGGGGGTGCCACCATGGTATTCAGCTTGGCGCGATTGTACACTGTACGTCCTCCAGGACGTGCTCAAGTACAGGAATACGTGCGAGTATGGGCCCAAAAAACAATTTCCATTGGCTGAAGATCCTCATCTGGGAGCGAAATACAGTGCGCCAGAGCACCAACGTGTCGTGCTCATGACCAAGAACAAGCCACACGCGTTCACGCACCGCCAAAATGTGTTCATGTCAAAGGCTTCAGAGGCCTCGATCTGCAAAGATAACGCGACGAAATACTTCTACCAGGACGATACCACGAGCCTCTTCCTGGATGGCTTTGCTGAAACGGATGAAGCCGTGCATGCCTGCACTTATCGCTTCCCGGATGGTTCGAAGCCTCTGGACGACTATCTATTCCGACCAGCTTGTCACGCAAACGGACCAGCACCGAACACAGTCATCGCCAAACAGTCGGCATGTCCTAAGCACATGTCCGTGGAAGAATATAAGGAGCTATGCGCAATTCCCTCCGGCCATGGCCTGCATTGGTACAACATGCTTTTGCAACTCGCATCGCCTAACGTGGACTTCAGGAAAGATGAGACCGTGCTCACCTTCTTTCAATGCATACTCCAGGTGGGGCCCTTCGGAGATGCATCAGCCGCCAGTGCCACGGACACACGGTCCTCCTATGCCATTCTGACCGATCCTGGTTTTGCTAGACTTCTTCTCGACAACCTTGAGGAGGCATTGGCGCGCGTAAAGGAGAACTGGGAGTCGATGAATGCGCTGTCAATTTTCAGCGCCATCACGTGCAGATTGCTGACGCTCAACCGAACGCGCAAGATCGAAGAGCGTTGTTTGAAGTTTTTGACTGATGTTCGCAACGTGGCGTATGGATGGCTTCAGGTCCTCCGAGACAGAGCCCGGCGCAGCACAATTCACGCCGACCATGCGCAATTCCTCAGCAAAGCTATTGATGTCGCTCTGGTCTGCGGCACTACTTTCGACGTAGACAAGGATCATCTTGCTAAGATTCTCGCCACCAAGAGCGGATCATCAATCTTGCTTCAATGCTCTATGGCAATTGCGGAGCGTGAGCGTCGAACAAAGGGAGAGCTCCTGTCTCCGTTGTTGTCGTGGCGCTTCAAGAGGATTCTACATCGAGCGCTACCTCTTCTCTGCCGCACACACTCCGGCATAGATGAAGCTGTTGGCGAGGTCTGGTCTGCCTACCGCCCCGGATTTGGTTGGATAGCTGATCCGAACAGCGATCTGTGGCTCCAGACCGAAACAATGTCGTCACGGCACTCAGCAGCAATGGACGTACGTTACAATCTCCTGAGTGGCGAGCTGCTGGTGGACGGAATGCGATTAGCACGACCTCCCAAGGCTTACGAAAAGGATCCAATTTACAGATCCTTGTTTGGTACGACCGCAGTCGAGGTCATGCCATCCAAGGAATCCGCCATGCGCTTCTCTGCAAAGGCCATCTACGAAGGATTCGACGTGCATCTTGGCATGACAAGTGACGAGGACGGCCGGTCTGAGAACCTCATCGTGCGCGCTACAAGTCAGCTTGGGAACTATGAGGCATTGCCACGCTCCCTACTCTCCGATCGTCTCCCAGCAGATTTTGTGCACAACTACGTCCACTGGTTGGACACCGACACTGGAAATGTTCTTTTTGAGCCCGCCGAGAAACCATGGCCGTGCTCTTCTGGTGCAGAATGGAGTCTGATTCCAATGCCAGACCACAAAGGCTGGCGTGTGAAGAGCAAGGGACGCAGTCTGTTCGGTCTTTTCAGCGGCACCCATCTGCTCGTCTCGCAGATGCTTTCCTCGTTGGTTGAGTCTCAACACATTCAGATCATTTTGCAGCCAGACCATAAGGCGATCGATGTCGAAGTACCCTCCCTGCAATTGAGCTTCTTGCTGAGGGCCAATGATTCCTCTCTCGAGTCTAAAGAATATCGAGGCTTGGTAATTAGCCGAGAGCAATCTCTTGGTACCCTCGTTGGGCTTGAGAATAAGCTGTTGCTGAGTCCACACAAGGCCGCCGGATCTCGGCTCCTTCTGCTCCCAGAGGGTGACGTCTCATATGAAAAGCTGGGAGATCATACAAAGGTCACTGTTGATCTTGCATCTGTCACCAGAGTTCATGCGATCCAAGTTGATGATCGTCTTGGGAGACTAGTGGACAACGGCAGCATCCAGAGCAAGCTGTATCTGGCATATCTGCACGCCCTCACCGCCTTCGCCTTGCCCGATCCTCTGACGAACAAGACCGGCACCGAGCAAGCTTTGGCTATCCTTGGATCCGCGGCTGTGCGCTCCTTTGAGCAGCTTACACAAGAGAACATCGATTTGCTTGGGAGGATCACTCTGTTGACACCGGCTCGCGTCTTCTATCCTCGCGATGCGAGAGTCATGCAAAACGTGACTTGGGATGAGCAGCTGGGATTCATGGCTCAACATGGAAGCTTCCACACTTCCGTACAAAGCATTCTCCAACAAGCTGAGCGCTCTCGAATGTTTTATCCTGGGCAAAATCTTGAATTTCCGGACACCACAGATATCGACGAGGAACTACTCCTCCGAGATCTTGTGCGTACCGCAGCGTTCAGAGTGTCCTGCTTCGGTGCAGAGCATCAAGCAAAGTCTGTGGACATTCGTTACGATTCTCGAGACCATTTTCAGACATCATCTCGCGCCAAGAACGCATATACTGTGGCTCGTATGCTCCAAGATCGATCGGATGCGCTGCCATGGCAACCGGTCGAAGAGGACGGATTGTGGAAAAGAATCAAGACCATGGACATCCTGCACGAGGCTCAGCGACCTCTGGAAGACGCAATATTTCGATACGATGCCGCATTGTTGCAGTCCGACTCCTCCTCTGTCTTGGTAAATCTGCTTTCCCTGCACAAGACGCTGAGCCACAGAAATGGGCAGCTTGCAGATGACTATGCCCTCATGCTTTGGCTAGCTACCCATGCGTTTTCCAACACCACGGATCTAACTCTGCTCCAAACGGTGGTTGCATTCAGCACCGCAGGGCCCTTGAAGAAGCTTCAGCCGCCAGATACGGCTTCGTTGAGGCCTGTGGCTGGCTTCAGGCCCGATCAGATTAGCGTGAAGAACATCGTACGCGAAGCCAAGCGCAGCTTCGAGAACACGCCAGACGCCACTTCCAAGCCTCGGAAGAAGAAGAATGGCCGCCGAACAGATGAGTATGAGACCGAGGCGGATGTCGAACTCCGCCGCGCACTGGACTATGAGCGACACGTCGAGGGTGCTGCAAAGGAGCTTTCGCGCGAGCTTTACAAGCAGTGGCCTTGTGAGACTCTAGAGACTCCAAATTGCGCATTGAGAGATGGGTGCACTGATTTCATCGATGTGTCCAAGGCTTTGGGCGACGTCAGTGCTCGTTTCAAGATGTTACGAGATAACGATCGCCTTCATAGCTATCTGCAAAAGCTGGAGAAAGCAATGTCGGGCCTCTGGAGTGCCGAGTCAAGCGCACCGGAGTTTTGTGCCTGGCCTCTGAAGGACGCACCGTGTAAGCAAAGCAGGCCCGCATTTGTCTCCGTGGACGATATCTTTGCTGGCTTCCGACCGCAAGTTGAGACGCTTCCCAACCATCCAGAGTTCAGTCTCGCGCCCTCTGAGCAGCGCCGAGACTCTACTATCAATGCAGAGACACAACTCCAGGCCCTCATCGACAGATTGTCCAACATACAAGATGGAGCCTATGAGGGAAAGTATATCCAAGACCTTCAGACGAGCTTAGCATCTCTACAGAGTCAGGGATATGGTCAGGCTGAGCGTGGTCTACCTTCCTCGGCGGACGAGCTTCTTCCGTCAATCAAAAAGCATCTTGACGCGTGCGAGTTCCACCTCGGCAGAGTGTACCATGTCCTGAATAACGCAGTGCGCTCGGAACTTCGCAAGCGCAGCGGCGAGCATGAAGGCTTGCAATGGCCGCGCGTGTCCCAAACTCTGTTCCTCGAGCAGCTTGGTCGGCGTCGCTGGGCAATGCTGAACCAGAAGTGGCAAGAGGCTATCGTTAGATATGGGCTGGCGATCACTGCGGTCCAACGCGCCGAACGCTTGTGCAACGCAGCCGCTTCAGGCGCGAACAAAGATGATCTGATTCGCGAGATCGGCAACCCGGGCCATACAAATTGGGATCCACGTCAGTGCCCTGAATCGTTGCTTCTTGAAGTTGAAGGAGGCATCATGATACGCGAGGTGCAAGAACAGATTGCTTCCGAGATGAGAATGCCTTCGTCGGGTATCAACCAGGTTGTACAGCTGAACATGGGCGAAGGCAAATCGTCAGTGATCGTTCCTATGATTGCTACAGCTCTCGCAGACGGATCACAGTTGGTTCGAGTGGTTGTCGCTAAACCTCAATCAAAGCAAATGGCAGAGATGTTGATCTCCAAGCTGGGAGGGCTGCTCAATCGTCGCATTTGCTATATGCCGTTCTCGCGGGCCTTGAAAATCAACAAAGCATCCGCAGAAGCTCTCGAAGCGCTGTGTCAAGAATGTATGAGCGACGGCAGCATTCTTCTACTCCAGCCCGAGCACATCCTTTCTTTTGGGCTCTCGGGTCTCGAAAGCTACCTTTCGGGCAACGGCGCTGCTGGTGAAGTCTTTTTGCGACTTCAAGATTTCTTCGACAATTGCTCTCGAGATATCATCGACGAGAGTGACGAAAATTTCAGTGTCAAATTTGAGTTGATTTACACTATGGGCTTGCGCGAGCCTCCGGAGTTAGGCATCCATCGCTGGACTCTGATACAGCAGGTAATGGACCTTGTCAAGTCCCATGCGTTAACGCTGGCCGAGCAGCGGCCGACCGAGGTCGAGATTACCTCCCGCGAGGAAGGTGGCTTTCCAAGAGTTAGAATGCTTCGGGCGGAAACTGCTGAACTTCTAGTGCATCGCATTGCGGGAGACATATGCAGCAATGGCATGCGCGGCCTCCCCATCGTTCATCAACCACAAGACCTGCGGGACGCCATTTTCGAGTACATCTCCGACGTCGATGTATCTGCAGCTCAAATCAACATCGTGCAGCAAGCTGAGTTGTGGTCAGATGAGGTTTGCCGCCCCTCAATCCTGCTCCTGCGCGGTCTTTTAGCAATGGGTATCTTGGAATTCGCGCTGCATTCAAAGCGATGGCGCGTCAACTATGGCCTGACCGATCGCGTTCCCCCTACGAGAATGGCGGCTCCCTACGTGGCCAAGGACTCTCCCACGCCTAGATCAGAGTTCTCACACCCGGACGCGACAATTGTGCTCACCTCTTTGTCGTACTATTACGGAGGGCTGAAAGACGAAGATTTGTTCACCGCCTTCAGTCGACTGATGACCACAGATCAAAGCGAAAGCGAGTATAGGCTTTGGATCAGAGACGTTCACATTCCCGCTGAGTTCCAAGATCTCAGTAGGGTCAATCTCAAAGACCGTGAGCAGTGCATCACAAGCATATTTCCGACGCTTCGCTATTCCAAGGCTGCAATCGATTACTTCCTTTCGCACATTGTCTTCAAAAAGGAGATGAAGCAATATCCTCATAAGCTCTCTTCATCCGGCTGCGACTTAGGCAAGACGAAGATGAAGCCAACGACTGGTTTCTCTGGTACTAACGACACACGAGAGCTCTTGCCTATGGATGTAGTCCAGCAGGACCTTCCAGCACAACACCACACAAATGCACTTGTACTGGAATATCTCCTTCAGGCAAGCAATTTTGTCGCTCTAATGCCGCCGCCAGAGACCAACATCTCCAACGATGGCGAACGCTTTTTAGAGTTTGTCATGCAACTGGAGAAGCCTGTGGAAGTCATCCTGGATGTTGGCGCTTACATTCTCGAGCTGGATAATCTCGGTGTTGCCAAGGCCTGGCTTCGCAAGAGCTCTCTCCGCAAAGAAGCGGCAATCTATTGTAACGACAATGACCAGCTGTGCGTGGTCGACCGTTTCGGACGCAGCGAGTTGCTGCTGACCTCATCCTTTGCGTCGCGGCTGGACGTTTGCGTGGTGTATCTGGACGAGGCCCATACTCGCGGAATTGACCTGAAATTGCCACCGCTCTGTAGAGCAGCTGTTACTCTTGGACCAAAGGTCACTAATGATCGTTTAAAGCAAGCTTGCATGCGGCTCCGGAAGCTTGGAAAGGGCCAGAACGTGACGTTCTGCGTGCCCGGCGACATTCAGTCACAAATCCGCGAGCGAGGCCAGTTGGACAAAGAGCAGCAAATCAACGTACAAGACGTCTTGTTTTGGGTCATTACGGAGACCTTTGCCGAAGTTCGTCGGAACATTTCACTCTGGGCTGTGCAGAATACCAATTACAGCATTCAGGCCATGAAATGGGAGAAAACCGCTCGCGATGGTCGTCACATTCTGACCAAGGACGCTGCTGAGGACTTCCTGGAACCAGAGGCTCGTGATTTGAACTATCGATATGGTCCAAAGCCTGACAAGAAATCCCCGTTGGCAATTCTTGAAGCACGCAAAGAACCTCGCTTTCGTGAAATTGCGCAGAAGTGCAAGGCGTTCGGCTTGATAGAGTTCCAGTCCCGAAAGCTCAACGAGGAGCAAGAGCGAGAGCTTTCGCCTGAGGTCGATGTTGACGCCGAGCGAGTGGTTCAGAGAGCATTGCCTGCCACACCAGCTCCTCACAAACTCCATGATGATGTTGTGCAGTTCGTCATCACGGGATTCGCAAGCTCAAAGTCAAAGGCATACGGCCCAGCATTCGAGACTCTACGCAACACGAGCGCTGGAGAGGTGTTCGACATGTCTCAATTGAGAGATCAATACCTTCTGGCTACCACAGACTTTGCGCAAACCGTAAAGCACCCCGGCAAAGGCTCCTTGGCAGACTCGTTTCAGCGATCCGTCCAATGGATTCTGACCAGTCGAGACCGACTTACCAATCATGTCAACTACATGCTCATCGTCAGTCCATTCGAGGCACAAGAGCTGCTTTCACTTGTGAGTGTCTCACAGATCGCCACTTTACACCTCTACCGTCCTCGCTACAACGTGACATACCGCGACATGAGCAAGTTAGATTTCTGCACGATTCCCAGCCGGTTTCCAGCACCTGTGGTCCCAAAGGAGCTGATCACGCAGCTCAACATCTTTTCTGGCCAACTCTACTTCTCATCATATGACGACTTCGTCGGCGCTTGCAAGTTTCTTGGTCTCTCACATCTTCCATTCTCGAACGATATGAAGAGCCGCGGATGGAAGGTTGCTTCTGATGGATTCATCGAACGCGATGATCAAGGAAAAGTGGGTGGGCAAGAATCACGTGTGCGAAGCAGTCCTGTCAATTTCCTGAAGGTGCTCTTATCTGTGGTCCGGAGAAATGGTGAGGATATCTCAAAGACGCATTTGGGCGGACTTTTGGATCACAATCTGCTTGGTCCAGTGGACTTTGAGTAGGAGGGTCATTTTGTCAGATGTTGTCCAGGATTAGACACGAATGTGTAGGATAGAGCCCTAGCTGAGGCGCTGTCAAGAAAGATCTGAATAGCATGGAGAGGAGATAAGCTGTTGAAACATTGAAATGATGCTGAACTAGGAATACTCGACATCTTGACAGCTGCCGTACCACTCGCATGGCCACTCTCTTAGCTAGACCGCTTGCACACCATAAAACCGATAAGCTTCTATCTCTTCTGAGTCGAAGATTGATTGTGCGGAGCTGTGAGGCGTGTTATGCTATCACCAGCATGTTGGTCCATATGTTGTTCCTCGATGACCCTGCCCCCAACCTATCCAATCTTCGCTTCTTTCTGCCCCTGTATTCGAAGGGCACTGCGTGCGCTTTGTTGGGTTCGGACTGCGTCGATCCAGCGTTCGAGAAGCTGGATCGGAATGGTGATGACCTCTGGGGCAAATAATAATAGAAGACATCGGCAATACACACATGCTCTTTTCACGTTCGACTACTGTACCTTTGCCAAGCGATGTTGGCCACCGTTGAACAGCGTAGTCGAAGCGTTGCTTCATTGTCTTCTGTCTCGTACGATGGCACACTGAGATCGCTGTTAAAAGTTGCTTTCGATGTAGAAAGAAGACGGTTGAATCCTCGATGGTGTCAGGTAGAACTAAGCTTTCGACGACAGTACCATCCCTTTGAAGGTTATACCGGAGATTCTTGGCGAACCGGTCCCACTAATGGTTCTACTTTCTATGCAAACTTTGGTAGCGTGTCGAACGCCGATTGGGTCTATACCTGTAGCCGACCTCGCTCCGGCTAGGGTGTTAATTAAGGTTAGTAACGAGGGTGCCGCTAGCAACCTTAGAGATTAACTTTGCTAATTAAACCTAAGCAAGTAAAGGAATACAATGCCGCTAAGTATACTAAAGAGACTAGTTTATAGATATAGACCTATAGAATATAGATATAGGTATACTAACTTATATAATATAGCTACGTACGCACTTGCGTACTAAGGAAGAGTCTCGTTAGCGCCGTAGGCTCCGCTCGAAGGATATTAAATTAACTATAGACGAGGTATAGCAACTAGTACTGCTACGGAGTCTATTAAAGTAGCGATTATCGACTACTAGCGATTAATAGAAGGCTATTATAGAGCGCCTTAATAAGGTAGAAGTATAGGTAAAGGACTTAAGGGTAGATTTAAACGTATAGTAATAGCAATAAGCTATTACCGCTCGTAGTAAGGTTAAGGTAAAGGAAGAGCCTCCTATAGAAGGCTCTTAAAGCGAGGAAGAGGTTATTAGCGGCACCGAGTTTAATAAGCTAGCGACTAAGGTAGTAGATTTAAGGAAGGAAGTAAAGGAGCTAAAGGTATTATTATCGTCGTTATTATAGGCTTAGTAGAAGGCCTTCGAGCTAGAATCGAGCCGGCGTTGCAATAGCTAAAGTACTCGTAGAAGAGGTAATAACTAAGCTCGTAGAAGAAGAAGCCGTTAATAGTCGCTTATTAGCAAATAATAGCTTCTAAGCAACTCGATAGGCCTTTAAGTCGGCTATATTATGCTAGTTAAACTAATAGGTGTTATATAGGTTGTATTTAGGTCCGCAATTAAGGTAGGTCTTCGAGGCGTCGTATTCTCGTTTACCTTATAGTATAATAGGCTACTACTTAAGCCGCTAGCTAGTCCTTATAAACCTATAGAGCTAGCACTTCTTTAGCTTTATAAGAGTAACCGTTATTATATAGTTATAGCTGCGGTTAAGCCGTAGCACCTTGTCTAGTAGTAAGTCGCCTTATTTAAAGTAGTAGCGGCGTAGACGAGGTAAGCTAGTATTATAATTAGAGTAAGAGTGTCTACCTATAAATCGCCCCTCCGGCGTACGAGGAAGGCTTCTTACGACAGCTATTACCGCTTCTTGTTTAGCTATTCGAATAGGCTATAATATAGCTATACCTTCTTAAACTAGGTTCTAAGCAAGTCGTATACGATAGTCGCGCTAGCTTATTAGTATTAGGTCTCGAATAGCGTTAGTAGTTGCTCTATTGCGGCATATAAGGTAGGAGTTAATTATAGCTACGTCGAGGAGGAAGTAGAATAGCGGGTACTATAGCTTAAAGGCCTTATACTAAGTACTATAATAGAACCGTAGCTAGTCGTATATATCTACGCTACCTATATAGTTATTATAATAAGCAGCGTATTTCGGTATATACTTGTCCTTAATGCCCTCTATCTAGTATAGGCGTACGTAGTTACGAATATAGGTATTAGTATCCCTCGGCTTCCGTCTCTTCCTCGATTCTCGGTCGACTAGCTAGTATCCAGTAGTAAGCATTTAAACGAGATTTCTGTCCTACTAGATTGGTACCGCTATGTTATAAATTGCCCTACAAAGCACCGTATTAAAGGGAAAGCGCGTCGACTTGCGATATAGGTTAATAGTCTTACCTAAATACGTAGAGAACGAAGCACTAGCCTACGGCTAGCTTTTCGAGCCTATACGTACCGTACCCGTAGCAGCGATACTATACTACTATAGAATAGCAAAGAGAGGTATATTATTAAATAGATTATCTAAGTAAATATAGTAGAATTATCGTTAGAAGGGCAGTTATAGTAGAAGAGATAGGACCGCTTTATAAAGCCTAGACAACTAAGACTTTAGGTTAACTAGCGGCTACGCTACTATAGTTAGTCCGGTTATAACCGCTAGTAGCTTCGCGTAAAGATCGGCTTGCTTGTAAAGGCTCGGCGGTAGGTTAACCTCTTTACCTTTACTAATATTCGCCGCCCTTCTACGCTTTGTTCTACCTATTTAACTATCGGCTTTGCTACTACAACGGCTACGCTAAGAGTGCTGTTTTCTTTGCTACTTAGAGAGCTCTTCTTCGATAAGAACTAGTCTATCGAAGCTAACTAGTATCCTAACCTTCTCGAAGCCCTATTTCTTAGTCGGACTCGAGAATAACTAACTAACGATAAAACTAGCATAATATATAGCTAGTACGTAATAACCGATAGGGTATAGCTTACCCTTTATTATTATTATATACGAAGAGCGTCTAGTAAAGCGAACGAGCACCTCGTTAAGGCTTACGTTAGTACTAGGTGTATAAATCTTCCGCATTTAAACCCTTAACTAATTAGCTAACTACTAAACCTATAACTATAGCAGATTGCCTTTGCTCGACTCGACGGGCTTACTATACTATAGATACGCCTTTAACTACCTAAATCGCTTCTCGGACATGTTCTTAGTAATATTATAAGAAGGCTAGTATCTATTAGTCCGCTAATAATCCGATTTATCGTCCATTTAAATAGCTAATATATAGATAATTATTCCTACGAAGATCTTTATCTTATATAGGTACGCCTTCGTCTACTTTATACTAGAAACTACTGTTTTAATTACTCTAGTCCTAGTATTTATCTTCTTAAACCTAGGCTCTCGAGTATACTCGTTTATATAGTATACTAACTTCTTATAGATCTTATTAATCTACAGCTGTTAGAAGAAGCGCTTCGGTATATTAAATACGTCCTTAGAGGTTAATTTCTCGAAGGACTTGTTACGGCAATCTATACCCTCGAAGAAGCGCTTATTTAAAGGCAGGTATACCTCTAGCTCGTACTAAATACCTCGCAAAGGCAAGTACTTTACTCTATCTATTAACCTCGACTAATCCGGTACCTATACTAGGTTCTTAACGTCTAGCGGCGCCTTATTAACTGCTATACTATTAATAATATCGCTAGTAACGAGAGGCTTATTATCTCGCCTATTTAGCTCGTATTCCGTACTATAACTCGCTCGAATAGCCTCGTAACTAGTAACTACCTCCTACGTCGTAATCTCGTCTATTTCTTTTTCTAGTTCTACTCTAAGGGTACTAACGTCGTATACGGCATTATTATTAATATCGGACTAGTGTCTATCGTCGCCGTCGTCGTCGTCGTCGAAATACTAAGAAGCTATTTATATAAAAGAGCGGTTAATATTAGCCTTCGAGGCTCGAGGTTAATTAGACAACTAGCGAGTTAAAAAAGAGCCGGTTACGGAGTATAGAAAAATGCTATAGCGCTATCCCTAATACTAGCCTAGCAAGCGATAATCTACTATGCTATCTATAGCAAAGCGCGTCCTGTAGGCCCTTGTCTAACAGGGGCTTATGCATGAACGCTCTCAGCCGTCGAAATTTCAAAGGGATGGCGCCGGGGAAGGATCACCTGAGCGGACTTTGCCGATAAAGCATTCCACTTCACGTCTCTCAAAGCTGATCAGCCTGAGCACACTGCACCACAAACTCGAGCTTCTGATGCGTATACACACTGTATAATGTGCAGTTTACTCTCCAGAAGTATTCGTTTCGTATATTGTTGGACGTTCTGATGCTTACCCGGAGGCGGCAGACTTCGCAAACGCAACGTCCATGGCACCTCACATTTTCCTACGGCACGCCAGAGTCGACAAGACGTCTTTACAATGAGAGCAGAAGTCCAGGCTGTTGGCTGCCAAGTTCGGTCCGCGAGAAAGAGTGGAAATCTTGGGTTCAGAGACAGGCGCAGAACAGGCTGATATCTGTGGTCATATGTGCTGGCAGTCCTGTCATAGCGGCCGGCTTGCAATGATGAGATGCATTGCCAACCACTCCGAGGATTGAAAGAGTGTGGTTGAGTATACAAGAGCGGCTCGATGAGACAGTTGAAGAGGATATGCTGGGTTGCTGGACGAGTCTTTGCCATGACTCTGGCTGTCATGCGGCGTAACAGCCGCTGTCGCTTCCTCAACACTTTTGACGACTTCGCGCGGCTCTGACACAGTGTCGGAAGCACGGGTAGTCAGGAATCCATCCCATGATGGTGGAAGACACAGCGTATCACCTCTATGGCTCATATCGATTCAGATTCGAAGAAGCACGTCACTACATTGCCTTGCCTTGCCAGCAGATGCTGTAGGTAATTTTACATATGTGAATAAGATTCCTGCCATTGATGCGACTTTGATGTCTTCAGCAGAGTGTCTCGGCCACCACTTTTGCCCCTGAGGTGTTTCTTGGCACACCGCCGCGGGTGTAATTTTCTTCTCGCGCGCTTTCGCACTCTCTCCTTCTTTTCCTCAGGATTGTCGCAACATCTTGGGTGTGTGTCACGTAGAGGCACACACCCATTATGTCCGCAAACGCTCACGAGCAACTGCAGCTAGTCTCAGGCTAGTATTTAGACAATCCTCATTCCCTTTTCAGGGTGCGTCGAATCTAGCTGAGTGTCTGCCCTGTTTTGCCTGATCGCGTACTGATCTTCTCTAGGGTTGCTATCGCTCGCTCACGCGGCGTTAGCTATTAAATCTCAATCCTCTCCTCAGCATCGCGCTGCTGGACAGTATGGCGCTGCAGCGCCCAGCAGAGCTCGTGACGAGCGAAGCCGTTCACCTCGCACTCAGCCTGCTGCACCATTCGAGAGCCGCGCTTCTCCCGTCGCTGCTGCGTCGTCAACATGGGCGTGGGACGACAAGCTCACGCGCTTCGTGGATAAGTCTGGCAACAATCCCACTCTAGACTCTGATCTTGATTTCGACATGATGGATCCAGGAGCGAGCAGCGCCAACTACGTGGTTGCGTCCCGTCAAGATGATGCCTCACTGCTCCATCATTCCGACTCAGCCATGAAGTCTGAGGATGTGAATGAGCAACTGGATCGGCCAGAGCGATCTGCTGCTGCGGAGTCAGTCTTCGGGCATCCGCCAGAACTGGACACCGAAATGGCACGCTGCGACGACGACGATCCCAGTGCACCCGAGAATGCCGATGTTGACAATGGTGACGACTTTGCAGGTGCCGACTCCGACAGCTCTGAAGGTTTCATCGACGAAGTTCCAGACTTGTTGAAGGCCAGGAGGCTCGCGGAAGAGAGCGAACGTTTCACAGCACGTCTACAAGAGCGGTTCCCGGTGAAGCAAGAACAGGCCCGCAAGGAGATCGAATCGCTCGAATCAGAGCTTGGTGACCCGTTCTCACAGGCGTACGCCAGCATTCTCAGGATCGCCAGAGAGCAGGCGTCTCTGGATAGCAGCCATCAACAACACGCATACACCTTCCCGCTGGTGCCAGTGCCGTGTGACCCTATGCATCCGGCGACGACACCGCCGCTACCAGGACTGGCATGGGACTATCTGAAGTCGATTGCACCAAAGAAGTCCAGCAGCACTGATCACACAGATCACTGGTGTAGCGAGAATGTGATTGTCAACTTGGTCGGCATTGATTCGGACAAGCATGCACCCGGCAGCTTCTTCTGCAAGCCATGCGACATCCGGTACTGGGTCGATGGTAATGAACTGGACCTCGATGAGAGCCTTCGACGCCTCAGTCAAGACCTGACGCACGTCAAAGCCAACGGATGGTCTTGTACAGACGATGCGAATATCGGACAGTTCGTGACGTTGGATGGGGCAAGGAAGGGTACCACACGAGCTGTCGTGCCCGTCTGTCACGCTTTCCACTGGTTTGTCGTGGTCGGTGACCCAGATCTGGAATCACCAAAAGGTCAACGTGTTGGCACCATCACCATTCTGAACTCGATGGACGGCCGGGCATCCCAAGTCAACAAGAGACTGGCCAAGCCACTGATGCAACTGCTTGAAGAGTGTCCGGACTTTGCCTGGGAGCAAGACGATTGGATTTTCGCACGAAGGCTTCACTTCCCGGTGACGACATCAGAGCCGCGCTAGACGACATCAAGAGCGGCAAGCTCACTGTCAGTGACGCACCCCACTACGGAAACCCGATCGACGGTATACATCCTATAAAGAGGCTCAATACGCGCCAGATCCTCGTCGCCATACTTCGAACAGGACCGCGCGAGGGCATGGAGTGGGGCGCGATTTTCCGGCGATACAAGTCTATGCATGCGGCGCTCGAACAACCGATGTCGCCTGAATATCGGCAGCACCTCAAAAACGCAATCAACAGACGCAAGGGTATGTTCTCCATTGAGGATGCAAATTCTCGTCGACACCGACGCCATCACTGAGGAATCGCAAAACAATCCAACGGATGTCGACATTCTTCAGAATGCTCCTCTAAGCCTGCACAATAAGGACTTGTACAGATATCTGCTGGCACGTGCAGAGGAGTTCCGAACAATAAGGTGGAAAGACGGCACTCAGCAGGTGCTTAATAACTTCTTTGGAAACCAGGTCTCGTCGAAGTCGGCCGCATATATGTATGCGAGCAGCATGCACGATCTTCACAACCTAGGGCTAATTGTTCGAGGTGACATGGAGGAGGAATGGCCTGCGGAAGCACTTGCACTCGTCCGGAAAGATAACATGAGGGAGAGAGCAAAGATAGACTACAAAGCCTGGGAGCGCATCTATCCCGAGGCGCATTACGGGACCGTGCAGAAGAGGATCAAACGGATGAGGATGAAGCTCCGCCAACAAGATCATAGACGCGCCGCCTTTGATCACGCTCGAGGAGCTCCTGCACATGTCACTGGTATCGACGAGGACGGGCTTGACGAAGAGGAGTGCCCCTCTGGTGACGACTCTCGAGAAGAAGCACAGAATCCCGACCCCATCGACGAGCATGACGGCGATGGTAGAAATGAGGATGACAATGTTCCATTTGTTGGGATATCTCGAGCAGCGCAAGACCTCGACATACTGGTTGGTGCGCCACTCAGATACAAAGAAGAGTTGATCAACATAACCTTGCGACATTTCACGTGTAACGAAAAGGCACTGTCGGAAGTGCAGAAAGCTCTGCCATGGAGTTCATCACAAGGCGCGGCGCGGACTCACTTTTATAATTGTCAAAACGCACTAGTGGCTCTTGGCCTGCTTCGAAAAAAGCCGGAGCGCCCAATCAGTAACGAAGAACGACGTGCAGTTCGCGCACATCCCGGCCGCATTACCAAGCGGAAGAGCCACTTTTGGCACAAGATTTTTCCGGGAATAGTTCGCAAACGCAGCTTAGGGAGAAAAGTAAAACTGCTGAGAGAGACGATTGCTCTCCAAGACTACCGCTCTGCATATCTACAACGCACTGGAATGGTAGCAGAGCAGTCGATGGATGGGTCGGACGACGAGGACCCAGGCAGCGATAACGAGCAGGAGGCAATGGACGACGGCGAAGACGATGCAGATTGAGATGGCGATGCATACTGTACAGCAATGCAGTCGGCGATGACGCGAGGTATGTGATCCGGTCGTTTTCTTGATTTGCTGACATTTCGCAATCCACTTGGTCCTGAGCACGACCGAAAACTGCTGCTGCACAAAATGACCTACCTTCGCGTGGTGTGTGGTGTCAGTAAGCGCAGTTCGCTTCTTGTTCCCTAGCATTGAAGCACTGTGACTGAAGCGAAAGGTCAAAATCTTATAAACTTTATAACGAGGCATGCTGGAGAGTCTATCTTGCTAGCTCTGTGGATCCTGTTGTGTCGAAGCGAATCTGATTTACATAGTACTTGGTAGAGCCGTTCACAATTGATCATCAAACTCTCGTCTCTCCTCTTGACAATCGTGACACGTTCTCTGGAGCGATCACCTCATCATCCTGATATTCCTCCTCCTGATATTCCAGCTCTGCAATCTTATCTGCTAGACCTTTGACCTCGGCTTTCACGTCCAACTTCAAGCATGCAAATGGTTGAGGCTCTTTTGCATATCGGAGCATCTAGCTTGAGGCCACTGGTGTTTCTCGTCTTGAAGCGAGACTCGAGGTCTTCAATCTGTTTCTTCAGAGCGGCGTTCTCTTGCTCGCTATCCTTCTTATTCACTATCTGGATGTGCTGGTTCATGCTTGGAAAGGAGCCCTTAAGACCACTCGTAGGACTCGCCATGCAAGCCGTCCGTGAGAAGGCCATCGACCTTCTCGGCAAGCTTTCCGACAGCGGCATTGGCATGCAGCGGGTCGCTGTAGCTGTTGGTTTCGTCCTCTTGCGACGCTATGTTGAGAGTTGAGAAGACTATCGACCTTCTCGGCAAGCTTTTCGACAGCGGCATTGGCAGCGGGTCGCTGCAACTATTGGTGTCGTCCTCTTGCGATGCTATGTTGAGAGTCCAGTGACGATGGTTGGCGAGGTTCGAGGCTTGGTGCCTGAGGCACTGATCCTCGCTTGCAGGCGCCTGAAGACAAGCGGCAGCCGGGCCAAAAGAACAGCTGTGCAGCTGTGCAGCCCTCTTATACAACTGTAGTCCGTTTGTATACAGAATATGTTGTGTTGTTGTGTAATTGGAATTTGTGCTTGTAGGCGGCTGCGCATGCCTATATACAAAGTGCGAGCGAAGCCTCCGCCTTGTACCGCCTTAAACTACGCTTCGATTGTAGCGAGGCAAGGGAGGCAACTTTCGCCGCGATATCGTTGTAGTCACGTCGTTCGCTAGTTGTTGCGGTTCTTTGGTCTTTATAGGTCGTCGCGGTGGGAAATCTGCGTTCCATTCGCAGAGAGACCATGCCAGATCATTCTATTTTGCTTCTCGACTGCTCTTCGCCTTCAATTAGGTCAGTGCTGTAGCTAGTCGAGGAGAGCTTGGAGGCACTTGTGGGAGTGGCTATGGTGATACTGTATAGGTCCGAAGGTCCGGCAGATAAAGTACCGTACAGGCAGGTGCTGCCTGAGCTCAGGTGGCCGAGCGATGCGTGGAAGTTGTTTGTTCACGAAGCGGTCGACCTCTGGCACCTCCTAGCGAAGGTCAGGTGACCAAGGGAACTTGGAAACCGCCACCTAATGCCATTAGCCTCGCGATATCTGCGATGTCCAGTATTAAGCAAGTTAATAGCTTAACTAGTAGTGCCCTTTATCGCGGCCTTACTAGCCTACCGAACGCTTATACTATAGTAATAAAAATTAGCTACTAAAACGCCGGTATTCTTATTATAAAGAAGGAAGATAAGCTAATATTCGAGGTCTTCGAGCTCTTACTACGTAATAAAGATATTATTATAACTAAAGGCCGACTTATTTGTATATTCGCCGCAAACGCGATAGCTATAAATTATAGCCTATTAGGTAGGTTAGACGGATTTCCTATTAATAATCGCTTATACGCTCTCTACTATATACCGCTAAATAGTACGAGAAATATAGCCTCGTTCTAAGAAGGCTTAGAATAGTTACGAGGAGGACCGCGATATATACGACGATATATAGTACTAGATATACTTAGGCTCGAATACTATAACGAAGAACCCTATAACGAAGAATCGTAGTAGAGGCCGTAGCAGAGGTCGTAGAGGTCGTATTAGTAGCGGTAGAGTTAGTAGAGCTATTTATTAAACTCTCGTCTCCTTTTACTAATTATAGTAATAGCGTCTATTCTCTTTTATAATATTCCTAGATATAGAGTAATAGCGGAGTCTAGCCCTTATAAATATACCCCTAACCTCTCTTAAAGCTATCGAAATCGGAAATCCTATATCGCTTCTATAAGAAGGGGTAGTATAAAGGTCTCTATTTCTCTTTACGAGGTTGCTAGCTCGGAGTAATAGCTAAGTTAGGCCCTTGTGCACCTATACTAAGCTCTCTTAAAACTATAAATTCGGCTTAAAATTATTTATCGCTTCCGCTAGATAGGATAGTTTGAAGGCCTTCGTTTCTCTTTGTAAGCTTGCTAGCTATAGAGTAATAGCTGAGTTGTACTATTGTGAATATGTCCTAACCTCTCTTTAAGCTTACGAAATCCTATATCGCTTCCCTGGAAAGTAGGGTACGAAGGCCTTCATTTCCCTTTGCGAGGTTACTAGCCATAGAGAGATGGCCGAATTGATCTGATTGAACGAGCATTGACGTGCCGATGCCGCGTTGAATGTCCATCGCCTGCCTCACTCCATAATAGGCCTCCACATTTTCCTGCCCATAAACTTCTCTACACCTTCATCAGCCATAACGTCGTCCGCCAGTCTTCCGGTGACAACAGAACGCTCGTGGTCGCGGCCTCTCACAAAGAAAGCATCTCTTCCAATCCACCGACCGGCGTCCGGTCCGCTCCGAGGTTTGGTGAAGCCTGAGTTCGACCGGTCGAGAGTCAGGAACCAGTGCCGCTGATGGATAGATCCAATGGTGTTGTTAGCCCCAGTGTAAGCATTATTCGCGCGAATGACTTCATTCTCATCGTCTTCCGATGCGTTTCCAGCCTCGATGTCAATTGCATCGGGTATGTGCTCGCGGCTCGCAGAGCTGACCCCTTCTGTATCAGACTCGCCTTCGCTGCTGGTTACAGTAGCAGTCTGAACAGTCTTGGCAGGATCGAGACGGCGCCGTTTGCGCTTTGGCCTCTTGGCATGCCCAGCCTTATTATTCGCGGATGGTAAGCGTAGTGCAATTGTGTAATCCTTTGGAAGCCTCGTACCATGAAGTCGAAGTCTAATGTGTCTTGCTTGGAAAGCATCGAACAAGTTTTGGCTTTGCGAGGCCTCGTTTGCACTTTCTTCGTCATCAGTCATCTCATCATCTGTATTTGGCTGTAGCTTGGGTCGCGCGCGCGGAAGGACTTCGTATTGACCGGTATCCCATATGAGAAGGGAGCCTGTTGCATGAGATGCAGATTCTATTAAATTATTCTGATGTCATTAGTGCCTACCTTGAAGGGATTACAGTTCGAGAGATGAGAAACGATTTCCTACCCATAGATTGTGCACGCGTGTCTCTATCGCCATCCGGTTCGGCCGCTTCGAATTCGGATTCCCTGGCAAGCCATACGGCACGGCAAAGCTAATGGTAGAGGTTTCGGAAAACTGGAGTCGCAGGTCGTAATGTACGCCAGCGACGGGGTGATCATGTTGATGGACAACAAAATGTGCGCCGTGACTATGCTGGTTTCTCTGGTATAGGTCTCGAAAGGCATCTATAGATATGCGAGGACCATCGGTGGGCCTTGAGACAGATGAAAGGTGATTGACAAAGTACGAGAGGTGGTCACGAATATGCAGCTCGTGCGCCTCGATCTTTGCCGTCTCCGACTTGTCCTTGACATCAGAGCTGTCTTGTTCCTGTTCCCGTTCCTCCTGAACATCGAGCGTGCGTGCTGCAGTTGTCGATGCTCTTCTCACAGGCGGAGGTGATATGTCCCTTGCCAAAGTTACCAGCCGAGCCATGATCACTCACTGTGTCTCTTACTGGTTATCCCCAATCGCGTAAACATAAAGAGACGCGTTCTGAAGCCAAGTTGAAAGAAGATGACGCTCTGAGGCGGGTCCGTGCGCAAGCTTTGGTGATCACTGATCCTGGAAAGCGAGCACAAGACTTTGTAAGAATAATCCATACCTCACACCATCGACCATCCAACCATTTAACACGTCAATCAACTCGACACATCAAATCACAATGTCATTCCTCTTCGGTGGTGGTCGGCCTCAGCCGTCATCTGCAGAGAAGATTGCTGCAGCAGAAGCTGAGATCGAGATGGTCTCTAACATGTTCAACCAGTATGCGCAGCGCCTTTTCCTACGCAACCACCGTTGACTGATCCTTGATCAATAGACTCGTCGATACGTGCACGAAGAAATGCATACCGCCACAGTACCGAGAAGGCGAATTGAACAAGGGCGAATCCGTGTGCTTAGACCGCTGCGTCTCGAAATTCTTCGAAGTCAACATTAAGGTCTCGGAAAAGATGCAAGGCGAGGCGCAGGCAAGACAGGGCGGTGGCGGAATGTTTGGTCATTAATGGACGATAGCAAGAGGAGAGTAAGGATTGGTTGAGCTGGCAATCTGAGATACGCTTGAGCATGAGTGAGGGCAAGATGGATGCAGGAGACAGCGCACTCTGCGGAAGGCGCATGGCATGTCCGTATACGCATGTATGATACAGCTCGCAGTTGGCCAGCCACCATTGCGACGAGGGCAGCAGGCGCAAGGCGCGCGCTGTACATATACTGGGACATTCAACTCAGGATACAGCATGAAACAGATGTGGCTCACATGGAAGGATCGGGCGAGTCAAGCAGTAAGCTCGACGTGTTTGCTGTTCTATCATGCAGTATTTACAATGAAGGTGCCGTCCACCCGTCAAGGCCGCGAAACCATGCAATTCCCATTGCCCAACGCCCACGCCGCCCACGCACATGCGATGCAATGCAATGCGATTCTGGTATCATGAGTCGTAATCATGCTTTCTCAAGTCTTGTCCTGTCGCTTCGCCTCGGCAACGTCCAGGGCACAGCACAGATGACCTGTGACTTATTAGCGCCTTCTTCAATGACAGGGCTGTATAACCTACCTCTCCCTCACTATATGCCCAGAAATACACAATAGTCGCGACAAAATAGTACAGTGCCGGATTTGTGGACTGGTACATCAAGATTGCCGACATGCTTGCAAACGGCAACCACATCAAGCGGACCTCGAGGCTTCGGTGTATCGGCGAGCCGGCCACAAACTTGACAGGCCATTCGTATATGAGGGTAATGATTCCGACAACGAGATTTATGATCTGAAGGATTGGGACGGGCTTCACTGCAGCGTCGAAGTTCTTTGTGAGCCAGTCGAAGAAGAATTTGGGCCAGAAGAAGCCTTCAAGAGCGGCTGCTATGTGGTCTGGGTGATTGTTAGCATGTATGACTGACTATAGATGAGCTGTATATGGGTGTCTTACAGATAGCAGCCGTCAGGACAATAAGCCGAGCCCAGTGATTCTTGATCAACTTGCCCATGGCGTTGGTGAGACAAGCTCAAGTCAATATGCGCTATACAGTCTGTATGCGCTTTTGGCTACCGATTCTGCTGAAGGTATCTCATCGTCCAGAAAGGCTTTCATAAGAATCGGACAGGGCCCTTTGGAAGGTTTGTACCCCAGTTGAAGAGGGCTCGACGTGATCAATAGCGCCCTGGTCACTTGTGGATAGGGCAAGCTGAGAGATATGCGAGGTGATAGAGGAGTGCAAGCGGGAGAGACCTTACGCAATGGGATCTACATTTTTCTGGGCGGGCGATTCGGAGCGGGCTGACTCGTCACCAGCCGTGTGTCCGGAACTGGAGTGAATGTCTGCGTGGCAGAAACGCGGTGGGCAAAGTGCTTGCGGGTTGGCAAGCTGGAAGCGCCGACAAAGACGAATCGTTGTCGACTCTGGCTTTCTCAGGGAAGCTCTGCTCTCTGATTGGAGCTTGACATTGCGGAGCACATCTGATGGCCGGAAGTCAATCTTGGCCCGACTGCTGCTTCAACCACACATCTTTTTTTTACCGTCTTCAAATCCTCCTCCTGTGCTCCGAAACTAATGGCACGAAAAGTTTCCCCGACGACTTCGGTCCGGTATGAATGCCATTCTCGAGCTTTTCGGACAATTCACCTGCCTTGGGAATGCGAAGAGTCGGAAAGGCCTTCGAAAGGAAGCGTGAGTCCATCAGCCAATTAGAAGCAGACATTCACTGTGCTGGTTGCCAAGTCACTAGCGCCAGCGGTTAAAATCTGATTCTGCAGGTGCTGTCGGCTCGCGCCGCCCAATCCTGCAAGCACGACGCGCTCCGCTTGCACAACGCCAGCACGCGGTCGGATGAGCACGCAGCTTTCTGAGAGGTTGGACACCTGCGACCATGCCATGGCGGTGGCGGCTACAGTACCGTCACGCATCACGAGCAATCGGTAAGCATAGGCACGGTGCGTGCTTCTCAAGAAGACTAGAAGGACTGGTCACCTTGGGAACTTTCTGAAAACCGAGCAAGAGCAAGGAGAGCCAGTATTCCCCAGATACGACCTTTGCGACATGAGCCGGTAATAGAACAGGACGAGCTTGTCGCAAACCCACAACCAAGGCCGCAGGCTGGGCCCAAATCTCGAAACCTACAAAGCGCCAGACAAAATATCCAAGAGACCATGGCAGTCCCGAAGCAGAAGTCATGGCTTGCGAAACAGCTTACGCCGCGAAAGCTACTCTTCTACTGCGTATTTCATGGCCTACATATCCTAATATTCATAATTGGCTGGTGGAAACAAGCGACAGATCAGCGCCTTGCACCGCTCAACACATTACAATTCAGCGTGTGGTTCTCTCGTGGAGCTGGACTATGTCTCTCCGTAGACGTTATGCTCATCCTCTTCCCCATGTGCCGGAATATCCTCAGAGAGATACGACCCAAGATAAGGTGGCTACCACTCGACGAAAGTCAGTGGTTCCACCGCCAAGTCGCATACAGCTTGTTGATCTGGACCATCGTACACACAGGATCACATTATGTGAACTTCTTCAACGTTGAGCGAAGTCAGGTCCGGAAGGAGGCTGCGATTGAGGTCCACTATCATCAAGCCGGAGGCATCACTGGACATGTTATGCTTTTTTGCATGTTGATGATGTACACCACCGCACATTCAAAGATTCGACAGCAGAGTTTCGAGACTTTTTGGTACACGCACCATCTGTTCATCCCCTTCTTCTTGGCAATGTACACGCATGCAACCGGATGCTTCGTGCGTGACAGCCTCAATCCCTATTCACCTTTTGCCGGCAAGCCTTTCTGGGGACACTGCATAGGCTACCAAGGTTGGCGATGGGAGCTCATTGGAGGTGGTCTCTACCTATGCGAGCGAATCTGGCGAGAGATCAGATCGAGACGCCAGACAGAGATCATCAAGGTCGTCAAGCACCCTTATGGTGAGCGTTGAACCTTTCTGACGTGTGGCATCGAATACTGACGTGAACACAGACGCCGTTGAGATCCAATTCCGCAAGCCCAGCTTCCGCTACAAGGCCGGCCAGTGGCTCTTTATCAATGTCCCATCAGTGAGCAAGCACCAATGGCATCCCTTCACGATTACATCGTGCCCATTCGATCCATACGTGAGTGTGCACGTTCGACAAGTAGGTGACTATACTCGCGCGCTTGCCAACGCTCTCGGCGCCGGAACCGAGCAGAAAGAACTTTACAGCGGCCTAGACCCAATGGGAATGTACGAAGTCGCGCTCATGTACGGTCAAGAAATGCCCAAACTCCGAGTTGATGGTCCCTACGGTGCACCGGCCGAAGATGTCTTTGAGAACGAAATCGCAATCTTGATCGGAACCGGCATTGGTGTCACCCCTTGGGCAGCAATCTTGAAGAACATCTGGCACATGCGATTATCACCCAATCCACCAAAACGACTCCGAAGAGTAGAGTTCATCTGGGTATGCAGAGACACAAGCTCCTTCGAATGGTTCCAAGCTCTGCTCTCAAGTCTGGAATCTCAAAGTCGAGAAATGAGCGGCGCAGGCAGTCATACCGAATTCTTGAGAATTCACACTTACCTCACGCAGAAAGTGGATGCCGATACTGCTCAAAACATCGTGCTGAACTCTGTGGGCACTGATAAGGATCCTTTGACTGAGCTTTCCAGCAGGACGAATTTCGGGCGTCCTGACTTCAATAGGTTGTTTGTGGCTATGAGAGAAGGTATCCTGAACCAATCGTACATCGCAGGTATCAACCAGGGCGGCAGAACTGATGTCGGTGTCTACTTCTGTGGCCCGAACGTGGCGGCTAGGGATATTAGGAAGGCTTGTAAAGAGGCTACGGTGAAGGAAGTCAAATTCAAGTTTTGGAAGGAGCACTTTTAGTTGCAGCAGAACAGTACTTACTGTACAGTGCATGTGCATGAGCGGAACTGGCGTGTTTGGGAGGAAGCTCGATGGCATATGACGAAATTTTATCTACCTCCTTCTCAGGCTCTTCTTGTAGACCTCCTTCCACGCGTGTATGTTCCATCTTCATTTCACGTGGGTTTTAGCGTCGATCGGCGCATTCGCTCTGCATTCCGGATGGAGATGCGGCCGCGAGATAATAGCTCTTGTCCCGACTCGTCTTTGTGGAAGATATCTGCAGCACCCGTGGCACTCCGGCAGGCACCCTTGAGGCCCAGGCGATCAAGGTAAGGTGGTGATCAAAGAGAGTTCCCGACAGCATGCGTTGAAGTTGTGGGCATGCACACCACTTTGCAGCTTCCTAGCCTCATGAAATCTTGTACGCCTTCTCAGCCGTGCCTTTCCAGACCAAAGCCTTGTGATCATCATTAAGCCTCAGACTACTATGATCAAGCAGTAAACCGACCACATCCTTCCACACGACCCATGAGTCCTCTCCAGCAGGGCCTCTCACATTACACACCGGCCAGTCGCTACCAAACATAACCCGACCAGGCCCAAACGATGCGAAAACGTGCTCGACCCAAGGCCTCACATGCGTCGCGATCGCAGCCGCATCCGACAGGCCTTCGGGAATCTCACTCAAAGCCCCAGAAAGTTTCATGTAAGTCTTCGGAAGCGCAGACATATGTTCGATGACCTTAACCCAGCGATCGAAATCCGGACCATTAGGGAGAAAGTCTGGTTTGCAAAGATGATTGAGAACGAACGTGACTTTCTCATCTTCCGACACGTCGACGTGAGCAGTCGTCATGGCTCGAGATATGAGTTCCAATTGCCAAATTCCCCCGGAATGCTGATCGACACCGACATCAAATGCGAAACTTCGTTTTCCGAGGAGTTTGAGGTTGTTGATGAAATGTCGACTGGAAACTAAAGTCTTGAATTTCTCCTCGTCGAGGATCGCTTGGAGTAGGAATCTGACCCCTTTGACTCGTTTCCACGTTTCTGGTCCAGCGGCTTCTTCGGCTAGTCGAAGCCATTCTTCGAGGACTTCTGTTGATTGATCCATGGGTGCCCACGCCACGATTGCCAGTAACATTTTGCTGTCGCGTTCGCCGTATTTGCCTTCTGCACAGTCTCGGAGGAATTTGATCTCGTCTAGAGGCCCTTTCGCCCAGTCTTTGACTTCTCCCCAGGGTGGACTGTATCGTACATCTGTCTCGACGTATACGACGCCGGTGACTTCGAAGTCTGTTTCTGAAGACCCATCCTGCTTTGATGCAGCGTAGTAATGTGATAGAAGATGTTCTTTGGCTAAGGGCATGCCCGGTGTCATCCAAGCATGCCCTTCCTCATTGCACATATGCTCAGGCCATAGGTGAATGTGGCTATCAAGGACACACCGCGGAGCCATTCACGATGCGGTGGGGAAATTCGTATGCTTGAATGGTGGCGTGATGTTTCTGTCGGGACTTCTTTGGCGTTCGGGTCCTGTCAAGAGCGGCATCAATGATAATGGCAACGTCGATTGAGCGGCATCATTCCCACCCAAGCCTGGAGTGGACTTTGATGGCAAGCGTCCGTCTGGCTCTCGCTTCAAAGCCCACCGAGGACCCCTCACCTTGCAAGCAGTACATCATCTCGAGCACAACTTTCCTGCCATGGCGCGTCTTCACGCCTACGGTCGCGTGGCCAGCACAAGACTGGTTGTTGGTACGCATGCGGGATTAAGCTCATTCGCTGAGTTGCGAAATGGCACTTCTACACGGCAAGGTCGCGGCCATCACGGGAGCTGTGACTGGCATTGGAAGAGCGATTGCCATTGACTACATCAGACACGGCGCGAGTGTTGCCGTGAACTTCTTTCCCGATGACAAGTCCAAGAAGAAGTTTGAAGAACTGCAAAGCGAAGTCGGACCCGATGCAAGGCTCATCGGTATCGGCGGAGACATCACAAAGCCGGAGACGGGGCAAGAGCTCGTGAGGGCGACAGTCGAGAAGTTTGGGAGGCTAGACGTGTTCGTGAGCAATGCAGGAGTCTGTCAATTCGCAGACTTTTTAACGTGAGCCTTCTTCAATTTCGACTGCGCGTGCCGTACCTGCTGACCCGAGCAAAGGATGTCGCCCGACCTCGTCAATCACACCATCTCTACCAACCTCAACGGTGCCTTCTTCGCAGTCCAGGCCGCGGCTCAGCAGATGGCGAAGCAAGAGCCTTCAGGAGGGAGCATAATTGGTGTATCATCTATCTCAGCGCTCGTTGGAGGCGCCGGCCAGACACACTACACCCCTACAAAAGCCGGTATATTGTCTCTGATGCAAAGCACAGCATGTGCATTGGGAAAGTACAACATTCGATGCAATGCTTTGCTCCCAGGCACTATCCGGACGCAGCTCAACGATGAAGATCTTGCGGATGAGGAGAAGCGCAAATACATGGAGGGTAGGATACCACTGGGAAGATTGGGCCAACCGAGAGACTTGGCAGGTCCAGCGGTCTTCCTGGCAAGCGATCTGAGCGAGTACGTGACGGGCGCGCAGTTGCTGGTGGATGGAGGCCTATTCGTAAACCTGCAATAAATGCTGCTGTTTGGAAACATCCTAGAGAGCGAAAGCTCACTGCGTCATTTGGGGCATCAGACAACGGAATCCGAGTGAATCGGAACGTCGTTCATGGCTACAAGGCTGGCATTAGCTCCATCAATCAAATCCACCAAAGTCCGAATCACTATCTTCAGGCGCTGCTTCCCGAGAACGGTTTCGGCTGCCTTGAATGGCCCCTTTTCTCTTGTTCTCTTCTCGGCGCACGTATCCCGCCTTTGTGCTGATCTTGGCTTTCCTCGCGGCTTTGGGGTCTTTACTGGCGCCACGTGCGGTGCGAGATTCAACACCATATTTCCTCAGATCGTGTTTGGCTTTCTTCGTCAGACTTGGTAACGTATCCAAGAGCCATTGCTGCACACCGCCCTCCTGGCTAGCTCCCGCTTCCGCTTTTTGCTTCTGCGCAGCAGCGACAGCATTGGCAACGTGCTTTATGTATGGAACATCTTCCTTGGTGTACAGCGTAACAGCCACGCCGCCTTCTCGGCCTGCGCGCCCTGTTCGTCCTACCCGGTGTACGTATGCAGCGCTTGAGGTCGGTATATCATAATTGACCACTCCATTCACACCTCGGAAATCCACGCCTCGCGATAACAGGTCGGTCGTGATGAGCACCCATATCTCGCCTTTGCGGAATTTAGTCATGACCGTGTCGCGAGCACTGTCTGAGAGGTCAGAATGCAGCACTGCAATCCGACTAATGCCGCCAGCTTCAGCAGGGATATCGTAGAGAAGCTCAGAATGTAGCGCGACCGCCCGTTCGATGGTTTGCGTAAAGACCAGGAAGGGCAATAATAACGGAGGACCAGCTTCAGAAGAGGGCGTTGTTGGATGCAACAGCTGTCGCAGTCCCATCAACTTTCCTTGTTCTGAAGCAGCATATATCAGCCTGTGCTCGACATTAGGGACCGCAGAGTCTTTCAAGCCCACCACAAGACGAATGAGAGGGCTATCGTCTTGCACTATGCCCAGCTTTGCTTTTCTCTCACCAATCACCGATATTGCCAACTCCTCGATGTTACTACCCATTGTTGCTGACCATAAACTAACCCGCAATTCCACATGAGGCAAAGCGTGCCAGATGCCGAGCGTCTGCTCGCGGAAGAGCGGGTCAAGGAGTACATCTGCTTCATCCAGAACAAGGTATTGAACATCTGGTAGTTTCGCATCGCTCGCAGACACGATTGATGCCAGGATTCCTGGAGTCGAGACCAGGACATCCGATTTCACCGACACCTCGCGACCCTCACTGTGATCTTCGTCTTCGTCCGAATCCCCATCGCTGTCGGTCGTCATGGCAGACCCCAATCGCATTCCCTTCCGCACCTGCGTGACTTTTATGCCTGTATTGCGAGCCAATTTTCGAATCTCGTTCACGATTTGACCAGCGAGTTCTTTTGTTGGCGCCAGAATAATTCCCTTGCTACTCCTCCGATCGCCTGGTCGTTCTCGTCTAAGCCTTTGAATACTGTGCAGCAGCGTGATCGCGAACGCCAGCGTTTTGCCACTCCCGGTCGGCGCAACTGTCAATAGATCTAAGCTGGAAGAATGAGCAGCGGCAAGCGGTCGGTCTGCAGAAGAGAGAACGTTTTTGGGCTTTTCCAGTAAGAGCGGGATTGCACCTAGCTGTACTTCGGTGGGCATTGTGTACCCTTGTTCCTCAATGTTGGCTGAAATTCTACTGGAAATATCATATTGGGCCTCCAATTCGGCGAAGGAGCACAATGGCTGTGGGAAAATGGAAATTTTCTCTGCCCTTTCGCTCTTATCCTTCTTCTTGGGCGTCCCTCGCTCTGGTGCCTTCTGTGAGCATGGCGCGGCATTGAGCCATGTGACCTTCACTTTGTGCTCTTTCAGTATACGCTTGCGCTCATCAAGAGAGATCATGGCAGGCTTCTTCGACGGTAGATGAGGTGGATGCGCCTCTTGCTTTTCGACATGTTTTCCACCGATGGCACCTGCCTGAGAATCGGTACCGCGCGCATCATTCCGTGAATGATTTCCGAAGAAATTGAGCTCTACGGTCTCTGGTGGCTCGCCTTTCCCGCGTTTGCGCTTTTTTGAAGTCGTCAACACAGTCGAGACGCTGCCTTCGCCCTTGCTGGGAAATAGTTGTGGCGAGGCATTTTGACCGCTGGACGGTGTCGTTGTTGTTGCAGTCTTTGCGCTCGGGCTCCTGTTCGATTTCTGTCCACGCGCCAAAAGCCTACGTAAATCCATCTCAAGGAAAAGTGTTTGGAAATTGGCGGCGGCAGGAGCAGTTGGCTGGCGGTGTGCGGCTCTTCTCCTGCAGTAGGCGAAAGTCTGGTACGCGCGGAACTAGCCGTCAAGATTTTGGCATTGAGCTCCGGTTCAGCACAACATCACCAATCGAAGGTCTCTCACACTCCTTCAGCATCCCACAGTCATGGTCTCTCCTGCCATACCGCGGCTGGTCCTCCGGCAAACTCGATTCATCGTCCAGCGACGCGCCGCCTCAACTACGTCCGAAGCCGCAAACGCGGCATCAAAGAGCGCAACTGCTGCTAAGGAGACCGCGCAGAGCACAGCATCAAAGGCATCAGAGGGCTTGTCACGAGTTACAAGCTCAGCCGGCCCGGCACTCAGCAAGGTAGCCAGCTCCGCAAGCAATGCGGTATCGAGCATCGGGGGACGAACCGGCAGAGCAATCAGCTTTGTGCAAGGTTAGATGGCCTGGAAAGAAGCAATCAAGGAACTGTGCTAACATGCGACGCGAAGGTCTCGTTCCACACGTCGTATACTATGGCAAGGTTGCGGGAGAACTTGGGAAGATCATCTACAATGGTCGCAGCATGCAGCCACCGTAAGTCTCATGAATGCCCAGCTCTGCACGCACCTTTGCCTAACGCACTCTGCCAGGTCCATGCAAACCGTTCAATCCTATCTCACTACTGTGACCAACGTGATCCGCAACCCTTCCGCAGCTGCTAGCCTTGGATCAAAGACAGCTCAGGCTGTCGAGCGATCCGCGCAAGCCGCCATTGACCAGCCACACTCGTTCCTAACCAGACTTCGAAACCTCGACTCAGCGACATTGACCCAGGTCGGTATTGTTGGAGCTGAGACTATTGGTTTCTTCTCCATCGGTGAGATTATTGGACGATTCAAGCTTGTTGGCTACAGAAGCAGTGCACCTGCACATCACTGAGCAACGGGCATATAAGAGGTGACGTGGAGAGAGCGAGAGAGAGGCAGCTGAGATATATCCTATAGACACTGTGATCGAGCTTAAAAGCAGTTCTCTCACAGTCGGGGAAAGAAATCGCGCCTTCAGCAAACAGCTGGCGCCCGTACCTTTTTTGGGCATAACCTGAAGCATTTTTTGCCTCTAGAATTGACGTGCCGGACCTGTATCTTCTCCTCTGCGATGCCACTGCCTGCGATCCCTCTCACATGCGATCCTGAAGAGTACTTGCTACAGCTACAGGTCCTCCCGGCAGAAGCCTCCCGAGCCTCGGCAGTCGCTGCAGCCTTAATCTGGTATGCACCTCAACAGCAGCACAGTGAAAAAAAACTGAAGATGAAGAACATCAACAAATGGCTGCACATCGAGGAGTGACCTTCAGTCAATTTCCGGTCCGCAGCCGGTTTTGGTACGTAGTTGCCCCCTCCAGCTTGCCCTTTATAATGAAGTAGAACTCGAGGCACAACCTAATCTGTCATTGGCGTCCGTGAGGATTCAATGCTCTTTTCACCGTGGACGCATCGGCATTCGCGTACCGTAGAACAGGTGAGGTGAGGTGAACTCACTCCGTCAAAGTCCGTCTCACCTTCCTGATATCGCAGGCGCTAAGCGATCGGAATCGGAACCTGGCCTGAATGTGGTTTCCAGAACATCTCTTTCTGTGACGAGGCAAATGCCGACAGTCTCGCGAAGCGAATACTGGGGCACGCGGGCTGTGCCAACAGGCCGGAGGAGATCCTCGTCCGGGTACTACGACTTCTGGACAGCGATAATAAGGTCTATCGGAAATCCTACAAGAGGTCAAGAAGTCTCACAACGGCAGTAGCCAATGCCAATCCCTGCCAAAGAAAAGACATGGAAAGATCCAGATGTCTCGGAGAAACGTTCCTAGCCTGGACCTGCCTGGTGAGAACTGTACCGTACATGAGCCCTATAAGGCACAGGACATGTGGAGGCCTCCGATGGGATGGATTTGACGAGGCTCCGTGAGTTGCGACGCGTCTACAACCTAGACACTATCTAGAACCGGTACTCTGCATCGCATGGTGCCGAGAGGAGATTGGAGGGTGCCCCCAAAAAGGCCTATCTTCACGGTAATGACTACGACATCTCAATACTACCATAATCGTGCTACAGCTGCCGACCATTGTGAAAGAAGCCATTAAAAATAACAAGTGACAGCGCACGGATAGCACCCACTAGACAAGACGATGCTAGGCGCATGATGGGTCCCTGGTGACGCCCTCTCAAGGAACGCTATCCGGGCTACGACGTTTCGCCTACCTGCATTAAATGAAACCAGGCTGTAGCCGACGTTGGAATTATGGAGCAGACACGCCTTGACGAGACGTCTCACAAGGATACCATCGTCAGACTACGTGGCATTAGTCAATGCATATTCCTGGCTGCGACGCACATCTCTACCGGCATGTCGCGCCACCTGAGGCTTGTGGCCCATACGTATGTGAACGAGCAACAGCTGCCACGTGATTAGCATGTGCTCGGAGAAGTCAGCCATGAGAGATGTCTCGAGAGCAGACGGCGTCTGGCATCTGTTCAAACACTAGCCGCCGACATACATGTACCACGGGGAATGTGCCTTTTAGCGCTCCTGGTTCAGAACGTGGATCTAGCGTTGCTGTGTGGTAAACTCAGGATTCACCTCCCCAAGCGCTATTTTGCCGCGCGGAATCATCATCCGCGAGGCATACAAATTGGTACCTGCATAGACTGAGATGGATTTTCAATGCTGTGCAACTCTCTTACTGAGAGTCTGCAATGTTATATAGAAACACGTAGGCTTGGATTTGTTTTTTTGCTCATTTGCTATCGGCATAAGTAGATTACACTCCGGCGAAGTACATTCACAGAAGGTAGAGATCTCGTTTCGTCGGTACAGAAGCACTAATTCAGACAGAATGAGAGGCCTTGCTTAGCCGTAGCGAGAGCCGCGGGACAAGATCCGCAAACGCTAGAAGCATAGATAAGGCGGTGGAACGATAGCAGCGACTACGTCCCTAAGCAAAGTTGCCTACTCTAAAAGGAACGGGGATGCAGGCGAATGTGCGGTCTCGGTGGCTCAACGTTTTCATATTCACGCTATGCAGCAGTGCTGGAAGCTCCCAGGACCCAATGTAACTACTATACAAGCTCGCAAGCATGAGCTTCAAGCGAGATGCAATACTATCTAGGATGAAGGCGCATATCGGCACGGGGAAAGCATTCCACGCGCAGCGCTATAAATGCCTGCCATTAACCCCAGAAAGGCTGGCAAGCAATATGCAGCGTTGCAGCGAGCACGTCGGCAGGGTGTAGGAGCAATCAAAGCTAGGCCGGATCATTAATCAGTGTGATGCTCGCATACAGCGGCCATAGCGGATTCGGCATTTCTTTGACGTCAAGCTCAAGCAGTGCTCTGGACAGCTGTCACGGGTCAGCCCAGGCCAGGCAATTCGCGTGGCCCGTTGTGGGTTGTGGACGAAGGAAGTCTCGAGCAATATAGCACGCATAGGGGGGGGGGGGGGGGGGGGCGCGCTCTCGCAAAACGCCGAGCGCAAGCAGAGCACTTCGATCAGCAGATGCGGTACCCGATGTAGTAGTGAAGAATGGAGAGTCCGAAAGCTGCGGATAAGATATAGTAGCTTACGAGGCAAACATGTGCCATCCTCAACATTATTGCGATTCTGGCATTCTAGCGAGCCGCGAGCAGCAACACGGATGGATGCGCGATTTGGCATGGAGGTACTGTACGTACCTGTACCCAGCAGACCAGGGTGGTGGTAATGAAGCTTTTGTGCATGCACCTGTTCGTTAGTAGTGTGTGCACACACGGTAGGGATGTTGGAATACACGCTTCTGCAAATGCAGCATTGCAGCCTCTGTACACTCTGTATAATACACTGGTGTCCACCGGTGCACACACGTCGGGTATACCCGGATACCAGGATATCCGAGGATTATTAGGTGGCCCACCGTGGCCTGGCCGGCAACATGTAGGATATCAGCGTATCCCATAACCCCTCCTTGCATATATACGCCAGCTCAAGTTTGCGCCGCCGCCGCCGCGCCGCCGCTGCGTACGTGGTGTACTACAGAGCGTGTACACCATACACAGATTTGTGTACTCCATCCCTAACACACGGGTTTGTGCCGGCTGCAGTAGTTCTACAGTCTAGCGCAGCGCAGTACTGGTGCAGCGCAGCAGCTGGCATCAGTCTGGGCTAATAGTCATCGTCGATAGATTTGGGGGCGAACCCTGGGGGCGTGAGGTGGTGACGTCGCATGTCGCATGTCGCACGTCGCATTCCTCAACGCCTTTGATGGGGAACGAAAGAAAGGGTTTGGTGCTCACACCCTCAGGAGTCAAGGCATCATAGCCTACCAGCAGTACCAGCAGCAGCGGACAGGACATGGGCAGCAGCGCGCGTGGCTCGCCGGCTACGGCTGATGGCCGCTGGTGCTGGTATCTCCCTTACTGTCGGCAATGTGTCGCTGAATTTCTTGCCTCTTTTAGTTGTGGCACTGACGGGCAACGAGGCGTCGGTGCGTTTTGGCAATTGGCCTTTGCTCGCGACCGGCGACCTGGAGGCAACCGCTGGCTGGGCTGGCTGGTGGCTGTGGAATGTGGATGGCTCCATGTGCTTGCCGCCGAGATTGATCCAGTCGACGCACAACGGGCGTCCGAGGCAGAGCGCGCTGGTGCGAGCAACAATGCCAACGCCGGGCTGGGTGGCCGTCTCAGGGAATAATAATAAGAATTGTGCTGGACGCGGACGCAGACGCGGACGCCGCGGCGCTAAGGCGAAGGTGCTCGAGCAATGCAGCCCTCACGCTCACGCCAACACCAGCCTGGGCAGCGTCTGCAGCGGCGACTGGCGAGTTCACGTCGGCCGCGCGCCGTCCGCCATCCGCCGTGCACCGTCCGATGCTGAGATGCTGATGCTGATGCTCAGCGCTGCACTCGCGCTCGCGCCGCAGCAGTGCCTAGTTTCAGTCCAGACTCCAGCACACTTGCAAAGCATGCGCATCCGCAAGCATCAAGCATCCCTAGCAGCTTCCTAGCTCATGCAGGCCCCACCCCAATAATCCCATCCATCTGCCATCGCTCTTCTGCTCGACGCCGACCAGGCCAGGAAGAAGAGCTCTCTGCAGCTTAATTCGGCTGGAGTGGAGCACCAGCAGGCTCGCTGCTCAGCATGCTCGCGCCTCTAATTCTAAACGGTGATCTCATCATAATAAGCTATCTTTGCCCTTTCGCAGCAGAACATGCCTAACAAACCGCCCAGCGAACAACGGACCCGGCCCCTAAGCGCTTGCTCGCTCGCTCGCTCGCTCGCATGACAACCGAGGGTCCGTGGCCACCCATATATCTCAAGCCTATCCTCTGATCTTCCCTTCGCACTCGCAGGTGTCTATGTGTGTCGACTCCGGCCTTGCCACCTCTTCCTCTCGTTTAGCAGCGCAGCGCAGCGCAGGCAGCATGGGTTACGCTTTGATCGCTGTCGCCGTCTTTCTGTGGTATGTCGACCGTCTCGCGGAAGCGGCTACCAGAACTCTAATCTCGCCAGCCCACGTGCGCTGACCAGTCGAGCAGGTTGTTTCGTTATTTCAGATTGATTGTTAATTGCATCTCCCACTGGACCTTCAAGCCAATTCCTATTCCAGCCAAACCGCAGTACACGTCGCAGCATGTCACCATCATATTACCGACAATCGCTACGGGAGGCGAGGAACTCGAGACAACTCTGTCGACCTGTCTAAAATCAGAGCCCTACGAGCTGCTGCTCGTCACGGTCGACGGCAATGCCAAAAATTTGACCGATCTCGCCAACAGAATCAATGCCAATAAGATACGTGTCTTGAGCATAAGGGAGGCCAACAAACGTCGCCAAATGTGCCGCGCCATCCCCGAAGTAACGACCAAGTTTACCATCTTCGTGGACGACGACGTTGCGTGGCCGCCGAAAGTGTTGGAATGGATGTTGGCACCATTCGAAGCAGACGAGAAAATGGGCGGAGTCGGCACTTCGCAACGCCTGAGGAGGCGGGCCAAGGCCAACGGGATCATGGAGGCCATGGTCGATTTCCTGGGCGCTGCTTACCTGGAACGGCGAAACTTCGATTGTTCAGCCTGCCTGCACATCGATGGTGGACTTCCATGCTTGTCCGGTCGAACTGTGGCATATCGAAGCGACATCCTGCAAGACCCGGCTTTTACACATGGCTTCACGCACGAGGTCTGGAACACTATGCAGCTGAACGCTGATGACGACAACTTTATCACGAGGTGGATGTACGCGCATGGGTACAAGATTGCTATGCAATACCACAAGGCAGCGGAGGTTCAGACCACACTGGAGTCTCAGCCGAAGAAATACCTGAGCCAATGCTTGCGATGGGTTCGCAGTAATTGGCGAAGCAACTTGACGAGTTTGTTTGTTGAACGACACTATTGGCAGTAAGACTGATATTTTCCGCCACTCGCTGCGGCGGTGAAGATTCACGCTGACTTTGCATAGTTCACAACCGTGGAGCACATATGCTGTGCTTCAGACCACGTTGACCGCATGGAATTTCGTGTGGGATCCGCTGAATATATATCTGTGGTGGACAATATCCGCAGGTTGGTCAGAAAACGACCGTTTCGCGCTGAGAGTCTTCTTGATCACTTGGATTTACGGCTTCAGCAAAACTGTGAAGCTTTGGGGCCATTTCATCCGATACCCTGCAGATGTGGTATTCATACCAGTCTACATTGCATTTGGCTATTTCCATACTCTTATCAAGATCTACGGATTGCTCACACTGAGTGAGGTAAGCGCGAAAAGCATAAGCTTAAATGACGACTGTGCATCGCTGACCGCCTTTTCACAAAGACCACATGGGGAAGCAGGGACGGAGCCGATACCGACAACCGCGTCCGTATGATTCGACTACCAGCCTACGACTCAACTACACCTGACGGCCGTAGCTCTGAGACGTTTGACTACCCTTTGCTGCACACGGCCACTGCTGAAGACGAACTGCCTGCATACCTGCCCGCATACGAAAGTCACAGGAGACATCAGACCCCTCCATTTACGACCCCATATCATGATTGACGAGTGTAATGTTTGCGCACGCACGATACCCAGGCATCATCTTCGTTTCTTGCATTGGCACCGCGTATAGAGGCTAGATGAGGTGCCGCGGCACGTTTTGCCATGAGAAGTGGCACCATCTGCCAGGAGGAGAGATGCTATGCTTGGCCAGAAAAAGTTTTTTTGGTCTTATTCAGCAGACATGTTTGGCGAGGCGCACTTGGGTTGAAAAGTTGGGAGCACGGCCAGCATTTGTGATGCGATTTTTCATGCTTGGCCGAGCGAGATTGACAATGAATGCAGCGAAAGGCATGGTGTTCGGTATGACTGGGCGGGCTTAAAGCCTTTTCTGCACGCGACAGCTTCCATTTGAGCGTTCACAGCGACGACATTGTACAGAGTATACCATCGCAGGGCAACGCTGCGACCGAGCACGTACATACACCTTGCTCGCCTTCAACAACAACAACAACAACAACAACAACCATTCTCATCTCCAGCTTCTGTCGTCTAGCTGCTCTCGCGTACCTGCAGCGTGCGACGACAATCCTGGTGCCGACTGCTGTGGGCCTTTTCTTTCATGTCGTATCTCGACAGGCCAGAGTCCAAGTAGTATATCAACATTGCATTATCCCAAAGGACTGCGGGCGGATCGAGAACATGGCGAGCATGAGCTGAGCTCTGCGGCTTTGCCAGTTTTCGTCGGCCGCGCTCGAGCTGACACAATGGAAGCGAATTTGGGAGGCTTGAGCACCAGGGCACGTTTAGGAACTACTGTACATCTGGCTAGTTATTAAGGGCCAGCCACCATCTGCAGGTAGCCTTGCTCGTGCAGGTGGAGCAGAAATGCTCGACGATCATGAGACGACATCATCAATCATGTCCACACAAGATGACCACCATGTTCATCAGGTAGTCCGCCAACAGACGCCCGAGCCGCGGTGCTTACATCTCCACACCAAGATTGTTTATTATTTTGATCTTCAGTCACGCTGTATACTGATTCAGCGGGGCCGGAAGACTTTGAACAAGCTCGAAAGATACATGTACTGGTCTCGGTGCTTGCAGGGATCAGGGTCGAAGGCAAAAGAGACCGTCGCCGCCGGTCGTCGTTCGTCATGCCCGTCATTATTATTGCCCGTCAAGTCCTCTTCGGCCCGCTGATTGCGTGTCTGCGAACTCTATTGCAGATCACAGGCGTGCTCGAGCAGTGGCATTATCATTACAGGACATAGTAGTAGTAGTGGCGGGCGGCAGGCCTGGTGGCCTCGGATTTGGCTCCTTTCAGAGCTCCCAGGCGTAGCGAAGCTTCCAAACGGAAATCGAGCTGGAGGGGGGTCAAAGCCAGCATCTCGTCTACGTGCATGGAAGCTGGGATTTGTGCCGTGTCTTACCATATGAGGCTTGAGCAATTGCACGCAGCGGTTGCCAACGCATTCGGCAGTTCACCAATTCGCTCAGAGGAGTCCATTAAAATAGCTGATGTCGTGATCTGCCGCCTGCGCGCTCGGCCAAACCTTACAATACTGCAGCATCTGAGACTCCACACGCACTTGTGAGTCCAGTGCAGAGATTCACTTCCTGCTTCTGTCTCGGCACAATAGCGGGGTTCTCGGCGGCCGAGGAGGGCAAGAGGGTGTGGGTGTGGTGCTCGTCCCGCCGATGGTCCTGAATCTGGTTGGAAATGATGATCTGATGTTTCTCAACTGCCAACACTATTACCGTGCACCCAGCTACCCCAAGCAAGCAAAAGCGCGATGCTGGCCGAAAGGGAGCAAGGTACTTGCCCATACCGGACGCCGGACGCTACCCTCCACCTGCAGTTGCACCGATCTCGCCCGTGCACCCCATGCGTAAGCGGAATCACGCTGCGGCGAAAAACTTCTTTCACATGCCGCCGTCTACTAATCAAAAGGGACTGCCACGGTCAAGACCGTGCGCCGCGCATGCTTCTGCACGCGATCGGACCTCCTTGGATACATGGAGAGACTGCAGTGCGAAATGCTGAGTTGCATTTTTCCACTGTCCGAAACATCCTTCCCTGCCCGGGCATAAGCCGACACCCAACACGAAGAGCTCCAAAATCTGGTAGCTTTGTCGCTTATTATTATATCGCTGTCCGGTGAGGAGCACCACCACCCAGCATTCTCATCAGCCCGCAACCTACCTTACCACACGATCAAGCAAAACCGACACGACATGACGAGTCATGCGATAGATCTCGACGTCCCTGATGGACATCCTGCCGCCACAAAAGTGCTGACGCGGTACTGATGACTTGCAGTTTTCACATGCAGGGCTTGAAACAAGAAATTGGCCCACACACGCCACGCACATGAAAGGGTGAACCTTGAAATCAGCTATGCGGTTGGGCGTCTCCATTCTACTATGCCTTCTCGTCTTCGGCCTTGAACTTCTCCTCAAGTTCCTTCAGCCCTGTAAACACCTTCTCCCACTTGGCCCATTCTTTGTCACCCTCCGGAAAGCCACCCTGCAGCGGGAGACGACCACCCTTTGGATCGCCCAAGCCCCAGACCCTACCAATACATTCCTTCATACCAATCGGGCCCCAAGCAGCCACGAGTTTCTCGCCTTCGCATATTCTGAACTGCAAGTCACGCATGGTATCCATGTCCTGCTTGGTAGTACCCTTTGCAGAGCTGTCGTTGAAATGTTTGAAAAGTCGGGTTATGATGCGTGGGAAGCAGCCGGCAAGACCATCGATTGCAGCCACACCGCCAATCGTAAGAACTGGAAGCAAGTTTTGCCCCAGTCCGGTAAACACATAGAAGTGCTCGTGGTCAATACGAGGAGATGCAGCGATCAGGGTCTGGTCATCAATAATTCCATGTGACAGCTTGGTCCCGACGATATTTGGGTGTGCTGCAAGCTTTTCGAATGTCGCCGGTGCGATAAAGATGTTGTTGGTCACGCCGGGATAGTGGTAGCTGATATACATGGTTAGCGCGCCTGCCCATCTCGTATTTCGTGGTTGGTTGTCACACGTGGTTTGTCTTACATGAGAATTGGAATTGGGGATCGATCGGCCACCACTTCAAACCATTTCTGGATACCAGCTTGACTGGTCACAGGAGCAAAATACGCTGGTCCAAGAACCATAGCGTACTCTGCGCCCGCCGCCTGGCTGTCCTTGATCAACTGTACAGTCTCTTCGATGTTCTGTGATGCAGTGCCTGCAATGATCGGCCTGTCCTTGAACCCAGCATCATCTAATGCTTTCCTTTGACTCTTGATCAATTCGTGTCGCTCGTGGTTTTGGATGAAGATTGCCTCGCCGGTGCTTCCGAGAATTACAAGTCCCTGGATTCCACCTTTTACGAGGAAGAGCGAGTGCTCCGTCTGAGTCTTGATGTCGATTGGAGGCGAGACGGGATCGTACTCTGGGGTGCCTTCTTTGGCGAAGAATGTTGGCACTGGGACATAGATGCCCTGTGGTGGTGGCTGCGCTGGAGCTACCATTGTGAGGATCAGTAAGATATGTCTTGGTTGGTAGGATTCGTAGCAGAATAGCGCGAAGATGTAGTAATGTGTCCAAGCCTTTTCTTGAGAACAATTCAGTCTACTTTTGTAGAGCTCTTGTTACGGGTACGCGACTGCGTCCAATTGCCGATACGGTTACGGTATCGGCCAGAGATTGGACCCCCACATGTCCATTGCGAGCTCACCGCTGCTCTGCTCACTCTGATGAGTGTTCCCCGACGGCCCACGGCGGAACATTCTCGCTCAAGTCTGACCTGAGGGTGTGTCTACTTGCTGGTCGGTGGATCGGTGGATTGTCGATACTCAGTAATCTTCCACCGATGCAATTAATTTCCGATAACCGCTTTTTAAGGTAGACAAATCGGTGGATTTGAAAGACCGTGTACTGCCAGTCGCTAAGGCGGTAAATTAGTCGCGACCGTGGTACGTAGACGCGTAATTCGAGCTATTGTAAAGCCATTGTATCTATATATCACTGTTAGTATAGTATCCACCAAATATAGCGCCGAAGAAGGCTAAAACGACTAATTCTACGACTCCTACGAAGCGTAAGAATACTACTAAAAAGACACTAGTTAGCAAGAAGTCTAAGCCGAGTGCTAAGCCTGCAGTTAGCTCCGAGTTTCTAGAGATTAGTCGATAGGAGGCGGTCTATAAGGAATACTTCTTAAAGGAGGTAAAGAAGCTAAAGGACAAGGGGTTAATAAACTATAGCAATAGCTTCTATATCAAATACTACCGCCGTATTGCTGCGCAGATAAGCTTGAAGTTCAAGCTATATTTTAAGGAAGAAGGCTGTAAGGCGCGCTAGCGGACCTTTAAAGAGAAGTACTATCTATATACCGCTTACTTAAAGTATATAAGCGGCTAGAATGGATACCCTCTAAAGCCTAGCAACGAGGAGGTTACTAACGAGCACTTCCGGAAGCATCTAGAGTGTAATTAATAGCGCGACGAGTGTCTAGAGTTTGCTACCTAGCTCTTTAATATTATCGAGTTAAATATAGCGAGCGGCAACGAGGCGGGGATTAGTACTAATCTTGCTTAAGACAGTAATACGGATATTAGCGGATCGGACGAGGAAGACGACGGTGAAGGTAAAGGTAAGGAGGCAGCGGAAGAAGGCGAGGCGGCTACTAAAGTGCCACTTCTAGAAGGAATAACCGCTAAGGAACGAGACGAGTTAATTGCGGCCGACGTTAATAGCGGATTAGACCTATCGATATTGTTAGAGTTAGAAGTACAAGTACTCGTTGCCGCGCGGCACGTAAAGGCGTATACTGCGAAGCGAGAGGCTACTAAGAAGTAGGCCAAATTAGACGCCGAGAAGAAGGGTAAGAAGGATAATAATACTATACTTAGTCTTATAAAGAAGAGCTAAATTCTACTATAACAGACGTTATCGGCTTTCCTTAAGGCTACTCGAGACGACGCTTAGTAGGCTCGTAAGGATGCTACTATTAAGCGTAAGAGGGTGCGCACTAAAGAGGCTGAAGCGCTAAAGAAACGCGTAGAATATAGTATAGACATTAATACCGGAGATGTCGCTAATCGCCTTATAGACGAGGATATTCTAGTAGGAGTTAGTATAGCGGATCGTGCCCTCCTTGCGATAGAAGTAGGCAAGCCTAATATAGGGTATATCGCTGTCGTAAGGAAGTAGGTACGAGATAAGAAGAAGAGGTCTCATTTAGACGAGTATTTCCGCTATGGTGCTATAGGATATTAAACCTAGGCCTCAGCTATTGCCTAGCATTAATAGCTACGTATATCCTAAGTATCCGTATATATAGAATAGCCCTTTGCCGTATAGATATAGTCGTTAGTAGTTGGTTGCATTTTTGTAATAGAGAGAGAGAGAGTTATATCGCGTAAGAAGGTTATTTTCAAAGTACTAATATGCTACCGAAGGTCGAGAAGTTCGATAATTGGGACTACTTTTTCGTTCAAAATGTACGCTAACGTCTATACTATTGATTTGTATAGAGGTGTTGTTAGTTTTTGCTAACAAATCGCGGTTACGTGCGGGGTCTTTTATATACAAAGAAAAGATATCCCGGCGACACGAATTATCAAACCTTACTTTCTAGTGCTAAGAGCCTAGCGATTAGACGTATACTAATATTGAAGGAGAGCGAGCAATAGTTAGAATATAACGGTTAGAACATAGAAACAGCGGTCCTTACCAAATTCCTTATACAATCTAATTAATCCTGTTTTCGATATTATTCTATTAACATTACTAATCCCCTACGCCTAAAACTCCGGGTCCTAGACTTCTCGCTCGTCTATTCTATTGTCTTCTAAATACTACTTATAATCATTATACATTCCCTACGCAAACACCTCTCGAAATCGCTAATATAGGTCCTCGTTGTCCGCTATAACGACCGGCTCTTCGTCCTCGTCCTAACCTTCCTCGACTAGTAGATCGAGTATAGCTAATAGCTCCGTACGAAGCGGTTGTTTGCTATAGCAAAGGATAAAGTTATAGACTATAAAGCAGGATATAATAAACCTCGACTGCGAGCGGATAGAATACTTCTCGCGAGCGCCGATACGGACAATCTCGAAGCGCTTCTACATTACCCTAAATAGCCGCTCTATAACGTTACGAAGTTAAGCGTGCCGAAGGTTATATAGCTCTTCCTTATTATCCGGCCTACGTCTAGCAGCCGCCTGTTCTCGAAGGTAATACCTTATCCTTTTATATAGTACGAGAAGCCGCTTGTCCTTAAAGGAATAGCTACTATCTACTAAGTAGAACTTGCTAGCAGGTACGTTAAATCCCTTCTAATATGCCTTCCGCAATACCTGACCGTCGTTTCTAGCTCCTTCGTATCTAATAAGTACGTACTAGACCTTTATATCGAAGTTATAAGCCGCTATTACATTCTACGTAATGTAATTCTTCCTATAGCGATATAGACCTTGAATTGACTATAGCAAACTAACAGGTACGAAGCAACTATCTATAGCTCTAACGGCGTTCTCGAAGTACTTGAATTTACTAGCATCTCGTCTAGTTACGAGCCTCTTATAAGGCGACTAGTCGTCCGGTTGTTATATATATATATCCGCTATATAATACAGCGCAATACTAACCTCTTTAATAATCCGCTCGAAGGTTAAATTGGCGTATTAATAATGCCGCCTTAGCTCTCGAATAGTTGGATTATGCCTAACAAAGTCTAGATAGATTATCACCTTCTTAGCGACCGTAATATCGTTGCGCTAACCTCTATACCGTAGAAGCCCTCTTTCTTCTATCTCTTAGATTAAACTCTTCAATACTAGCGGCCGTAAACTAGTTACCTTATAACACTCTTGCTCCGGTCTATATAGTACCCGAAACACCTTATATCGCGCCTTCTTTGGCTAAGTTAACGTCCTTATAACACCCGACGGTCGATACTACCTCCTACGCTGTTTCCGCTTTAGTAAAGGCGCGAGGGCCGTATACTAGCTCGCTATTACTATATATAATATTAAGCCGACCTAGAGCTTCGGATCTATTATTTAATGTTACAAGGAAGAGCTTAGAAAGCGGTGGTATAGAAGAGAAGATAGCATAGGCTATACGCGTGTATCGCTAATCCACCGATAACCTACTTTCAAACCGCGTTTTCGGTAGACGGCTGGACCTTCTAACAATAGTATACCGCGCTCGGACGACGCTATAGTAATTAATTACAATCCACCGACGATAACCACCGGAAATAGAAGTAGACAAAGCGGTGGATATAGTCGGTGGATAAACCGGTAGAAAGATTATATGAGAACGCACCGGTCCACCGATCCACCGACTAGCAAGTAGACACACCCTGAGACCCGCGCGTCGGCGAGCAATATACCGAGGCGAGCGTGCTTGCGTGGTTGTATGAAGGGCAAGCCTTGATTGAGATGCAGTGCTTCGTTCCAGAATCAACACCATGCTGTGAAATGCGGCAGCCAGCTCCTGACCTGACTTCGCCGACATATCAACTTCCCTGTATCCATGGTTTCATGCCATCTCCTGACTCAAGATGCGAGGCACTCAGGTAGTGGTGTGCATGGAAGAAACGCCACTGCTTTGCATACATGTAGCAAACCGAAAGGCCAAGGCCGTGCCGGTTGAAGTTGTCGGGGCTGCGAGCTCGAATTTCAGACCAATCTGCTCTTTCTCAATGCACTCATGAGAAGATGGATGGCAGCGCAATAGCTGAGCTTCCGGCAGACTCACACACAAACACGACAAGCCTCAGTCGCGATACGATCGCAGTCAAGAATCTGCAGCTCCCATTTGGCGTGATTGCTCCCGATGTCTGGGGCAAAGCCAAAGAACAACCCGCTCTGGTCTCCATCCATCTTTTGCTGAATGGCGGCTTCGCGTCGGCGTCCTCGAAAGACGAATTAGACGAAAGCACGATACATTACGGAATCCTCGCAAAACGTGTTCGGGGCTCATGTCGAGACGGCCAAACGGCTGGAGATCTGAGTCAGAATATCGAAAGCATCATTACCGACATGGCGCGGAAAGGGAGCGGACGCTTCGCCGTCGCCAAATCTACTGTTGATGTCCAGCTTCCCAAGGCTTCAATGTTTGGCGATGGAATCACTTTGAGCGTGGCGACCACCTACGACCACACTGGCAAAGCCGTGGCTGCAGCGCGGATTTTCAGCTTGAAAGGTGTCAAGATCATGACTTTGATCGGAGTCAATTCGTACGAGAGGACGAATACGCAGCCGCTCATTGTTGATCTCCTGCTGCATTTGCGACCTCAGGCACACACGACCGACTCAAACAGCACTGTGGCCTTGTTCAACCTGGAGCAGACTCTGGTAGAGGTATGACATGGAACGTGCACGTGATATCAGTCAGAGAGCGACTTACTGATCCGAGTAGATCATCAAGCAGACGGCTTTCGAGACTTTGGAAACTCTGGCGGACTTCACCGTGACGCAGCTCAGAAAAAAAATTCTGGATGCTGTGCTGCCGGGAACGAAAGTCCAGCTTCGAATCGAAAAACCTCGCGCTATTGCTTGGGCTGATGCACCAGTCGTCGAGATCGTGCGAGATGTTCCTTACGCAAAGAAAGGCAGTAGAGCTGGCAGCTCTGTTACTGCTACACCCCAGCACACGAGACCTTCAAAATCTGTGACTGAATCGATATCGTCTGGAATTGAGAGATTGAGTGTCATCAAGCCGTATAGCGCGTAAGGTTGAGTTCGGCACAAAGCGTCTTCTCGATGGTGCTAGGCAGGCGAAGAATTCGAGTGTAGAAAAGAAGAGACAAATTCTCGACCAGGCGTTTTCTATCGATGTTTGTAGAGGAAATGGGCATGGCATTGACCTTGTTGAGGTCCGATGACTGTTTGTAGTAACGATGCTTTGAAGCCATGGACCTTCCTTCCTTCCTTCCTGCTCTCGCTCATAAGGCACAGTGCTAGGAATTTGAGAAAGAACCACCCAAAGTACAGTGCAAGTCAAGCGTAAGTGGACTCCTCCTCGTGGCTCATTTGCGGCCACTTCTTGGTCTGGGTCTGAGTCTTGAGAAAGCCTCACGAGAGCGATCAACATGGTTCGAGAAGAAACATAAAACTATCAAATGAATCGGTCACTTCTCACACGTGCAGGTTCTCGCTCTAGATCTAACACAAGCTGATTAGAGCAGCTTCTCGGCATGTTATTCGAGGTAGCTCGAGAGTAGGCATCCTTTAACCAAGTGAACTCGTCGCCGCTCACTTGCACCTATCCCATACCTTTCGTCTTACACAGGGCGAACAGGATCGCCAGCGTGCATTGAGGGGAGATATACTCAGGTCAAGTAAACGTGTCTGCTTCATTTATACTGACTTCTATTCCAGGTCTTATACAACGTTAACAGGACTGACTTCTTGCTCCAGGTCACACTCAATGCGAGTGAAGAGCACTTCCTTGGCATTTGGTTCGGAGCATTCTGATTTAGCGGAGACAGATCCCAGGCTGTGTGATGTTCTCGTCGCTTACCTGGCCTGGCATCTTTTCTGAGGCCTGTCACAAGGTTAACGTTCATCAATATGCTTGATTCGAGACGGAATTTTAACCAAGTATGATAATTTGATCGCCTCAATACCTTACCGATAGGGGCTTCTTCGAACGAAGTCAATGCAAGGAATGTCATGCGATTGAGTTCAACAATACTATGGAGAACAGGACTCTCGAGTCCATGAGGAATTCCCTGCTCATGATTTCAGGTACCTCAATCCCTGATCCGACCGTCCTGCTAGAATCACAAGCATAATTTTCCACCAAAACGCCTCGCTCGCTGAAACGCACATCATCAGAATCAAAGAAGCAAAAAAAAAAAACTTCAATCACAACCTAGAAACCCCCGCCTCCATCCTCATGGGCAAAGCCCTCCTCGTCGCCAAAACAGCCTGCGTAATCTCCAATCGACTCATCTCAGCCCCAACATCTCCCTGATCACCCCCAAACCTACCCTGCGAAACAGCATCCGCACTAGCTTGGAGTATCGGCATGATACTGTCCCGCGTACTCGGAATAAGCGCAGCAGTCTGACCCAGCCATCTCGCCAAATATGCCTTAAACGTACTTTGATCGGTGTTACAAGAATGATCGGCGTCGCAGTGTTCAGTGAGAAGATTGTTTGGCGCGAATTCGCGGTGCGTGGCAGAGAGGAAAGCGTCGAGATGGGTCTGCCATTCGGGGTTGCCGGTGTGTTCGAGCATGATTGCTGCGCCGTAGAGGTAGACGCCGTTGTTGTAGGACCATTGTGTTGGGTCCATGCTGGAGCAGTCTGGGGCATGGGTACCGTCGTAGACGGAGTAGGTTTTGTGATCGATAATGCCGACGGCCCAGCTCCATTCGAAAATTTTGTTGGCTTGGTCGATGTAATATTGTTCGCCGGTATATCGTGCTAGTCTGGCGGCGAGTTGGAAGGCTAGGCCGTTGGTGATGGCGTTCATGTAATGGTAGCCGCCGTTTGGATTTTGCGGGTCGATTTGCCAGCCTATGCCGCCTAGATTGTTTGTGCAAGAGCCGGTGGTTTGCCATCTTGTGATTACGGTTGCGAAGACGTTCTTGGCTAGCGAGGGCCAGGCGTCAGGAGAAGGAGCAAATTCCGCTTGGGTCATTGCTGATAGTCCCCACCAGAGTTGGTCATCGTTTCCAGGGATGTTAGGACCGGAAAAGTCTCCTGAGCCGGCTTGTGCTTGGATTCCGGCTGCGACTTGGGCGTCGTATTGAGCGTCATCGGTATAATGTGAGTAGTGGGTGAGTGTGTTGTGCATTCCTGCGGAGATCCACGACCAGTATGGTGCCGGGAGCAGACCGTTTGCCATGGGGTATTTGCTGACGAGGCCCTGCGCTAAGGCCGATGCTGCTGAAGTAGTTGCCTTCATTTTTGCTTTGCTTTGCTGTTGAACCGGTGCGGCAGTAGCCATTAATGCTGCTGCCAGACTGAAGCCCAGAGCCAACGCCTTGGAGAAGACCATGGTGAGACCTGAGATGCGGAGAAAGAAGATTTGGTAGAAGGAAGCGTTAAATGGATTGCTCGAAGGAAAGAAATGATACTCGGTCTCGTGGTATAAATGGACTCGTGAAAGCCGAGGACAACGCAAAGGAGAGCGCGACGAATGACAGCATGACAAAAGAAATCGGTGACTTCGTGATCTCGTTAACTCGTGAGCGAAGGCATATGCGTACACAAACCTATTCGTGCTGGAAGCCTTTTATCATGCTGTGCTCAGACACGTAAGGAGGTACACATAGGTGTGGAAAGGCTGCGAATGCATTGAGCAACGTCGCTGCGGTCGCATAAGAATAGGATTTGTACTTTGCTGCGGCAGAGCCTGTGTTCCTGCAGCAAGATTAGCGAAGGTTGTGATATGTGGTTGCCACGTGGGAAGTAGATGAATAAAGCACTGTTTGGTAGGCGGCTTACAGTACGATTGCGATTATGAGAAATTCGTGGCGCAGCGCTGCGTGCATCCTCTTATATCCATTTTCCATTGGCTGTGGTCTGCAGCACGGAAGGGTGCACATCGTCCCAAACGTAACTATGTAGCATTTTCTAGTGCAGCATTGCATCAGAAGCCACGGGCAAGTGACTGTATGAGCTTCTGATTTGCCTTTTCAACTGAGCAGTGGCCAGAAAAGTTGCATAGTCCGGCTCGCTTAATGTGACAAACCTGTCTGAAAGAGAGCGGTGTCTCAATGTTTGAGGCTTGTGAATCCTGCCCTACATTCCTGATAGGTCGTTGGAAAGGTGGGCGAAGCCAAGCCTCACAGCTTGACCTTTTTTAAGCCTTTCTCGCACGTCACAAACAGTATCCTGTCTCGAAGCCTCGCCATCGAACATGAAGCCTTCGAAGCTCAGAATGCTTGTGACAGCTGGCGGGAGCCGCTCGATCTTCTGGCTCAGGCTGAGAGGATATTCCCCGTGAGTTCCTACGAGAATTTCCGCCACCAGCAAACCACAACACGCCGTTTGCATGGACTGCCCTTTAATACATTCGGCCCACCCGTCATAAAGTGTCCGTGGTTGTTTAAAGGCCCGAGGTACCGAGGGCAGGAAGACGTTTGAGCAATGGCCCAGCGGTGTCTGATCTGAAGTGAGAGATGACTGTGCATGAAATCGTATGGCGTCTCCTGCTGGCCGTGCAAAGTCAAAGTTATCAGAAGATGTTGCTCTGTGGCTGCTTTCCAACCATCATCCGCATTAGCTGCAGGCAGCCACTTGGAGCAGTGTCAGGAGGAAGTGGTGCCGGATTTGTTTGCATTCTCTTAATCCCAGATGATGGCACGCAGAGCCATGACGATTGACACCGCGGCTTTGCGTTCATCTCCTCACAGTGATGCAGCAGCTTCAATAGCTCCAGCTCCCTTGAATGCCTTGGAACTCGTGATCTCAACGGTGACCGGGTATTTCCATTCCATGAATTTCGCCCACCCTGCTCAACACTTAGTATTCTCCTCATCACATCGTTCCGAACTCTGGCTTCTCTTGCAAAACTCACCCCAGTATGCACATTTCCGCCCAAAGTATTTGCCGAGATACGGTATGAGCACCAAAGTCAACATGAGCTCCAACTGTTGCAAGCTTTCTCTCCATTCGCGCTCCGCATCTGAGTATTCCTCCTCTTCACTGGGCGACACTGATGTGCTTGAGCCGGCCGAGGATGAAGGCAGGGAATCGATATCGTCTGTCGGCGGGGGAATGTTCGCGTAAGACGATGATGGTTCGGACATGATGGCGGGGAGAGAAGGAGGCCAGCAACTCTGTATGGGGAATCCGAACAGCGTATCAGCTGTGTAACAAGTGTCCTGTGATCCGAGCGATTGTATATCTGTATTAGAGCATAGAGCAGCCAGAATGCGGATGCATGTGAGCGGCACTTCCCAGATCGGCTGAATCTGCCGAGGATCCTTGTCCAAGATCCAGGAACGCGTTTCACTTCATCCGTTCATCGTCACCAACACTTCTCTTCCAGCATTCTACAGAAGTACACTCGCTCAAATCACTTCCAAGCAGGTGACCATCATGTCGACCGCGCATGCAGACGGAAAAGTGGACTATTTTTGCTATGCGAAATGTTTGGGCCCCGAAGCGAGCCTTGGATGATCAGCCTTCACGGAAGTGTCGGTCTGAACATGAATTGTATTTATTGCGTTAATATTCCTCCATGTTGGGAATGAGTTACAAAGAACAGCATAACGATGGGCTGGCTTTCCAGTATCACAGGAGTTCGCGAACGAGCCGCTCTGAAAGAACTCGTCATCAGTCCGTTTCTCCAAAGGCCCCTATTCTCAAGACGCTTCTGACAGACTCTACTAGACCGCGCCGAGTTACGCTATCCTTCAGTTGTCAGTACATGGCGTCAGCAACACGCAAGACAACATTTTCAGGTCCAGCAAAGCGCTCCCGGTCCTTTCATTATTCGTGTAATCAAATACGATGGACCTGAAGTCTGCGTCTTCAAAGCTGCTCTTAGCAGTTATCTTGGCTCCAAACTGTGTGAAAGCGAGATCAAGACTTCGAAGGTGAAGGCTTTGGAGGATTTGGCAAGGATGTTGGAGTGGCGGGACTGGTAGCACGAATCGGATTGTAGCTGCTTTAATACAACGGTGAAGCTCGAACAGGTCGAGGATTTCGCGTGGTCCTCGAGGCAATTCCCTTGTCATACGCCCCATATTTCCTAACGACCGCGGTTATTTGCGGACTCGTTCGCAGTATAGACACTGGATAGGAAAGTAACGACGCGTGCCCGGAGCATTTCGAGAGAGTTCTGTGTCCAAAAGCTTCCTCTGCAGGGGAAAAGTCTGTTATCGAGAAAAACCTGAGAACAGCGATTAAAGCCAAACATGGTATATAAAGGTTCTGCGCAGTGCGCACTGTGTACCGGTATGAACAACGCCGGTTGCTCGAGTGCTTTCCATATTTTAAAGATATGTTCAGCTATCCCATGCCAGCGACCACCGTGGACATTGTAGGCGGCTTCCCACACTTCTCGCGACTCAACACACCTTTCTACTGAGTCTTGAAGAGAAGGATAGCGCAGTGACCCAGATAGAAGTAGATGAAGTGCTTGGTCTCTGCAGCAGAAGCAATTGTCAGTTACGTAACCTCGCAGTGTTGACGAGTCATGCAATATCGCTCACCGTGGGTGACAAAGCTGCCGAAGTTCCTACCAACAATGCAATGCCATGTTGCACCCTTGCGCTCGTCGAACTAGATCTATGTCAGAAATGCTGGTTCGATTCTGTCTGGAGAAATTGCGTACAGTTCGCTTGATGTGTTGGGCGATTTCCTGGGGCCAAATATCAGTATCGGTCGCTATGGATACTTAGAGTCTCGCGCATACCTTCTCGACGGTGAACTTGGCCATGGCTTCTTGCGCTGTAAAATGTGTGAGCATAAAGTCGTTTCAGGAGAGTGCTCGAGTCAGACTTACCGACTTCAATGGCTTCCTGCTGCATGTCCTCACTCTATTTTGCCGTCAGTAAGTTCATCAAGCGTAAGACATGACGATTTGTCAATGATCCTCCTTACCATGTCGACCGATTTGATCTGAGCTATATTACAAGTCAGCCTCGCGATTGTGCTTCACCAGGGTCATTGGAAGGGCCTACCGTCAAGCTTGTCAGCCTTGTCATCGTACTTCTGCTCGTTGTCCGCCATTTTCGTGTCTTTCTGAACGTGTCTTTGAGTGTGTCGAGATAAGGCAGACAAGAGCTCCAAGGGTCTATACAAGAAAGTCGTGGTTTTGTGGAGTGTGTGTGGGAGGACTGATGTTATTCGAGGTCCAAAGTTTAAATCGAGGAAAGCGCGTGTGTCTGTGCTTTCGGCTCACTCCCGTCGCCGCCGCTGGAACCAACCGAACGGCAGCAGCCCTTGAATTTTTGCTTGCTTTACTGCTTGTAAATACATACGGCAAGTTCAGCGCTGTCCATGCCTCATCGCAGTCCATGGCTGCATAGCACTAAGCGAGTGTGCCTCCATATGCGATCAAAATGGCCGCCTCACGCATCTTCGTAAAGGGACTTCCACATACTTTCGACGAAGCGAGCTTCCGAACACATTTTTCGCAAAATGGCAGACAAGTGACTGATGCCAAGATATTTCCGAATCGGAGGATTGGCTATGTCGGATACAAGACGCCAGAAGACGCGCAGAAGGCCGTGAAGTATTTCAATAAAACCTTCATTCGCATGAGCCGTATTGGCGTGGAATTGGCGAGGCCTGTCGATGATCAAGTCCAGGCCAAGGCAAGGACAGCGGCGCAAACAGCTACACCCCAGCCTTCAAAAGACGTTGGAAGCGCTGAACTGAAGCGAAAGAGCGTCAGCGAGACAAAAGAGAAGGAGAGTGATCCAAAGCTGAAGGAGTTTCTGGACGCATATAAGCCGAAGAGCAAGAAGAGGGAATGGGAGGCCGAGGCTGCACAAGTTGACTCAAATTCGCATTCTGCGGAAGGCCAAGCTATCGATAGCCAGAGCATGGCCTTAGTCGACGCACATGACGGAGCGAGCGATGATGAGTACGAAAATGTGCCCAAGAAGACGAAACGTGCAAAGCTTGAATCCGAGACACCTACGGCGGCGGCACCTGAAGTCACGAGCGTTACACCGAATGTCAGTGATGATTGGGAAGGATTCGATAATGAGGCAGATGCCGAAGAGCGAATAGAAACCGAAGCACAAGCACCCGTATCAGATATGGACTGGATACGATCAAAGACAAGCCGGACTCTAGGCCTGCTCGATGACGAAGAGGAGCAAGACAATGCTGCGCGTGCAACGCCGAAGGACGATATCGTGGCTTCTACCCCCGATCCGGTGCCCGTACCGGAAGATGAACCTATTTCTGTAATACCGACACCACCAGCTAAAGATGATGGCTCGCAGCCACCTGTCGACAAGGATATCGAATCTGTTCGGACGACCATGCGCCTCTTTGTACGCAATTTGCCGTACGATGTGCAACGAGATGACCTGGAAGCCGAGTTTGAACCTTTCGGCAACCTTGAGGAGGTGAGTTTGTTTATTTCTCCTTATCCACATAACGTGATGATCAACCTGATAGGGACAGCTTATGCTACGGCATTTGATTAGACCAAAAGAGACAGTATTTTAGTAGATGCTTGTCATGTCTGACATGTACCTTCTCGTTGCATTAATCTGCAAGGCATAAACAATGAACGCGCACTGACCGGTCTGCAATAGGTCCACATTCCGCTTGACAAGAAATCTGGCTCGGCAAAGGGTTTTGCATACATTCAGTATAGCGACCCAGACTCTGCCGAGCGAGCACTAGTCGATCGCGATGGTCAGACCTTTCAAGGTCGTCTGATTCACATCATTCCTGCTTTTGCCAAGAAGGAGAGCAAGCTGGACGATTTTGAGCTGTCCAAGCTGCCTTTGAAAAAGCAACAGCAGATCAAGCGTAAGCGAGAAGCTGCGAACACCATGTTCAATTGGAACGCCCTATACATGAACCAAGACGCAGTCGTCTCAAGTGTAGCAAACTCGCTTGGCATCTCGAAATCAGAAGTGCTCGACCCAACGAGTAGTGATGCTGCTGTCAAGCAAGCCCACGCCGAAACTAAGGTGATTCAAGACACGAAAGACTATTTTCGCTCGCAAGGCGTCGACCTGGACTCTTTCAAAAAGAGTCAACGCGGAGACACTGCCATTTTGGCGAAGAACATTCCTTATGATTTTAGCCGAGATGAGCTGAAGCGCTTGTTCGAGGAGCAAGGAGATGTCAAGCGTTTCCTCATGCCTCCTTCCGGCACGATCGCAATCGTGGAGTACGCGAACGCTGCTCAGTGTCAAACCGCATTTGGAGCACTTGCATATCGCCGAGTCAAGAGTTCAGTGCTGTTCTTGGAGAAGGCACCTAAGAACCTGTTCACAGGAAAGCCGGCTCCACCCGTCGCTGCCGAGCATAGTGTAGAAGCTAAAGCATCCAGTTCTGACCTAAAGGTCGCAGAGCTGAATGTGCCAGACACTGCAGGCCCTGCGACGCTTTTCGTGAGAAATTTGAACTTCACCACCACCACGAAGCTCCTCACAGATACCTTCAATACGCTTGACGGCTTCCTTTCCGCACGCGTAAAGACGAAGACAGACCCGAAGAAGCCGGGCCAAGTACTAAGCATGGGCTTCGGCTTCTTGGAGTTTCGCAGCGCGAAGCAGGCTCAAGCGGCGCTACAAGCGATGGATGGCTACACGCTGGAAGGCCATAAACTTCAGATTCGTGCCAGTCACAAAGGCGCTGACGCTGCCGAGGAGCGCAGGAAGGCCGACGCTGAGAAGAAGGCTGCCAGCGCCAAGACCAAACTTGTCATCAAGAACTTGCCTTTCGAAGCATCAAAGAAGGATGTTCGTGCCCTTCTCGGAGCGTATGGTCAGCTTCGAAGCGTGCGCGTACCCAAAAAGATGGATCGCGCAGCACGTGGTTTCGGCTTCGCAGAATTCACGACCATCAAAGAAGCCCAGAGCGCTATGGAAGCCCTCAGAGATACACATTTGCTTGGCAGACGCCTCGTTATCGACTTCGCTGCAGAGGAACCCGAGGACGCTGAGGCTGAGATTGAGAAAATGCAGCAGAAAGTGGGTGCTCAAGCCAACAAGGTGGCCCTGCAAAATCTCACCAGTGGCGGCCGGAAGAAGTTCACTACACAGAAGAACGATGAGGATGCAGGGTGAATTGCGTAGTTCCATATCGACCCGTCGTTGCTCGGTCTCAATGGCCAAGCTGCCTTTGCGAATAGCAGACCTGTCCGATTCTGCAGGCCGTTTCGAATGGGAAGGCAGTTTGCTCACACCTATAGCTGTGCGACACTCGCTGTCTGCACAAGCAGCTGTGATCGCCAGCTGTACGACACTCGTGCGAACATGCGACACACCACACGCCCTGGACAGAATCATATCTCTGACGAAGGAGCGACCATGCGTCACGTGCTATGCCAGCAGCCCAGTTGTAACACCTCCTTGCTTGCCGCGATGCGACCTCTTATGCAACCGATGTTACCGAGATGCAGCGTCTGAGTGCTTGCAGATCGGTAAGAAGATCTGCGAAGAGTTGACGCGACAGCCGGTCCGGAAGGCACTGCCTTTTGATCTTCGGCGACGCGGTCGACAACAATGCCACATTCCGTCGCCTTCAATACCGCATTCCATGCCTTCGTGAGAAATGTCTCAATTGGAGATTGCCTCCACGCCAAGCCTCACAACATCCCTCCCTCGATCAACTTTTGCGCAGGTCTTCGCAACGTCATCTGCCTTTCCCTTGCACTCACTTTGATGAGCGCCGAAGGGCTGGTCTAGGCGGGTCTGCTTGATCGGTAGCTCAGCCGATCCACCTTTGCGCATCGCCTGAGCAGGCAGCGCCGAGATTGCGCGCGCTCTTCCTTGGGTCCCTGTGCGCTACACAAGACCAGTCAGCACTCACACCCTTAGCTGTCCAGATTGTAGGTTGGTATATACTGTCTTGTTGGCTGGCAACCAGATTGTCCCACAGTCCCTTCTGCCTGGAAGTGCTGCCGTTCCTTCACTACACATGTTCAACTGACCATCAGTCATTCCTTCGAATTCATTTCTCAAACACGTTCTTCCCTTTTCATTGACGAATCACGGCGTGCCCGGGCGATTCGTAGGCTAGACATTCTTCGCTGAGAGCATTCTTTCTCTGCGTGCCTTCCTAAAGCTGGACTGGATCGGATTGCCAGAGCCGTTGACAATGCTTCAGCCTACCCAGGTCTTACCTTCGAATGCACCGCCACTGCACGAGTCCCATCATCATCTATCGCGGACAGTGCTTCAAGAGCACTCCGGCAATCGACAGCAGAACGACTATTCATACCAACAACATGCTACGGACACAAAGTATCCCACATCGACACTCACAGAGAACACATGCGCAGGCCACCAGCAAGCCTATAGACCAGCTCATGTATATCAACAAACGCCGGCGCAGAGAAATGCCCTCAGGTATGGAGCACGTCGAACTAATCCATGGGCAACCGAGCAAGCCATCCAGAAGGAAGCAACCTACCTCCTTCAACGTTTCAGAAGCTCAGACGCGTACATGGAGTATCGTAATCGACAACACAAGGACGACAAGGGCGGACAAGAACAGAAATGGCCCGACCGGTTGGAGTTCGCTTTCTTCAAGGGTACGTTGATTGCGGTTCATCTAACCAGCATAGGAAAGTGCTTATGTTGGAACAGCTCTGGTGAGATGGCCACCAATGGGCCGACGCAAGTTCCTCCACAAGGAGAAGCAGCGAGGTCGAAACGAGTTAATTGCCGATGCCATTGAGGAGGAAACCGGCGAAGCCAGGACTAGAAAGCAAGTTTCAAGCCATATCCAGGTGCTGAAGCCGTTTGTCGAAGGCGATGCTCATATCATGACGAGATATCTCTCCAGTGAAGACCTCCGCAGAGACCGACACCAAATGTATAGCGGTAGCCATCACAGCGTCTACCAACCGGGAAGAAAGATGTCAGGCTATCCCGTGGTCGTTCCGCCATACCCTGTGAGATCTGCTGGACCCACAATGTCCCCCACTCACCATCACAGTCTAGCCCATCTCAAAGGCAAGCTCGAGATTTTCGAGCCCACCGATTTTCAGATGTTCGTGCAGCGCAAAGTCGACGAGGATAACATTGAACGACTGCATACTTACACTGCATCCATCACTAACCCCAGGCAACCTGAGAAACAATCTCCCGACTGGACCAAGTTCAACCAGGACTTTCCGTTGCTTGCCCTCATGCATTCTAAGACGCCGCTGGACTGCGATATCCTGCTCGCAGAAGCTTCGATCGCGTTTCCAACCGAGAGCTTCAAACAAGACAAGGATCGGGTGGAGCTTGGCATTTCATTCATGTGTAAAAGCCGCCACTTGCCTGCAAACGCTCAAGTGATCTGCCAGAATAGCTTCTATCGTAATGGAACGCTACTGAAAGAGTATGGCGGAATCGATCGGGTCCCAATGACCAAAGACAGAGACGGAGAGCCGATGGAAACGCAAGTCAAATTTGGCAGCGCCTTCTGGGCACGAACACTTGCTCATCTTGCCGGCCGCCTGAAAGACGACTCTGATCCGTCAAAAGATGCCAGGGAAGAAGTCGAAAACTACATTCGAGGCATCACCGCATCTCAAGAAATTGTCCTCAAGATTCCCGGTGGAATTGATAGGCTCCTTGTAATCTACTGGCAATTCCGCCTGTCGACTGGCAACCGCGGACGAGCATACTGGATGCCATTAAAGCTCCCACCGGCATCAACTCCAAGTGCATACGAAGTCGACCAAAAATCCGAGCGCGTTGACAGCGTCTACGGTAACTACAACAGCCAGTCATCCTACACCATTAATGGCCAAGACCCATATGCCGTATACCAACCTTTGACTCTACAGTCGCCGTTCGAATACGACAACACCTCATCGTCGGCAGGATCTGCGACATGGCCCACGCAGTCCCTCGATGATGGCTCAGGTGGCATCAACACCGCGCCACAAAGTGCCGTGGACACAAGTTTCCCGGATAATGCCTTCGACTTCACTGGCGGGAACATCAACATCTCTTACGATCCAAACATCATGGACTTCAGCAGTTTTGATACAGAGGCGTTTAATTTTGACCCCACCACTGGAACAGCAGATTTTGCCACAGACCCTGCTTTACAAGACTTTACTACGACGGCGACAGAAAGTCAGACTCAGCAGACACAACCAATATCTCAGAACTATTCTCAGCAGAGTTATGACTGGTGCGATGACTATGCTTCCTTCAACAGCCAGTCGCAGCAGCAAGTCCAACAAGCAGCAATGAGCGCTGGAGCAAGTCCGCGGTATGCTGAGAATTATGACTACAGTCTACCGACCACCGTCTCTCAGTCGCAAAGCCAGCCAACAGCTATATCTTGGGATCAATACGATACGCAGTACGAGCAATCTTGGCAGCCTTCGCAGCAAGAGGGACAGGCATATGGCGGCGCGGGAGACAAGGAGGAGGACTCACTTGCTGGTCTCGCGGATGCGAAATATTGGCCAGCTCAGCATGGGCAAAGTCAAGGTGGAGCTTATCATGCCCAGTAATGATCGCACGGCAGTAATAATGATTAATGATAGTTCTAACCTGAAGTGTTAATGGACTGGACTTCAAACGAGCTAGGTAGACTACGTTGTGCTACCATATTCTAATGTGTAAGTAGTTGTTTTCGAAATTTAGTTTCTCACAGATACTATCTCCTCTACGCCCTTCAGAATGTGCAGGCTGAAGCCAAATCAATCGCCCATGACTCAAATGAATCTTGTAAACAGCGAAGCTTTTCAATGTTGATGCTTCACGCAGCATCGATTGACAGCTTCCCACACGAATACAAGTCAAGCGCGCATGGTCTGAACGACTTAAAGACTGCGCCATTGAGTCGAGAATGATTGTCGAGAGAATGTGGAATCTTGATCATAGATGTGGTGTGGTGTAGGGCAGCACTTGGTGGTTGGCATGTGATAGGCTTGGCTTTCGACTTCAAGCTTGCTAGCTTTGTTTCGGCATCATGACAAGAGTCTACCACTGGAACACCGTCGTCAATCAGCGGTAGTGACGCTGGTCAAATGCCGAGATGCAAACTATGAGGACGGAAATGGCCCGCAAATTTGCAAAATTGGGTGGATATCAACGTGCTTTTCATGCTTTCGTACAGATCTACAAAGCGCGATTCCAGCGAGATGCTTATACGGTTAGCATCTAACAGCGTGCGATCATACAAGCTCCCGACTGCACGTTCGTAGGAGCTGTCATTCGACGAAGACGTCTAGTCATCGCCACCCATGCCGCCACCGCTCGTCTTTGCCTGCTTCGCGCCAACAATGTCGTCCACTCTCAGCAGTAAGCATGCAGATTCCACAGCAGTCTTGATGCTCTGCAGCTTCACAGCTTGTGGTTCCCAGATGCCGAAGTCCTTCATGTCGACAATCTTTCCTGCGTCGCCATCGATACCCCATGTGCTGCCTCCCTCGGCATGCTTCGCTCGCAATTGTGTCAACACTCTGATGGGCGATGCACCTGCATTTTGGATGAGTGTGCGAGGAATGACTTCCATTGCTTCTGCAATAGCCTTGTATGGCCACTGCTGAACACCTTCGATCGACTTGGCTGTTTGGCTTAACCGCACCGCGCATGCCATTTCTGTTGCGCCACCACCGGGTGAGAGGTAAGGATGGAAGATGACGTTTCTTGCCACACCCATCGCATCTGCCAGATTTCGGTCGATTTCGTTCAGAATGTCTTTTGATGGTCCGCGGAGGAGGATAGTGCACGCCTTCGGGTTCTTGCACTTGGTCATGAAGGTGAAGTACTCGTCGCCAATCTTCTCGATCTCGAATAAACCACATCCGGTTCCGACGTCGCGCTCTGTGATGTCGTAGACGGAGTTGACAATAGTGGCACCCGTAGCACGAGCGATTCGGTTGTTGTCGGTCTTTCGTACTCGTCGAAGCGCGGTGATGTTATTCTTGACGAAAAAGTGTTGTGCAAGATCTGATACTCCCTTCTCGGTGATGACAAGATCTGGCTTCACAGCGATAATAGCATCGCACATCGCTCGCACCTGTTCCTCCTCAATCTGCAGAATCTTGTTCCAGTCCTCCTCTTTGGTGACTTCGATATTCGTTTGTGATTCACCCTTCTTGTACTCCAGCGTGCAGTCAAGGAGAACAACCCTTGGGTTCTCTATCCGCCTTCGCATCTTTGGGTGTGTGATGTCCTTGTTCAGCATGACTCCGTCGAGAACTCTGCTGTCTTCGATTTCTCCTCCAGGCACCTTCTCCACACGCGCATACCGTTTGATATCCACCTCTTGCTTGCCACCACCAGCATCGAAGGTCACGGTCCGCACGGCGACCAGTGCAAGGTCGCACATGAGATCTGAGTAGCGAGATGTGAATTTTGTGCCGATCGAGGTAGCGATCAGATTTCGCATGACCTCGTTATCGTTGATGTCGACCGGTATTGACACATCCTGGATGATCTTCAATGCGTCGGCCAGCGCACGCTTGAAGGCCTGGATGATCACGACTGGGTGGATGTTGCGCTCCAGCTGAGGCAGGGAAAGAGCGAGGATCTCTCCTGCCAGAATAATGACAGTCGTTGTGCCGTCTCCCACTTCCTCGTCCTGCGTTCTTGCCAATTCAATCATGCTTTTCGCCGCTGGATGTGCGACTTCGATCTCTCTGAGGATAGCGTGGCCGTCGTTGGTAAGGACAATACCCCCCATAGGATCCAGCAACATCTTCAGCATGGCTTTGGGACCCAGACATGATCGAATGATATCGGCGACGGTCTTGGCGGCGGTGATGTTGGATTTCTGTGCTTGGCGACCAGTCTGGCGATCGCCAGTGGCAGTGTCTGTATAGCATCATTAGCATGGCGCCGTGTTTCTGCGCTGTAGGCAAGCATACTCATAACCACCACTGGGGCCTGCATCTTTGCTGGGCGCTCCTTGCGCTGGTAAATCGACGATGCTGACTGATTTTCCTTCTTGGCCTTCGCTGGTGCCTTGCAAATCTGCGACTCTGTAGAGGAGGTGACGTCGGGCGTGATATGCTCGTCTGGTGCTCCCTGAGAACTTTTTGGAAGTCGCGTTTGGAGCTCACGCGCGGCGAGGACGGGTTCATCCGCTTGGGGCTCATCAAATATTGACGGCTCGTAAACTTTCAGCCAACCGAGCCGAAAGCGATAATAACGGTGGTGCTGTGTTGATGGTCCCACCAAAGCCTCGACTCGACCCAGACAACACCACACCTGATCTCTCTCACACTCTCACCCTGCTCCTCCGACACCCTCATATATACACCGGCGACCATGACCCGATAGCCAGATCTACTCACCAAAAATCATGAAGGACCCCTTTCCCATCCCGCCGCCAGCGTGGCTCATGTCCACGACCCAACCTCTTGCCGACCTGCTTGCCCTCCCAACTCTACCTCTCCACGCACACGAGGTCCTATTTGCCTTGCTGCTGTATACCTCCATACAGACCGTAATCTCGCCTTTTGTCAGCTCGCGCGTCTTTCCGGAAAGATATAAGAACTTCAACAAGCGAACACGAATCAACTGGGACGTGCATGTGGTGTCCTTCTTTCAGTCAACCCTCATCAGTGCTTTGAGCTTATACGTCATCTGGTATGATGAGGAGAGGAAGGACCTTCGGCCAAGAGAAAGGTGGGAAGGTCGCGTATGGGAGTACACAGGCATGAGTGGCATGTGCCAGAGCTTTGCGCTGGGATACTTCCTATGGGATCTGGTCATGTGCAGTTGGCATGTTGACATTTTCGGTGTGGGCATGCTGGCTCATGCTGTCAGCGCTGTGTCAGTTTTCGCTCTCGGATACGTGAGTACCAACATCCAAACAAAGACGTACTTACACTGACTTGGCGCACCCCCAGCGACCATTTATTTACTTCTATGCCCCCATATTCCTGCTTTACGAACTCTCCTCACCCTTCTTGAACATCCATTGGTTCTGCGATAAGCTCGACCTCACTGGATCACCTGTTCAGGCTATTAACGGAGTCTTCTTGGTTGGCACCTTCTTCGGCTGTCGCTTGCTCTGGGGCAACATTTCATCTTTCTGGGTGTTCTATGATGCCTTCCATGCTGTCATCTACGGCAACTCGGAGCTCACTAAGCTTGAGACTGGTGCGCCGAAGCATTTCTCCACCACAGACCTGCTGCAGATATATAGAGATGAGCAGGGTCAAAGATTAGCTTTCGCAGGAGAGCAGAACGTGCCAATGTGGCTTGCCCTGGTCTACCTCGCAAGCAATTTGACCCTCAATTCGCTCAACATCTTCTGGTTCGGCAAGATGATTGAGACTATCAGAAAGAGGTTTGATCCACCATTTGGCACGAAAGGAACCTCTGATGATGACGCACACGACGCCTCGGCTGGAACGGACCCCACGACTCAGCTTTACAGCAAGCCAAAAGGCAGCGTCAAGAAAGCTCGTGAAATAGCCGAAAAGGCAATGGGTGAGCCTGTGGCATCAGAAGAGCACATTCAGATTCAGAGGGCGACCCGTGGAGACAGCAAGAGTGTTGAAGTCAGCGGGCAGAGGACCTTGAGGACAAGGCGGAAGGCTTAGTACTCCGTCGCCATTGCCTTGGGTATTATGCTTTTGGAGGCCATTGTGATTCCATGTTCGGCTTGGGTTCTTAGAACACCGCAAGGAGAATCTTTTGCTTAGTTGTTTTGGGCAAGCGAGGAGTACATCCGGATTCAGCGATTTGACATAAATCACTCACATTATGCACATATTAGGAGAGCATGGGCTATGATTGATGAGAGGTATGCAGAGTACTCGTAGCCGAGCCTAATAACATGACTTTGAATGAAGCCAGCGCAGCCTTCAGCGCCCGTGCACGCGAACATGCCTGCGATACAAGAAATAGTCTAGCCTGCTCTGACTAGGAGTCCTGCTGACGCTCACCGGCTTGTATCAGCCTTATTCTTCTCGACACTGGCTTGGTCATTGAGAGCCTCCAAACACTCCTCGGCCTGAATAATGGACCGCACTAGACTCATTGCATACTCTGCATATTCGACACTATCCCACTCCACCCGGCCCAGGTCTTCAAGATCGAGAGTCAAGACCTCATGTCGACTCTGGTGGTAGAATTGATTCCCCACCCACCCTGGCTCCTTCTTTCCTGGCTCTGGATCAGTCGGTTGCTTCTCGTCGAGCTCTGCAATGAGTGGAATGAGCTTGATTTGAAGATACTTGCAAGCTATCTTTCCAAGGTTGTCGGGAGCCATTATTTTTAAAGTTTTGTTGCGGCTTGTGATTGCTGAATCGATCGTCGCGGCGAACTTTTGCCACTTGGGAAGACCAAGCATGATCTGCTCGCGGTTATCGTAGGTGGGAGGCGTCAAGACATTCTTGGTCTTTTTGGTGGGTTTCGACATGTCTCTTCTGGGGAAAGCTGTCCTACTCTGGTCATCACGATATGGATCTGAATGTAAAAGGCTTTATATCCTTGATATGACACAGCGTGTTTGCCGTGGGGTAAACGAAGATCATAGGAGAGACTTCTGGACAGCGACGCTCAGCAAAATCATGTCACCTAGGCTTTCCAACATCATTTCAACACTTCATTGTGCTACGTATCGCGACGAGCCGGGGAATGCTGGAGGCGTTTCTGGCCGCTGGAGATCTCGATCATCCAGGTTCCATCCATTCACGCCACGGTGTCCCCTCCCGCTCATAAAGAGGTCATCAGCAACGAAAGTCCTGTTCGGAGCGCTCTTGGTAGGCTTCGAGGCTGTCAAGCACCTGTTACCCCACGAAAGGCCCCATAAGATGGATCACGACGCTCATCATCTTCCTCAATAATTTCAGATTTGATCTCCTCGGCTTCCGCCGCCCTCTTCAGCTCCCGCTTTGCCTTGGCCTCCTCTTCAGCCAGCGCCAGCATTACTTTCCAACTTTCCTTCTTGACTTCCCAAGTCAACTCGATCATCTCGAGAACATAGTCTTTGGCATCGTCTTCTGTCATCTTCCTGATCTGCACAGAATCCTTCGGCTCAAGCGATTCCACATCATCATCGATGTAGACGAAGCTGTTTCCAGGGGGGACGTTTGTATACTGAAAGCCCTTCATGATGCGATTGGCAAATTCGTTTCCCTGGAAGTAATGTGGTCGCAATTGGTCCAGGCGGAGGAGATGCGGCTCGAGATTATCGATCTCCACGTAACACTGGTATTGCGTGTACTCGGCGGCAACACGAGCATCGAGATCTCTGATATCGGCTTTCGCAATGGTAACGCGGCTTTGTGGATTAGACCGCAGTGCTTTATTGATCATAAGCGCAAGACCTTTTGGTTGTATACCAGGTTGCCATTCCGATGAGTGTGTGAAGTTGCATGAAGCGCCGGCCCTGTTACGGCCAGCAGGGTGCAAGCAAGGTAGAGGGAGATTGTGACCCATATTGCTGCAGGTTTCCTCAAGCTGAAGATAGTCTGTAGCTCCGAAACTGTGCTCACGACTGCGAATTTAAGTCCTGTTGGAGCAAACAAGTAGTGGCTCGAAAGACTTCTCTCGATCATTCTGGCACATGTCTGCTGCGAACAAAGCAGTGCTTCGTGGCCTCTGCAACTTCTCCAGGCCGTTCACAAGAAGAGAGGCATCCGGATTACCTGGCATCGCAAAGCAGGCGCCTTCTTCATTCACAATGAAGCAAAATCGACGTTCACATCCCAGCACCCAACCTTCTCGCCATCGCTGTTCGAGAACTGTGGCTTGGAGCATTCGTCTACTTCTGAAGCCCCGGCACATGCATCATACCCTACTTCACTATCTATGACTTCTACGACTCGATCAATAGCAATATTACAGGAGAAGAAGCGCCGAAACCACCATACTTCCTCGAGCAAGGTTCTTGCGTAGGAGGGCATTGTAGGAATTTTGGACAGAGAGCTTTTTAAGGGATGTGAGGATTTTGGGGTTCTGCTGAGGCCTTCTTTTCTGCTGCGATGTTTTTGGAGGCCGGATTCGGAGGGGCACATCCTGGTTTGAGATTGGTGGTTGGTTTTGGTTGAGGTTTGATGAGGATTTTCAGATGCTGGATGTTGGTCATCTTGTAGGGGAGTGGCAGTGTGAGAGCAAACGAGGTGAAAGGCGGTTTTATGTGAGTAGAAGTGAGGTTGTGAAGAGGACAATGGTTTGGACATTGCTCTTAGATCAGGAGAATGAGGGAACGATCTGGGAAGCACGTCGTGAGTCCAAGCAGAACTGATACGATTGAGTGAAGACTAACTACCTAGACTGACTGCATCCAAAAAGCCTGCCGATCTAAAAATAAGATGGGAGCTTCCTTAACGAATGCCCATACCCACGTGTGCTGACAATAAAAGAACGGTTCAGAGCGTAATGATAAACCAAGAGTGGATCACTTTCCTCCAATCTCCGGATTGAGCCAATTCGGCTTTCTTGTGTAGTCTCTCCGCTCTGTTTAATTCATATAAGGCCTGCCTCTGTTGTTTTTCCTCCGCCTTCAGCCTATTCAACTCCTCCTTTCTCTCCTTGATCATCCCATCCTACTTGGCAATCTTCTCAATGATGTTCCTGGACACAATCTGAGATTCCTCTGCGGTCATTTCGGGCAAAGGCTTTAAAGAAGGCACTCTGTAAACCTCATCGGGAGATGGCGTAGGCAGGGGTCGGTTCTCCAGCAGACGGACGGATTCGTTGAGTCTGTCGTATTTCTTCACACGACCATAACAGCCATTCAGTCGATCCTCAAGGAGTATGGCGATATACTGGCGCCACTGTCAGCGTCTATAGCTCTCCTGTGCTCGAGGACATTATACGCACATTGGCGTCATTGTACTATCTCTCGATCAATGTGAAAATCTGCTTGTTGTTGTTCTTGGAGTATAATTTGAGGGTGTAATCGATGTTGTAGTTGATGTACCATTGCTGTATATGTATGGGCGCTGGCATGGCCATTAGCTCTTGGTGCGCTGCACAAGGGTGCGACCTACCATCAGGGTCACGGAGACGAAAACGTGTCATGTTCCTGCCGAGCCATCCTCTGGCCATGTTTGTTCGTGATCTGCTCTGAGCCCGATAGTAGATAGTAATGCTTGGATCTGCTATAGATAGACTGGAGGGTGTTTGCGATTGCTGAGATGGGAAGTACGTGCGAAGATCCAGAAGTTAGCTCTCCAGAACAATCAAGAGAGAAGGGTAAGTCATGGCACACGCCTGCCTTGCGAGCATGGGAAGGAACGCTGTGAGTGGAAACCCAAGAGAATGCGCTCAAGTGAGCGCTGCTGCTGTCATTTCTCAAGAGCTAGGCAAGCACAACTTCGTGACCTCCAACGACCCCTAACATCACATTCACCACCCCTCCCTCCCGTTTACTGTCAACCTCTCGATAACCTCATCCCTCTCAAACCCAAAATTCCTCAAGAACTTATCCCTGGCTCCAATCGCCTGGACATATTTCATCATCACCTGAAAAATCTCAACATCGTAAGTCCTAACCCTCTCAGTATCCTCTCGATAAATCTCCAAACTGTTCATCGACTCTGTATCATCGTTCAGAGCAGGAACTTCCATCTGACTGATACCATTGGCCATCGAGACTTGCAATTTCTACGGGGTAGACGCAGCACTTCATGGCTTGTGATGGGTCGATGTCGGTCTCTTTGGAGTCGTAGGTTAGGTTTGCGATGCAATTGTCCCGTTATTCTTGAAGGCTCTTGTCCTACATATACTCTCCGTGTCTCGAGAAGTCGTTCGACGGCAAGAGCGCCCATGTCGCCTATGTCTGGGAATTGTGGCTATTTGTTCAGCTGAAACACTTTCGCGGTCAGCCAACGCTCTTAGAGCTGAAGTCCAGGCACTTTTGTGGGATCAGGTCCCCGAAAAAGTCGTAGGCATTTCGAACGCAACCACTATGGGAAGAGACGCCAATCAGCAAGAAATGGATGCGCAGACCAAAAACCTCATCGACCATGGTCTTGCTGCTGGAGACTTGCCTTTCGAAAACGGAGCTTCAATCAAAGATATTTACCTCAGATCGACGAGCAAATATCTGCATGCTCGACAAGAAGTAAGATGATGAAGAGGCTGAGCGTGGGAGATGAGTCTCTGATCCTGCAGTGGCTCGGCGAGGTAAGATCATGATCTTGAGTTGCGCCCGATATCATATGCTTCACGGATGTCTTGCATGCTCATGTCAGGGTTCACATTGTGCCGTTGATCGGAGCTTTGAATGGATTCCTGATTTCTCTCATGAGCGACTGCGGCGGAGACGAGATGGACTATCCTCACCGCAAGCCGCCCAAGTCGGGAACGAGGTCAAACCAACAATCAGCCTAGCAGTCTAGACGACAATACCACAGGGTGCAGCTCAGGCTCTCTTCAACGAGATTCACGTCTGAATTGTTGGCATAGGAAATTACCAGTTCGTGTTCGTTGGGCCTCGCATCTTCGCAGGCATCGGCATAAGAGCTCTGATGGTTACGTCCGTATTTTTGGTATGAATGTTGTCAGTCTCAGTTTCAAACGCGTTGTAGGGGTGCCAGGATGGGGGCAGCCTGCCTGCATAACTTACGAGAAGGAGCGAAAATCAGTCGTGGCTATTTGACACCACCAGATTCTCGTAACGTTACGCCGTTACGGTACCTGCAGGCTTCTATGGATAATGGAACGCGTTCTTCGCTGGGGGCGCACGGGTGGTGCAACGGTTGAACGGTGTAGAACTATCTGAGACGGAAAAAGTGTCGAAAGTTGCCGATCCGTCTGCGAAGCTTTATCGCCCGAGAAGTTTGCAAATTGCAAGTGCACCCGCTGACCGCTCGTGCTCTTGCTTCAGGCTTGTTCGCTTTGGGAAGGTGCATTCCATCTCGTATTTTCTAGTCGCCAGATGCTATTTTTCGAGAACATAGCTAGCCGCCGATCATGAGCCACTAGCCATCGTAGCATCGTCTCGCACGGGACCTCCACCAAGCCCCGGCTCTCGGTGTTGGTGTTGGACAACACTACTACTTTGCCTGACACCACGACCGCGATGCGCGGTAAAAGCGTTACCCTATAGCTGGTCAATCGGGCAACCTAATAAAACAAACGCCATTTAGGGGCTGCTGTTCGGGGCAATGGGCGTTCCATACCTCCAATGGGAAGCCGGCCCTTGTGCAAGCATTCAACAAGGTCAACAAGGCTGCTGGTGACCGCAATGAAGCTTAATGCAAGCACGCGTGCGCTTGGCGGAAGGCTGTATATATGTCTTTGCGCAACAGTCGTCTTGCTGTTCTCGTCATTATTGAAGCTTCGTCGCTCACTGGAAACTGACTTTCGTTCATTCATATCTTCTCCTATCCTCTTCATCATTCCCTTCTCCTCGGTCAAGATGCAGTGGATCACCATCGTCGCCCTCTTCGCAGCCAGTGTGACTGCACTTCCCAAACAGGAAGAAAATCAGGCAAAGGATTGGTGCTGGTATTGTGGTCATGGCATCATTGATGGAGCCATCTTTGACCCATACGTTTTCGACCCCTGGGCTCCATTCTGCCCAAATGTCTTCAACCCGTAAGTCTGGCGACATCTGCTCGATATCAACGGCCGATGCACCTGCTGATCAGCCATCAATTACAGTTATTGCCCCGAACCAGGACGTGCAAAACCATTCTGTACGGACGGCGATGTCAATGGCTGTTACTTTGCTCGGTGTCGCTGTGCCGGCGCGGTTACTGGTGCTTGCGACCTGTTGCACCATGACTACCCGAACATCGTTTATGACCCATTTACGGGATCGGTGAGTGATAGTGAATTATGTCCATATCGAGATCGCACTGACAGTCTGTAGTGCATGGACACGAACCAACGCGGCATCGAGTACCATGGCTTCGCCAACTACTGTGCCAGGGCAGGCGGTTTCGTCTCTGGATGCCTTCCTTGAGCAGCAGGATATGAGCAAGATGCCCGCGGTTACCTGTCACGCCGTCAGTCAGCCTTGGATAGTGAGGCGGATCGGCAGGTCGATGAAAGACGTGATTCTACATCTGTCTTGGACACAAAAAGACGTCGGTTTTTTTAAGCGCCTGCTTCTGTAAATATCTTTGCCAGTGTAGTTGTAGTAGGGAAACCCGGCTTAGCGCAGGCATATGCGTATCTTTCTTTCCTACTATGCGACATATAGACAAGTATGTATACGACTATAGACAACAATATAGCGGTAGATATATACTAGAATAACACCTAATCCCGCTATAGAATAGCCTTCGTTACTTCTCTTCCCTTCTTATATATACTTACAATACCGCCTCTTAAAGGTATATAATACTACGTAGACCCCTCGCAGTTAACTAAGATGCAGTAAATACAAGGCATACTATACTCAGTTCCCTGTATATATACCTATACCTACGACCTACCCGTCCCTCCCACACCAGTACGGAAAGAACGTGCAGCGATGTATTCGTGTTGCCGAGTTGCGCTGTTGCACATATCAGCTGCGATAATCACCGTTGATTGGGATCTCTCAGTAGCTACGAGGCAGGCCAAGTGCTTTCTCGCCGATGAAGTTCATGATCATCTCTCGCGACACAGGCGCAAGCCGAGGGACGAAGCATTCTCTCAAATATCTTTCGACATGATACTCGGCAGCATAGCCCATGCCGCCCATGCTCATCACACTTCGTTCGCACGCGACATACGCAGCCTCTGCTGCAACATATTTGGCGCTATTAGCGGCCACCCCAACTGCATGCTGCGTGATTGTGTCGTCATATTCTGGATTATCTGGCGAACTCTGGTCGTAGAGTCTGGCAGCATGGTAAGTCAGTAGCTTTGCAGCCTCCAGCTGCATGAATGCTGATGCAAGTGGATGCTGGATGGCTTGATTCTGCCCGATGGGTCTGCCGAAGACGACGCGTTCCTTTGCATAGCTCGTTGCCTTCTTGAGCGCTGCGTATCCAAGGCCGAGCGCCTCTCCTGCCAAAAGGCAACGCTCCGCATTCATGCCGTGGAGGATCTGCTTGAAGCCTTTGCCTTCCTCGCCAATCAGCGAATCCTTGGGCACGTAGTAGTTGTCGAAGAAGACTTGGTTTGCGTCGACTGCTCGGCCGCCCATCTTGCGGATTTTCTTGATTTCTAGACCCGGATCGTCCTTGTTCAGGTCGATGTAAAGCATGCTGAGACCTTCGCTGGACTTCTTGACTTCTTCGATTGGCGTCGTGCGGCATAGCAAGACCATCTTCTGGGCCACCTGAGCATTGGTGATCCAGATCTTTTGTCCAGTAATGCGATAGCCGTCTCCGTCTGGCGTTGCAGTGGTCTTCAGCTTAAGTGTTTCAAGTCCAGTGTTCGGCTCCGTGACTCCGAAGCACGTTCGCCATTCGCCGCTGATGATCTTGCTTAGAAAACGGCCACGCTGTTCTTCGGTCGCGAACTTGGCAACAGGCTGTGTGGCATAGACATTTGCATGTATCGATTGCGCGCCTGCCATTCCAGCGCCACTTTCCGCAATTGTTTGCAGCATCATCGTGGCTTCCGAAATACCAAGCCCAGAGCCTCCCAAATTCTCAGGAAGTGCAATGCCTATCCAGCCGTCTTTGGCCAGGGCGGCATGGAGGTCACCGGGATATTTGTCGTTGTAGTCGCAGTCCATCCAGTACTCGTCGTCGAAGTTCGAGCAGATCTTCATGACAGCGTCCCGCACGGTCAATTGCTCTTCTGTGAATCCCGAAGTCTCCATTAGCCGCCTGTGCGGCGTTACAGCGAATCCGCGTGCACGGCATTTTGATGGTACAGGCACTGCTGGACGCGATATCGACGCAGCCCGAGAAGCAATGCGAAAAGACGAAAGCAGATGCTTTGCCATCTTGCGAACGCGTGACAATGTACGAATCCAAGAGTAACACAGGTGACAACTACGCTTGTTTGCAAAAAGGACGATATGTACAAGTCAATGAGGAGCGATTGAAGTCGCCAGCGACATGGCCATATACACCTCGGGAATAACATGCGGATATTGTCGTCAATGCGGGAGTAAGAGGCGAAGAAAAGCAAAGTGAGGAGGTAGTCACGTGGTCTGGCTCCTGCTTCGAGAGAAATGCCAAGAGTCGCGCTTGCCCGTTTCGTGGAGCAAGTAAACATTGACGTCTGAACTTCAACACCTCGCGACGACGCCGCACCGACCCCCAGCGACACAGCGGCGCCTTGCCCGCTTCACGACCGCGACAACTCTTGGAAGCATGTACATATAGCAAATCAACGACAGCAGAACAGCGTTTCGGCGCGCATCTTGGCAAGAGTCCGGAGTAATCAAAACACGCACATAAACACGGCGAGAGACAGCAGAGAGCGGAAAAGGGAAATCAATCATGGCGGCGGTAAAGAGTCGAACGATGCCGGTGGGCTCCTCGCAATGGATCCAGAGCGAACGCGACCAGGCGGCGGATATGATCGAGCAGGAGGTGGAGGAGTTCAGCTTCAGTGTGCGGAATGAGCTGGAATGGCTCAACGAGCATATGGCCGACATTTTCTCCAACAATGAGGTGTAAGTACTCCTCATGATGATACGTGGTAACGGCCACTAATATGCTGTAGCAACTTCGCAGACATGTTCAAAACTCCCGGCAAGCTGCGTGGAAAGACGCCCCGGACAGCTCGCAAGCTGAATGCTCTTGCACCACGGCAACCGCTGACCGACATCTTCGCGCCAAATGCTCAGCCAGCGCCTGCCCCGCCGTCAGCACGAAAGAACGCGTTCTACGACAAAGTCGCGCAGTTTCAAGTACCCGAGCATCAGGAGAATCGGGTGCCGCTCAAAGCGCCAGTCAGTCGGGGTACCAGCCCTCAACGCGCCGGAAAACCATATACGGACTCTGGATACCATGGCATGATGACTGAGGATGAGATGGAGCTGGACATGCTCACACAGACGGACACAATTGCGACATCATCACAGTTTGGCGGGACGCAGAAAGTGCCTCTACGTGACGACCAGCCTCTGTCGCAGCGACTACGCCATGCTAAGGGAGACGACACTGGAGCTAGCGACGACTCTTTCGTTTCCGCCAAGGAACAGAGAACCCAGGAAGTGGAGACGGCTCCCGCAGCGGACGAGGAGATGGCTGATGTGCCTGGTGACACCCAGCCGTGGACACAGGAGGAGATTGCGCTCATGGAAGAAGTGCACGATGCGAAAGCTGGCCCAGATCCCGAAGACGAGGCAATGGACGAAGCTGAAGCTGAGACGCAGCCAGACAATGATAAGGAGAACGATGTCGATATGGATATGGAGGACGCCAGCAACCACTCTGATGCCTCCAGTCCTGAAAAACCGCTCAACCGAAAGAGCAGCTTCACGTTCTCCTCGCTGCCGGCCCGAGAGCCACTCACTGCGAAACGAAGTATGGGTCACATGGATGCGCATCGCAACAGTGTCTTCAACAAATCTATTGGTGCTAAGCATGCCGAAAGTCAGAACGAGGAGCAAGCCGGGCCAGCAAGGGCGATCGATGCGCGAGCCCACAGCAAGACTACAGCACAGATGCTTCACGACCGAATCAATCTGCTTGGAAAGACCAAGGAGCCGAGAGCCTCCAAGAGCATTCCTTCCATCGCGCTCGCAGCACAAACAGCATATCCTCAGCTTCCGGGTTCTGAGCAGCATGAAGCCGCCACGAACAAGACCTTCGAGTTCCCTCAGAAAACACCCACTCTAGCCAACGCGCCAGTTGAGGATGACGATGATGACTGGATAGCGCCTACGAAGCCTGCGCATGCACTAAACGAGAAAGCATCCGAAGCAACGATCACACAAACTAAACAGCATATATCATCGCCAGCGAGACCAACAATACATCAGAAATCGATTTCGACCACCATCATGCCATCACCTACTCGTGATGATATGGCTCCAGAGACTCGTCTTCAAAAGACCATGTCCGTCTCGCACCCCAACCTCGCAGAAGCATTAGAGTCCACCACCCCGATGGGCTCTCCAGCTAGGAAAGGCAACGATGGACCATTGAGCGCGTCTAAGAGCAGACTTTGGTCAGCTTTGAAGTCGGCGAAGAACATCTTCGCATCCTCTGCCAGCACCAGTGCGGCCGCCAAGCTGGAGGCGCACAACAACTCGCCAGCATTCTCTAGGTCGCCCACCCGAGATCATGGCGAGGAGTCTCACAAGCTGTTCAACATGCCTGGCGCTATTTGGTCCAAGACTGACGTGCTGGCCAGTCCGGTGAGAAACAACTCTGTGATCTCTTTCAGCCCAAGCAGGAAGACGAGGCACTCCAACGAAAGCGACAGGAAACGCGAAAAGGAGATCAAAGCGCAAGAGAAGGCTGCTGCCGAGCTTGAAAAGGCACGCGAGAAGGAGCGCCACAAGGCTGCTAAGCAACAGGCCGAGGAAAAGACCAAGGCTGAAAAGGTGGCAAAAGCAGAAGCTGCGAAGGCAGAGAAGGAAGAAAGGGAGAGGCTGCAGGCTGCAGCAAAAGCTGCTGCTGCTGAGCCTGAGCGTCCTGCGACTTCTGACAGTGACAAGGTGACGGACAGCGAGATGCCACCACCTCCTCCACCAAAGTCTGGCATGATGGCTGCTGGAAAGCTGAGGGCTCCTGGTCGACTTATGAGGCCTACCAAGGAATCTGCGAAGGTGGCACCAGTCAACATTCGCGTTGCTTCCCAAGCACAACGAGCTGCACAAGGCCCGGCTACACAGTCATCCTTCTCAAAGTCGCAGTATGGCGACCTGGCCTCATCCACTGCCAGCAATCCAAATGGGCCGCGAGCAGGCTCTGCTCAAGGTCATCGTCCCGGTGCCGCAGGCGGAAACTCTCGCGTCAAGGCTCTTGAGGCTGCAGCTAGAAAGAAGGAAGCCGACGAAAAGGCGGCACAGAAAAAGCTCGAGCAAAAGCGCGAACTGGAGCGTAAGCGTGCCGAGAAGGCTGAGCAGGAGAAGCGTGCCGAGGAAGAACGCAAGGCTGCCGAGCAACAGCGTAAACGTAAAGCAGTGGAGAAGCAAGCAGCAGAGCAGAGAAAGCGGGAGCAAGAACGTGCTGAGCAGCAGAGACGTGAGCATGAAAGACTTGAACAGCGCCGTGAACAGGAACGTCTTGAGCAACACCGTCGAGACATGGAACGTGCGCGTCAAGAAGAAGAAGCACGCAAGGCCAAAGAAGCGCACGACCTGGCCGAGGCTATCAGACGGGAGCGCGAGCAGAAAATGCAGGCGCAACCTCGTGGCGACCTACCTGGCACTCTTCGTCAGCTGACCAAGAATACTGTTCCGGCTGTGAACCCAGCAAAGCCTGCAAAGAGACAGTTGCCAGCTGAAGACGAAGCTCCACAACCGCAGCGGCCAGGCATGGTACGTGGCCCGCCATCCTACCAGCAGACAGATGCAAAACGAAGGAGGACAAATGAGGAGCAAGATGACCAGCCTAACCAGCGGAACTCTGTAATGGCGCCTCCCAAGCGGCCTTCGACGTTGCGAAAGGTAAGAAAAACATTTTGCTGCAGCTACAACGCCTCCGCGCAGATTCTGACAGTGCACAGGAAACGATGGGCAAATTCTCGGGCTATACACATGCGCCTCCCCCTGCCCAGCATCACGCCAGCATGTTCAAAGCGACAGTGACAGCTCAGCACCAGATGCAGCATAAGCCCACGCATCCAAGCCAACTCGTGCAAACATCAAGTGCACGTATCCCATTCGCTGAGAGTAGTGCTCCGCCGGCGCCTCATCATCTCTCCAGCACGTCTTCGCATTACGATGCTACCAAGTTTAAGACTCCCGCGAGGCCCCAGCAGGCTACTAAATCCGCCAAGACCACACCTCACTACCCACAAGGAGACAACATTGAGCTACCCGACATCGCTACTGATTCTGAAGACGAAGACTCCGAGGACGAAACTAGTGGTTTCCGCGCGCCATCGTGGACAGCATCGCCCGCCTTGCGAGAGCTGTTAACCCAGCAGCAGCTAGTTGACCCCGAAGCTGTCTTTGGTCCGATTCCTGATCTCAAGATGGACGAAGTGTTCAAGAACAGCAAAAATCAAGAACGACTGAAGCGATTCCGTGAGCGTGGAAGCAGTGCCATGTGGGTGGAAACTGGAGATGCCGTGACGAGTGCGGAGAAGAAACGGGATATGGAGCTTCGTGAGAGAGTCGTGCGAGAAGGTGGATGGCGGTACGAGCCTCACGCTTAGGAACGTAAGGCCACGCGCAGTAAGCCAAAGCAATGATTGATTGTTGGATGTCTGAGTGAACCTATGGGATTGCGAAGTATCTGGTATGCCTTGGCGTTTGGAAAGGATAGGATGGAGGGTATGATTCCTTTCATCGAACCTTTCGCGTTGGGATCGTTCAGTGGTCCAGGACCGATGCCTAAGAATTGTCGTACCGTCAGTTGGGAGATATGTTTAATCAGCCTCGACTCATGTTCAGGTTGTGCCCTTTGTGTCTTATCTTTCGTGACTTCCCATTCAGAACTTCGCCTTCGGTCTAGATGTAATTTTTCTCGACCTTATCAAAACACGGCAAATAATACTCTTAACAACGCCTTGTTCCCCTCCACCGTGAATTTCGTCCTCGTGAAAGCCTTCTCATCTTCCAACAGCACGGCCCTTGAAGGAATTTCTAACTTCTTTTCATTTACGTTATAAAGAATTCAATCCATGGCGAAAAGAACATTGTCTCCTCGACAAAATCTCTCGTGATAAGCTAGGTAGCTTCTCGCATCCTTTTCTTTTCTTTTCTTTCCTCTAACTCTTCTTGACTCAATCTCACTCTTCTTCTCTATTCTTAAGCTAGCCTCTTACTCTAATAATCCGAAAAAAAAAACATCACCTATCTGGAGTCATCGGTCGTAAGTTATAGCGTTCGAGAACTGTGTCCGACTCCATCACTTCTCTCTCTCCCCCCTCCCCAAAATTGTCATAAGACCTTTTAGTTGAAAACACGGATGTAATAATCCAGACGTGAGAATTCCCTCGGCCTCCTTTATTACGCCGCGCGAGATTTTCTTTTCTTTTTTGTTTCTTGCGATCTGGAGTATCGTTCTAGACCCCCCGGTACTATACGTAGATTCAGAGCTAGTCGCTGCAAGATCTAATCCTAGAATCGAATAACCAGGCTGCTGGGCTAGGCCTTGCGAATTCGATGTTGTGTTACGATATTTTTTTTTTGGCTGTGCATATTCTCAACTTGTGCCCTGCCTGACTGTGCATACCCGAGGCAGGCATGTCGATTACCTCGAGTGGCCTTGGTTGTGGACGAGTGCCTCTCAAGACTCAACCTCGCAGGCGTACGACCTGCTAATATCTGAAGGTTTGGCGTCGAGACTCGAGAAGCGTGGCTTTCGTTGCGGTTGCAAAACCGTTTTCGGCGCATCTGATCTATCCGGGGTTGCGTCAGCCACTTCACCCCTCGCCCCGGGCTCGGGGATTCCGGCCATACGTAAAATCGCTTTTTCTTAGTAGGCTACACGTAAAACTCGACATAGTAGTATATTGTATAGTATATAGACCGGGAAATCGAATAGGGGTGCGGTTAGGGTTAAGAAGCAGTAGATTTCCGTTACATTAGCGACTAAATTGCGACCGTAGATAGTCAAGATAGACCTGCACAGTGGAACATAAGAAACAGGAGGAATACACGCTTTAGAATGGGGTGGACGCGCCTGCCAAGGATTACATAAGAAATGGCGACAGTGAGGTCCTACAGCTACTACACAGTAGCACACACTCGGATAAACTGGCTAATATAATACCTAGACTCGCGGTTCAATACTGTATACACCTGGATATCTATATAGGACTGGAACCTACCACTATATCGAGTTTTACGTGTGGCCTACTAAGAAAAAGCGATTTTACGTATGGCCGGAACCCCCGCGAACAGCGGGGAGGAGTGTGTGACGGAACCCCGGATAGCTGGGAAACTCATGCAGGCATTAACATGCACGCACAAGCCTCAAGGTCATGGGGATGCGGACATGGGTGCTCTTAAAGTGGCAGATTCAAAGCGTCATTAACAGGGGGCCATGTAGTGTTCTGCGCGAGTCTGTTGTTCGTTGTGAAAGTAGTGAGGTCGTTCTGTGCGGCAGGTCTGAGGGGAAAGCTAGACATTATTGGGGAAAGGGCAGAGCAGAGAAGACAGTGAGGTGCACACGGTAATTTCACTATCTGCACAAAAAACTAACATCATATATCATCAATCATAGATCATCTCGCAACAGCACTTGAGCGAGCATTGAGGTATCCAACAAAACTCCGAAGCCAATGCACAAACCGTGCGGGTATCCAAAAAAACCAAAGCGCCCAACGCTCATGAGATGTGATGAACAAATCCGCCTCTCCAAGAAACCCAAAAAATGCTGTTGCTGTGGATGTGATGTTCCTGACATGACTCGAGCTTCGAAACCGGCCGCATCATGCTCTGCTACCACCGCAGCTGAGCATGCGTGTTTGTATCCACGTGCTGAAGCGCGTCCAGCCACCATCGCTGCCGTGGTCATGCGACGCGCGGGCACTATGAAATTGTACTTGTCCGGCTTTCTCGCTCTGACCAGGCGTAGTTCCATACCTCGGAAGGCTGGCAGCGTGAGCAGGTCTGCAGTCCTCATAACTGCGTGCAAAGACTTTCTCCTGCTCAGCACCACCCGTTGCCGTCGCGCTCGATGACTTGCGCGGCTTATCCGGCACCAACTGCCTCAATGAGGCCATGGCATTCGGCTTGTCCTGCGCATCAGACTGCTTGCGCTGCTTCTTGGCCGACTTAGACGCTTCCGTCTCCCTCCTCTTCGCAGCCTCCTTCTGGGCTTTCCTGTCTTTATCGGCTTCCTTCTCTTCGAACTTGCGACGAGCTTCTAGTATGCGTTGATCGCGCGACTGTGGCTCCGTGTCGGATCGACGACCAAAACCAAATGGCCTGTCGGAACTCGTTCGCGAAGAGGGAGACGGCACATAGTCGGATCGATCAGTGTTTCTCCGTGGACGGCCCAATTTGGACTTTCCAGATTTGCCAGACTGATTCGATCGAATGGACAGGTTTGACTGGGAAGTGCTCGTGAGTTTAGGCACAAGACCCAGGTCGCTGGCTGTGTGTGACTGTGACAGAGGCGTCGGATTCGTCTGGGGTGTAGAAGAGATGGACATGCTTCTCTTGGATCGGAAGCCTGGTCCGAGGCCGAATTCATTCTCAACGACATCTTCACTTTCGTTGGCTTCATCGTTATTGACGGATGAAGCGTATGAGCGTCCAGGCGGTGGAGTGTACGGTCGGGGTGTCTTGGTCATGGGGTGGGTGAAAGGCTGTCCGGGTTTCAAGCTTCCAGATCCAGTTGAGATTTGAGAGCCAACACTTGTGGTTCGTCCATGATGATGCCTCCGGCCGGTCTGGGCAAAGCTGACATCGGCAGCAGCTTTCGTTGCGAAATCTTGTATACCCAAGCCTGCCAACCGGTCGTTCTCGGCCATGCTTTTGGACAGATCGATCGTTCCCTGGTCTTCTTTCGCAGATGACATCTTTCGCAGGTACGGTTTTATCTTGGGTGTCGAGGTAATCGATTGCGGTAAGGCGGCAAGATCGGGAAACGGTTGCTCCTCGTATGTTGCGAAGGGCGTGGTGAAAGTGTTTCCATTGCTGGTGAATGGACTAGGTGGACGTGGAAGGGAGCCTGAGCCTCCGCGTTTATGTAACTTTGCATGGTTCCCGGATGTTGATTTTACGCCGACACTGCCAGAAAGTGGTGAAAGCGGAGAAGAGGTTCCGGAGTATGAGGGCATATTTTGTCTTGACCCAGAGCGACGCAAGGTCTCGGGAGACACTGGCGACAAGTTGTTCGCATCGTCTCTGTGAGATGGAGTCGAGCCCGAGCGGAGATTTCGAGTGGTCAATGTCAGCTTCGGGGTATGAGTGAAGGAAGGCAAAGTGTTGCTGCGCCCAGCGCTGCGGTTGTTATGAGAATGATGGAGGAACGAGGCCATGGTGCAGGCGCGGCGCTCGCTGGTTGCATGCAATACAATGCGATTATGCGAAGCGTGTGGCTTAGCCGATCCAGAGCCTGGCCCAGCTGAGCGCACGCAAGCCAGCACGCGGATAGCCAGATGCCGTGATTAGCAACAATGCAGATGTCAGGAAGGCATCATGTTGCGTTGCGTGCAGAGGTGACGGCTGGTAGAATAATAATATGGATGGCGAGATGCGCTCAGGACACGGCAGTGCCAAAAGCAGCAAGTCGAGGACTGCAGCAGAATGCGGGCGTGGATGATGATGTTTGCGTTGTTGTTGGTCGGCGCAACCAAGATGCAACTCCACACTTCCTTCCAATTAAACGTTGATATGCGTGCAGATCGGGGCGGGTCTCAGACTACACCATCTGCGATGAACTCTCGCCTTTAGACTCTCTGCGAGCCATTCTTCGCCCTTCAGCAAGATTAATGATAACGTTAGTGAGTGTCTCACAGAGTGGTGGAGAGGGAGGATGAAGTCATCATGAAGATGCTACACTAAGTTCTATTATTCAAGGGTGGGCGTAATCCAGACGCTTTCGGCTGTGCGCGGCATCCTAAGTTATGCTGCACGCAGATGGCCTTCTTTCTGCCCGCCGGCTAGGAATGCCATAAGCCGTTTTCCTTCGGCGTGGGAGAGAACGACTCACGCGACAGAACCAAGGCTGAATCGCTCCTCTGCCTGAGGACGCGAACGCCGGCTGTCTCATATTCATGTCACCTGCCTTTCGATCCCATCCGGATATCTTCAGCCCGAGATGCGCCCAGGATATTGCTTGCAGCCATCGCACGTGTGAGACGCTCTGACACTTTCTCCGCACCCGGCGCCGGTGCCGCATTCCTCCTCCTCCTCTCTTCTCCACTCCCGCCCGTCTCAGCCTAACCTCCGCCGCAAGCAGCACTGCTGTCGGAGTGCGCCACAGATGGTGTAGAATACCTGAGCACGGGCCTTTTCGCGGAGCCAAGGTCTTGAATCAGAGGAGGTGCTGATACAATGATTGTCCAGCGTGGCGTAGAATCGGTGCCGGAAAGGACGTCCCAGACTGTCTTGCGAATGCAGGTCCAGGTGTACAGTAACCGAGGAAGATATCAGACTTGGTTCCGTTGACAAGAACTTGGCTTTGATGCGAAAATGGCAACTGCCAACTGCCGTCACATCAACACAGATGGCAAGGAAGGCACGCACAAGCATTAGGTAATTGCAGGCCGAAGTTGAGGAGTGAGAATACATTACAGGAAAGTGTCAGATATCCACCAAACACGCCGCCGCCCAGCTCGGAGAAAGCGTATACTCATGACCCAAACGTACCATTCAATGAATGGTTCATGCGTATCTCCGACCCCGTACTTTCTCCACGCATTCATCCTTTTCCCAACACTGTGGCAAAAATCCCATCACCAAAAATGAGCCCACTGCAATGCTCGCGCTGATAGCTGGAAGCAGAAACGTCAAGAACATACGCGCTGCTGAATAAGGGCCTTTCGTCGTTTTGCGAATGACCAGTCGCAAACTTGAGTCCATCGCCTTGAAGACACACACAGCCCAGAGGACCATGGGAATGTAGTTCTTCATTGTGCATCGCACTCTCACTCTCTCGTGCCCCTCATGTGTAGGGCGGCAATTGGAATCTACCACTGCTACTGGCCGCGAGATGTTGAAACAATACGTTGTAGCAGCAGCGATTACCCATACTGCGATGGCGACGGCGTCGCTTGGATCCCCACCGGCGTCGGCTTCGGTCGATTGATTCTTGATCTTCGGAACCTGATTACCGACTGTTGGCTCTATTGCGCACGTAGTTGGATCGACATGTGCTTTTGGCGGTGGAGGAGGACCACGTTCCAGATCATCGTCGTTTGATTTGATTGAGGTGGAGGCACTGAGCGGGTACATAGGGAGAGCGTCGCCCATGGCGGTAGCTTCCTCGGTGGTCGTGTAGGACGGTAATGAAGTCTCAGATCCCTGCGGCTCGAAGCTCTGTCGGTATGCCGGGTGGAAAGGTGCGTCTGAAGTCATCTTGTCGTGATGACTGGGCTGAGTAATAACGAGGACGAGGATGTAAGCTCTATTGCTGGGCTTCGATGAAGATGTATCGATGTTGACGTTGTCTGTGTGATGATGGTGAATTGAAGGACGAAAGCGACAAAAGACAACCCAAAGGCCAGCTGCACCTGGTCAATACCATGGGAAGGCGTTCGGAAACAGAGCTATGCGCCTGACGTAGGAGCATGCGGTATGATGGTCGGCAGGAAGCTGCGAGAACAAACATGATGAAGCGCGACTTCCATCAAGGAAAGCCTACAGTCAAATTCGTCATCTGTCGTATCACTACATACAGAGGACGGGTACATTACTGATCATGTACAGCGGATAAACGTCGATCGTCCACCAGTGTATCCCTGGATCACATACTGTCGGCAAGATCGGTAAGACCAGAGGTCTTATCCAGGACCTCGGAAACGATAGAGGTGATCTTCTTAATGTCGACGGAAATGGCGGCCTTCGCGTCAACGAGAGAGAGGGCGCCAGCATCGACACTAGCAGTGGTGGTGTTGATGGCACCGGTCACGCTCTGGACCTCAGCGTAGAGGCTCTGGACAACGGACAGCACCTGAGAAACCTGACGCTTCTCGGTCGGTGCAGCGAAAGCTGCGCCCATGATGGCTGGGACGGCGAAAAGTGAAAACTTCATTGTGGCTGTTGATTGCTGGACTCGAAAGAGTGACTAGGGTGAGAAATGGAATGATCAACAAGTTGCTGTCGTGAGGACGTCAAGAGCGTGGAACAGTAGGGAGATGGAAAGAACTGAGAGGAATACTTGGCTCTTGTGTCTGCATTAATTCTCCTGAAGCTATAGTCTTCATGGCGGGTACCGAAGAGCTTTGATTGTTTGTCCAGGGCGTGCGACGTAGCGTCGATATCGTTGCTAAGTATTGGTATCAACTCTGTTGATGATTTTCGGCGAGGGTGGAAGCGCTATACAATGGAGAATGCGTCTTTCGGAATTGCTTGCCATTCTCCAAGATTGTCTTCGGCCCAATTTCTTCAATTGCTTTTGGAATTGCGGCGCATCTTGCTAGGGGAGTAGACCGCTGCTTATCCCAACTTCCCAAGACGTGAAGTCGATCAAGTGTGAACTGGTGATGGCGCTAATAGGTGACAGAGTTAATGTTGTCAGCTCGTAGGGATGTGACTCCACCGTGGATTAGCAATCACCCTTGTATACACCATGTAATATACGGGTGTATACTAGGTGTACACAGGAGAGGGCCCACATTAATACCTCGATATCTTAGCAAATCCGACCGCTGACGGCGCTGAGCCTGTATCTCGGCTGTTATCCGCGAATTGCATGACTCCTCTATGAGTGTATACTAGGCATCCGACCTCGAGGGCTGTGTACGTGGTGTATTACACGCTGTATACACGATACACTGGATGGTGGGCTCCATCACTATCAGCTCGTCCATTTTGCAGTTGACTAGGGTAGCATCCTCTCTGAAGGCGACTTTCAGAGATATCGGCGGCGTTGGAAGGCTGCAGTTCGTCAGAGCAGTGCAATCCCGCAACACATTCGTCGGTTCTTCTGATTCAGACCTGCCCGTTTTGATGTAGTGTGCTTGGAAGTATCTTCAATTTCCTCCCATCTCTCGCAACGTCGTCATAGCAGGAGCAAGGGCTATGTCATGAATTTTCGGTTTCTCTTCGGCGTGCAGAAGATCAACGCAACTACAGACTCTGTCCGCATCGGAGTGACAGTGGATACTCGGAGGCGTATAAAGTCCCATACCAGCGTCCGAGCGCCTGACCCACAGCTGACCGGGGCTTCCGACCTTGTAGAGCGGCGGTCGGCGTAGATTGTATACGCTTCCGCTCCTGCGCGTCGACGCGTACCGGTTTGTTTAGGTTATTGTTTTCTACCTTGCTATCGTACCTTACTATCGCTCCGCGCTATCGTTTCTATCTCTTCTATTATTTAAATTATACCTTTAATATCTTCTAATACTATATTAATTGCGGACTACCTCGGAGGAGGTAGGGATAGGGATATTCTAGCATCGTAGGTATAGGGTAACTTCGCGCTAGGTATAAGATTACGACGAGAGTAGAGCATAGTCGGAATCGCTAACTTTTCGGTAAAAAAGGAAGAAAGGGACGATTTAGTCGATTCTAGTAATAAAAACGCGTTAGTATTCCTAGACTATCGCCGCCCTCGAAAGTCTCGAGTTCCAGTTAAGCTAGACTCGTACTACGCGTTCTTACTATATACCGATAACCTCCGCGAATAGCGTAAACGAGCTATTCTATATAGCTTCGACGACTCGTTTAAGGTACCGGTAAAGCAATAGTACGCGTTGTTACTATATACTAATAATATATAGATAAAGAACAAGAACTATATCGAGAAGAGTAGGCTAGAAACGACGCGTTATGTTTGCCGCTTTCGTAAGCAACTATACTAGAAGTCGGATAAGACTAAAGGGTATAGTACGCGGCGCTTTAATAAGAAGATTAAACGCGCGCAAGGCTGCCCTATAACGATAAAGGTATACACTATATATAATAAGGATAATAGGTCTAGTAAGCTAGAGATTGTCGTATGTCGAGTTTAGCGTATAAGCCGCGAGGATTACTCGGACTACTACTAGTTAGATAACTTCGACCTCTTCCGCCGATATAGCGTATTATTAACTACTATAGGGCACGAGGTATACTATAGATATAAGCCGAGTACGGTATAGAAGACATTAAAGGCTTAGTACGACCTAGTAGCGAATACGCTATTTAAGGCCGCTAGCGGCAATTTTATAATAAAGTACGACGTACTTAATTCTAGTCGCGCCTTCCGGAAGGTATATAAGGATAGAAGGCTCGGCGGCGCGTCGCTAGTATAGCAAACATAGAAAGAAGATGTATTCGAGTAGTATTAACAAGGTTAGTTAATCTTATTATTATTATTAAGCTAGGGCGTAAGGTTAGAAAAACAGCTATACGGACCGTCGCGCCCGCGTATCCGGACTCCGATTAACTAATAGATCGACGCGGAAGTCTATCTAAGTTATTAGCTTAATAGATAAAGATATTAGACTCGATTACCTACGAATACTAGATATAAAAGGTAGAATCTCGAGATTCTAAAGTTCTTCACCTAAAGCGGAAGCGCCGTAGAGCCTTAGCTTCGAGCTAATAAGATAATTTAGAAGCTACGGTAATACCTCGGTCTAGCTTCTAGCGCGCCTTAGCAGACCGAACCTTAAACTTTAGGATTCTTTTGTTTATATTTGCGGTTTTCTATTATAACAATTACTAATATATTATTATAGAAGGGCTATTTTGCGAGAATATAGAAGCTATACGCTAAATCGACAAAGAGACTACCTACGGCGTCGTATATACTAGCAAAACTAGTATAGAACTACTTAAAGCCTATCGTACGATCGCGTTTATAAACGCGATATATAAGACTAATTACCTAGATTAGTTTCTTTATACTATTATAGTAAAGGATAAATATACTATTTCTCGTATAGCGGTATATATACTCTTACCTACTAACGACGGCGATATTGTTACGGAGTTTTTACGTACTATAAGCAGGTAGATAGGCGGTATTTAGGTACCTAAATTCCTTCTTATAGACGACTTAGTAGCCGAGCGACGCGTAGTTCAAATAGCATTTACGACGACAATATACCTACTATACTACGTCTACGTTTAGCGCACTATCGACAGACGCTTTAGCGCGAAAATCTACTAAGAGACACGTAAACACCTATACGCCGCCGTAGTATACCGCTACTCGCTCGAAGGCGCGAAAGAGTCGCTCTAGGCCGCTATCGATAACCTCCCCCGAAACAGCGATTATAAGTTAAACTATATATATTTAGTTTAAGACTTCGGTAGCGATATTCGCCTATAGGCAAACTACTATCGCGTTTATAACGTGCCTACTATCGTTAGACAATATAAGGATACTAATATAAATAAGAGCTTTTACGCGTATCTTAAAATAGACGGCAATAAGTCGCTAATAGCAGCTAACTTTATACTAATAGGCGTAGCTATACAAACAATATAGGAGGGCGAGCTTAGAGACCTTCGGTCGGACATTGCTAGTAAGCGTTAGGCATTAAACGTATACCTACTTACGCGCGGCGACGACGACGAGCTCCGGACCTAGCTTCTATGCCTTCTATAGCCTATTTAGCGCAAGATTAGTGCTAAGATTAATCGCGTTCTTAACAAGTCTATATACTAAGACCCGAAGCTATTATTAACCGAAGTAGGCGCGCTTACCTGCGACTATAAATTCTTCTGCTAATATCGCGTCCTTTACGCCGACCTCTAGTATTATTACCTTATACTTAAACGCGTTATTATTAAAGATTATTACTAGCAACAATAGGTTAATATATTTGCTAGACGCGCTCTCGAGGTCTACGAAGAAAACGCTTCTAAGTCGATAGTAGTATAAGAAGACGCCGCCGCCGCCGAGATCGTATATACGCCTACCTATCGATTAAACGTCCGCGAGGTACTTACTAACGCGTACGAGTTAATCTTTTAACTCGAGCGCTTATGCGACTAATAAGGCATAGACGAGAGCGACAAGCAACGCGAGGTTATTATCTCGAAGATGCTAATAGTCTTCTATAAGAGTAGTAATAATATTAGAAAGGGCTTTACTAACCTCGTCCTTACTTACTTTAAGAGTACTTATCCGGAAGCTATTCTTATACTAACAAAAGCGCCGCCGCCGAAGCTATTATAAGCGCTATTACTAAGCGATATTATATCGAGCTATTGCCTTCTAAAAGCGACTAACATAGCGCCGCCGCTAAAGAAGCGGAAGGGTAAGAGCGTAGATACTATAAGTAAGAAGCCGAAGCGATCGAAGAAATAGGTAGAGAAATAGGTAGGGTAAGAATATATACCTAAGCGAATACTAGCGGCGCTAGCTTAGCTAAATTTTAGTAAAGAAGCGCCGTTAGCAGTTCTAGGCGGTATCGACGCGTTCTTATCGCGTTTTCCTTTAAATTCCGCCGTTACGTAGGTCGCGTAGGTAACTAATAGCTTCTATATGCCTCTACCGATACTACCGGTACTAAATAGATAGCAATACGCGCCTCTAAGCGCGATATAGGTCTATAGTAGCATACCTTATATACCGCCGCCCTCTAATATATATTAACGCTATTAAAATAGCCGTAATCGCTAACTATACCTCGAATTTTGCTATACCGCTGTTTTGCTAACAAACTTTAGCTTTATTTTTAGTAATATAACTAGTATCTACTAGTAGAGAATGCGGGGTCGTTAAACACTATAAAAACAGTGCGAAATCTATTAAATTGCGACTATACGACCTCTTACTATTAATATTTAGTATACTAGCGGAAATCGCACTACTACTACTACTACTACCCTAACCTATCGACCTAGTAACCGCGACGTATAGAGACATCGATATTACGTTTTCTATAGTTACGTATACTACGGAGCGGACTTCGATATCTTACCGAGTCCGCTACGGCAGGCTGACCCTATTCTTAGAAGGACTAGGGGCTCGGACGCTGGTATGGGACTTTATACGGGCCCGGATACTCTGGTATCCCTGCATTTTCATGGATTCGAACGAATAGCGCTGCTCAGAATCGACGGTCCGCGTTTAGTAACTGGCACTCCGATGCGTACAGACTCTGTAGATCTCCGTGATTAATTTCGGTTCTCCAAATTGTGCTTTGCCGGCCGAAGAAACGTGATAATACTGCAAGCCTATTGCCCATCATAGTAAATCTGGCGGTGAGCAGTATTGGGTGGCTGCCTTGGGGAATGTCCTGCGCAACTTGCAAGCAAGGAATACATTATTAAGCAGGGGAGAACAGTTGATGTTCCAACCTTGAATTGTCTGAAGCGACTGTTCCTTCATCGCGACGTCAAGGGTAAGCATAATGAGACGCAGAGCAGAGTCCGCCCGGATGTTTGGGAAAACAAAACCCTTGTCCACAAGCGCGACAGCACCAGATCAGGGGGTAAGCCTCGGAGCAAGTGACTCGATGAAGGCGACATGAAGAGGAGGATCCAATTGTGAAGGACTTGCGATGCTCGAAAGAAATACAGCTCATCCCGATATCAAGGATATAAAAAGGTTCGCAAAAGGAAAATGTTTGGCAGAACTTCCATCTTCGTTCAAGATCCTTCTATCCTTCATCAGAGACCAGAGAAGAACAGGAACAGACCGCTGACCCGCAGTCAGGTCGCCTACGAGGTCCGAGAGTCTTTGTGCTCAATCTTGTCACCAATCCCAGTGCTCTCGCCACTGGCGCTCCTATTCTGACGCGAGGAGCGTCGCTTGTTCTCGCCGTACAGGATCGCCAGTATGTAGAGCAGTCCCATGATGCCGGCGCCGACACCATATCCAATCTTGGCGCCCTTGCTCTTTCCTCCAAGTTGTAGACCAAGGCCTCCATTGACGATACCAAGGAGAATGACGATACGGCCAACGCTCAAGTGGAACCAAGACGAGATAGTCCGGCCTTGCGTCTTCTTGTACATGCGATGATGGAGGACGCCCCATAGTGGCTGGGTAAGCATGAGACCAAAGACGACGGTGCCGATGATTGGATGGCGGTTACTCCAGTAGTGCTCTTTCGATGCGTAGTAAGCTCCAAGACCGAATGCAATAATGTAGAAGGACAGGCCAAGATACTGAATCGCGGAGTGTATGATGAGCAAGTTGGGTAGATTGCCGACGCGGATGAGAATGCCACCGATTGGAAGGAGGAAAGCAACGGCAAGGCAAGCGAACACAGCGTGAGCGATGATATAGGAATCCGACACACCGCCACCGATTGCTTGTGTGCTGGCTTCGGAGGCAGTGGCTGCCAGGAATGGGTTCGCATTTGCAGACACTGCACCTCCTTTGGCACTTGCAAAATCCCAATTGAAGCCGCCATGGTCATCGTGATAAGAAATCTCGGCTGCAAGATCGTCGGATTGGATGGGAGTTCCGGACTTGGAGGCGTAGATCCAGGTAGCGCCTGTGCCGGCGAAGTTCATTGAGCCTCCATTCCAGGAAGAGCAGCCAGCACATCTCACATTTGCTGTCAATGTGCCGTTCTCAACGCCAGATCCCTTCAAAAGAGTGACATTTGCGCCTTGACCATTTTGGTGCTGTGGCTCAATGTGGCCCTTTCCCAACCTGGGAGACACGGTGACGTTCATTCCGTTCGCAGATAAATATACCACGAATATATTGGCGCCAGCCATACCCTCGCCCTGGCCAAGCGCGATCCATTCGTGCGAGGTCGATGGTCCGGAAATCTGGAAAAAGATGTCGCCATTGCCAGACTGTGCTGTCTGGTCGGGAATGGAAAGTGAGAAGCAGATGCCCGATGTCGAAGGACACGTCTTGGACACAGCTGCTTGGGCGCTTGCGGCTGTACAGGATTAGTGAGTGCTCCTGTTGAGTCGCGGTACGACTACTTACATAGTAGGAAAGCAAGAGCAAGCACTTGGCCCAGAGATCGCCTCATCATGGTCGGTGTCGCAAGGCTGTATGTTGATCGGCTCTGGTGAATTATACGGAAAATTGTTGTACCGAGACTGCTGTTCACCGTGGAAGCTCGGACTTGTTGAGGATATTCGAGAGGTATGAAACTAACACGTTATATACATATGAACAATGGCAGCTTCCCTTGCGACTCCTTGAAGGCAACATGCTGACCCTTGGTCCAAAGCATGTCCGATCCCTAGCTGGTTTGGATCGCGGGAGTTTCATGGTTCGACAAAAGCGTCATAGACCAGTACAAAGGAAAGGAAGCAAAGCCCCAAGCATCTCGGCCAAGGCAATAGTTCTAAAAGGGCCAATTGGCATTCGTCGATTACACGCTTTGGAAGCCTCGTCCAGTCGCCGATCACGTTAACTGAACACCCCTACATGTCAAATCCCGGACATGGAGGAACGACTGGGGAGGCTGACGAACGCAAATCTCCTTGCTTGCCCATTGCAATACCAGAGACATCATCAGCAGCGCGATCCCAAGCCGACACGCGTAGCCAAGAAGCAGATGTCTGCAAGGAACAGCCCACTATGCAAGCTGACAAGCCCCGAGACTATGATACGAATCAATAATCATCAGCACTGCCTCAATCCTCCCGGTTCCTCTGCTCGGAGTGAAGAGAGACATGGTTGACGTGATTGCATTGCGTGTGCAATGATGATGCTGCCGGGAGTTAGTTCTAGGAATGCCAGCCAGGCCTTGCCAACTAGGGCAGTCTTCAGAATCCAAGACAAGTAGTGCGGTTGTCTGGGCTGTGAGTTGCCAAGATAATCCAACTGCCGGCTACTCGTAGGCAAGGTGTGGAGACATATATAAAGAAGCAAGGAGTGATGAGCAACAAGAACGATGATGCGCATGCGACGCTCGGCATCGCAGAAGCCGGCTGACATGCTGAGTCAGCCCACACATACTATACATCCTCTCTTTCTATTCTCCATTCGGTTCTTGAGCAATTGCCCTCCACAGTGTTGGTCAGAGTATCGAAGATGCGTAGAAAGAGTCACTGGTGCGAGCTAGGCCATGCGAGGAGTTCCAAACAGGGCCGAGAGCTTTCTATTCTACTGTATAAAAGCTGATACATTTCGTCTCGACTACAGGGGCACTGGGCACCGTCTGTCCCCTCAATTTAATATCGTTCCTGCATCGTCGGCGCAATAGCATTTGCTGAGAACCATTGTTAGCATTTCAACAAAGTGCTATTCAGATTCCAGACTCACCCATTTGGTGCACATTGTCCATCAGCTCCGGTTACGAGACGACATTGAGTTGCGCAAAGAGGTGTGCCGAGCAGAGGGCACAAAAGAGCACCATTGAGCTGTGGTTCTCTTGTCTCGACAATCGGTGATGCGGCCGTGGATCTGATGAAGGCAAGGAGAACTGCGGCCAGATTTTGGAGTTGCATAGTGGTGGTTGACCTTCGTTGGTGAGTTCTTGGCGGTGTTTTTGGTTGATTTTTCCGACGACGATGTTGCTGTTGATGTTGCTGTGCGATCGCACTTTTTCACAATCAACGCTGCAGCATCTGCAACTTATATATCTAAACACATGTTCGCCTGTTCACCTCCACACTTCTCTCCGGAAACGACTCAATCCGCCTCGACTCGTGTGTGTTTCAATTGGGTCCCGCATAAATGCCAAACTCACTAAGTGGTTTTCACTTCTCGTTCAGTCGCTAGCGGGTGCGAGTAATAAGGTAACCCTAAGTGGAGAGCTCCTACATGTGGTTGATTTTTGACGATCTGCAAGACAAATACCGAGGCAGCTGGTAAGACATTGGTTGAAGACGATGTGTAGTTCGCAGACTTAGCTGCTCAAAGTCTTACAGACCACATGGCAACTTCAACTACCTAGACCTATACTCTCGCAAAGATTCGTACTCGTCTATGCTTTCACGCATGTCAATCTCTCGTGCCAGTGAATCTCTGGACAACGAAACGCATTTAGGCAGATCTGGCGGATTTGTCCCCAGAGCCGACCATAGAGTAGGTGGTCAGATGTGCATCATAGTCCAAGGCATGATCCAGTGCACGTCGTTGTGCGGCTGTAGCATCAGTAAGATGCACCGCAACATCATCGCCAAACTTTTGATTGATCTCTTCTAATGTCAACCTGGCTGTTTCCGGAAAGTAGAGGTAGACAACTGCCTAATATCAGTAATACATTGGAGCTGTGGATCGCGAACAACTCACCTGGAATGAAGACGATGCACCAGCATATGACAACTAAGAAATATTTCCAGCCGACTTAGCCAATCGGCGCGGTCTGCAGGAGGACAATCGTCGAAGCGAATTGACCGAAGAGGCTAAAACCAATACCGATCGACCTGATCTCTGTCGGAAAGATCTCGGAGACCCAAAGGTACATGGTGGTGTCGCAGCCTGTGCCTTGGAAGGCCAGGTATAGAAACATGAAGAAGATCCCGAACCCGTTGCCGACCTTGTTCGTAGTACCAGCATAGCTTGCAATCATGGCTGAAAGGCACCGCCTGCACTGAAGACTCCATTGGCGGTCGCGATCGTAGCTGTAGTTCGTCCAGCGTAGCCCGGCTGGCCTTGCTGCGTTAGATCGAAGTACTGATACCAGCCTGGTTGCCCGATAGTACTGCTGATGACCGAAGTGCAGTAGCCGTAGGTCAGCGATCCGAGGGCGACGAAGGCCGTTACCAGCTTGTTGTAGGTACTTGAATGTGATCCAAACGCTATCCTTAGTGCTCGAAATCTGTGATAGTGTCATTGAAGGCGTATGTTCACCTTTCGCCATTGGCCAACGCTGGTGATTACTGCGTCCAAACGTCTGGGAGAAAACTTGCACCTCTTGCACCTCTTGCACATCTTCGTCGCACCTCATAGGAGTGCAGCAAGCTACTGCAGCTTCAGCTCGAATAATAATGCGGTGCAACGGATCAACACCGCAAATGCTTGCTGTATTCTAGGGGTAGTCTCTCCACGCCAGCTTCCTTCAGCCGCAAGTCTATATATGACTGCGGCGGAGGAAGCCCAAGAAGAGTGTAGAAGGACCGAGTCGATGATGTGGAAGAGAATGTGGTGTGAGAAATGAAGTCGTTGCGATGACCCTTGGAGACCGAAACTTTCGGCCGGCAGACGGCACGCAAGTTGTCACTTCCCTCATCTGATTGGACGAAAAGAGACCCTCTATATATTTGCCTCTGCTGTAACGAATGGATAAATGGTGCCAAAATGCTTGTGATCAGGACTGATCTGGTAACGAAAATCCATTTCACGTCAGACACACGAAATGGATGCCGCCGAGCAAGGAGTTCTTCACGATCAAAGACCAGACGCGGCTCTTGGTCATCAATCACGCGAAAACAACACTCAAGAAGACGTGAAACCCCCAAAACAATCATATCACAACACCGACATCGAAGCAGGACCAAAAAAAACGACAGAATCCCCTCAACAAACCCATGAAGCCCCTCCACCGCCATTCAAAGCCCTCTCATTCCTCGACAAATTCCTCGTCCTCTGGATCCTGCTCGCAATGGCTCTAGGCATAATCCTGGGCAACCTCGTCCCATCAACCGGGCCAGCCTTACAGAGAGGCGAATTCGTCGGCGTCTCAATCCCCATAGCAATCGGTCTGCTAGTCATGATGTACCCGATCCTCTGCAAAGTGCGCTACGAAACTCTTCACCTGCTCCTCAAAGAACGCATGCTGTGGAAACAGATCGGGATTTCTTTCTGCCTGAATTGGATTCTCGCGCCGCTGTTCATGACGGGCCTCGCGTGGGCGTTTTTACCGGATCGAAGGGAATTGAGAGATGGGTTGATTTTTGTGGGTGTGGCGAGGTGTATTGCTATGGTGTTGATCTGGACGGATTTGGCGGGTGGGGATGGGGATTACTGTGCTGTGCTGGTGGCTTTGAACAGTGTCTTGCAGATTGTGTTGTTTGCACCTATGGCGGTGTTTTATGTTACGGTCGCAAGTCACGATCCTGCTCCAGGTACCGATGATGGCGGGTCAGCCCTGTACTCGGATGTGGCGACGAGTGTTGCGGCGTATCTTGGAATTCCTCTTGGAGCTGCGGTGATTACCAGGTTGGTTCTTCGGAGACTGCTGGGCGAGAGGAATTATCAACTCTATTTCATCCGCTTCATCGCGCCTTGGAGCTTGATCGGTCTGCTTTATACCATTGTGGTGCTCTTTGGATCGCAGGGACTGCATGTGGTTCAACAGATTACGAGCGTGCTGAGAGTTTGTGCTCCGCTGGTGGTCTACTTCTTGGTCATCTTCCCGCTCACAGCCTGGATGATGTGGAAGTCTGGATTCGGATACAAAGTCAGCAGTACGCAAAGCTTCACCGCCGCGAGCAACAACTTCGAATTAGCGATCGCAGTGGTGGTCTCCGTTTATGGCGCTGGCAGTCAGGAAGCACTGGCCGCTACAGTTGGACCTCTGATCGAGGTACCGGTCTTGATTGCATTGGTATATGTCATCAAATGGTGTCGCAAGCGGTGGCAGTGGAAGGATTAGCCTCCTCGTGTATAGCTCCTCTTATCGATCATTCAATCGAAGACTGCTCGATATCCGTCTCCCGCTCCAGCCTGGTCGGCAGTTCGTTCTTCCACGCCCTCAACAGCCTCATTCGATATCCCAAACCTCCTCCTCTCGATTCCTAATGTAAGGCACAGGAACATCCGCACCATACTTGACCAATCCAATCGTCCTCCCATCCCCCAGAAAAGCAAAAATATTATCGGGATCCTTATACTCAATCTCAAAATGTTCAAACCTCGGCCTCTTCATGAATTTCAAATGATGCAACATACTTCCCGGCCAAATCAACACTCTCCCATCTTTCGTATTCTCCTTATACCTAATTCACAAAATCAATTCATGTTGCAGCAGCAGCCCCCAACATAAACGGAGGTAGGTATGGTATGGCATGGGAATAACTCACCAAGACTTGCAGTCCTCACTCCAAATCGAATGCTTCGCATGCCAAGCATCCATATACGCGTTCAACTGATCCGTCACGTTCTGTTTCGGAAACATGCTCTTGATCCCATCTTCCTGCACCTTCCTCGCACACTGCATGATATATTCCGACTGCGTCTCATGAGAAGGTAAAGCGCACCCCTGACCCCAATTCCCTCGAGGTCCACTCACGACGAAATAATTCGGAAATCCGGGATGTGCGATGGATGCATAGATGTTTGGATCGGTTTGTTCTTGCATCACGCGTCCGCCGAGGCCGGTGAGACGGAAGTGTGGAAGGAATTGCACGTCGAAACCTGTGGCGCAGATGATCACGTCGACGTCAATTTCGCGTCCGGATTCCGTGGCCAGGCCGTGGGGAGTGATTTTGGATATCTCTCCCCATATCACTTCCACATTCTCCTTCGTCAAAGCTTCTAAATACCCTTCTCCCGGTGTCAGCCTTCTACAACCCGGGCTCCAATCGGGAATCAATCTCTCTTTCAAGTCATCTCGATCGCCCAGTCTCGCTCTCATCGAATTCTGTACAAAGTCCTTAAATTTCACGTTCAATTCACTCCCACGATAAAACATATCCCATCCGGCCATAAACGACTTTTCCATTCTCGTTCGATAATTTTGCAGGTATTCCGGATCTGTACGGAAACGTTGTTTCTCTCTTTCGGTGTAATGATGTTTTCCTGCGGCTGCGGGATCTTGGGCGAGAGGGTCTGCTTCGGTGTTTGTGATGTTGGTGCCGAATTGGGGGGATATGTAAGTTTTGTTTCGCATGAAGACGGAAAGTTTTGAGACGGCTGGGGCGATGGCAGAGACGATTTGGATTGAGGAGCTGCCTGTACCGATTACTGCGACGGTTTTGTTGGTTAGGTCGACATCTTCTTTGGGCCAATTCGCGGAGTGGACGAGATTGCCTTGGAAGGAGTGGAGACCTTGGATTGCTGGCCATTTCCACTTTGACAGGACGCCGGCGCCGTTGATCAGGATGTTGCAGGTATCAAAGAAGGTTTTGTTGGTTCTGCGGTCTTTTAGTTCGACGTTCCAGATTCCTTTCAGATCGTCCCATTCGGCACTGATGACTTCGGTGTTTGTCACGACGTATGGTTCTAGATGATTTTCGTGGAAGAATTTCAAGAAGTACTCTTGGATCTCGGGAGCATAGGCATAATAGCCGCTCCAGTCTGGATTGGGATAGAACGGGAAAGTGTACGTATGTGCTGGGATATCGCAAGCACATCTGTGATACGGGCATGGCCATGTCCATCAGCGAGGATGCTTTGGATGCAGAACATTTTCATACATGTAGGTGGTCTTACCCAGGATACCTATTCTCATACCAAGTCCCTCCCACACCGTCGTTCTTCTCATAACAGACCAGCTCATAGTTCGTCAACATCTTCCGTGCTTTATATGCGCATAGCATGCCGGCAGCACCCATTCCCACGTGGATGATTCGGATCCTTTGTGGCTCGCATTGTGGATGGTCAGGCACCTGAATGCCCGGGTCCTGAACGTGAGGCATACTTTGACAGACTCGGGTTCGCTGACGATGATTTTTAGATGCGTAGCAGTCTCTGGGTCGTGAATGGTGATGTGGACGGATGTGCAGTAAATGAAGAACGCATGAAGTTCATTTAGGCACTCGGAAACTTCTCCATTGCGACCTTGACATTCATGCCTTGCTGTTAATAAACGATAAGCGCCTTGTCGCAGGCCCCGCCTATGTCCAAATTTTTCAACCTCGGACAAGAACACGATTTGTTGTTCGAACGAGCGTTTGAGTGTGGCAAGTGGAGTAGAGTCGCGTGGGCTGACATGTGTCCGCGCTGGCCGTGTTGGCGGGGCTCTTGTGAATCGGCGCTCTATAGCATGCAGTGACCTCTGAGCATTGGAGTCTGATCATACAAAAGTGAATAAAGCGTCATATCTCACTCCACATTCAAGCAATGCTTTGATAATGCCGTGCGCTTCTTCAGGATGCTTACAGCCAACCACACAGCATCAGGCCGGGATTGTTGCCCATGCACCTGAAGATCCTAATCAGGCACTGTTGCCGTCTTCTCCTCTGGTACTAGCTCTCGCAGCTGTACTCGCCGTGGCAATACTTGCGGTCCTCATCGTAGTCTTGTCCTTCTCTGGTCCTGGCTTTGCTCGGCGTCTCTTAGCCGGAGTATACACATCGTTAAAGTTCATGGCGATCGCTAAAAATCGCATGTCGCTATCGGGTTGGTACGCCAAGTCTCCAAGCAGTATATTGACTTTGCTCTTGAACTCCGCTTCGAGACTGTTCAATCGTTGTCGAAGTGCCGCTAGCATATTCCGTTCGCCTTCGAGACCCCCTTGCAGCGGCAATAAAGGCGGGATAGGAGAATCGGTCTCACGCTCGCGTAGTCTGGATCGCGTGGAGCTGGAGCTGGGGAAGAGCGGTGATTGTTGCGCTGTATCCTCGTCGGCCTCAGTAATACCCCATCTTCCTGCTCTGGTACGTGTCTCGATACGAGCGGCCAGATCCTGACGCCGAGTAAACTCGGCCACGCTGTAAGAGTATAGGCTGTCCAACGAGTCGCGATATGCGAGCATCAATTTGAACAGTTCATGCAACTGTGTCGTGAAATCGAGACCGACCATGCCCGAGGCACCTAGCAGTCCCTTCCGCGTAATATTGCGGAGATACTCTGCGTGGGCGTCGATGAGTGTGTCCAGCGTGGCATCCGGCTTGCGAATGTTCTTTTGCAGATCTGCCCATCCTTTCTCGATCACCTCGAAGAGGACGTAGTATTGCAATTGATCAATGAAATGAATCATCTCTGCAAGCCGACCCCTTGCGACCTTCCAGTCGGCTCCGAGTTTATCGCCCACCGCGCCCAAAACGCCTCGAGCACCCGTCTGTAGTCGCCGCCAAGTTGACGAAAGGGCGAACTCAACGCGCTTGACACGCCAGAGGAAGTTGAACACCTTGAGATACTGCCTGCCTGCCCATGGCGTGACAATAACGTCTAAAGGAGCATCAACGCGATACTCGAGAGTGAAAACGTCCCAGCCTATTTCGCCGTGGCTCAGCTCCAACATGCGAGCGTCTAACCTCCTAAGTACATCGGCGCTATCGTGCTGGGCGTTTGAGTTGCGAATGGCGTGCTCTAGTTGCGCTGTCAAGGTATGTCGATATTGGCTGTTCGCCGGTCTATCCAGATTTTGCGCCAAGGATTCCATGAGCAAGGCTATGAAGTCACCTTGGCCCAGCAACAGATATTTCTTCATGGCGCGAAGATGTGACGACAGTGCAAATTTCGACTCGAGGAGTGTCATCAGACGCGCCATGACAGTTTTGTAAGCCTCGTCAATGCTAGAAGATAATGTTGCCGTGTCGCCATATTTCAGCTCTCGCGTCGCGGATTTGCTGTACGACTCCACCCAAGCGCTGTCTCCACAGGCATAGCGGATGAAGTTCAAGGATTTGCCTATCAGATAGACTCGCGTTGCAAAATCTGCCGCAGTGATCGATGGTATCATGTTCTCTTGCACGCGATATTTGTCTTGCCAGACACTAGTTGCACCGCCGTCTTCGTAGTCGTGGTTCTCAATGACGAAAAACTCCTTGTGAGGGTCTTCCAATTCGCCATTGTAAATCCAAGCTTGCAGCATGTGGTAGAATGGCCTCGTAATCTGCGGAAGCAGTCTTTCTGCGAAACTGTGGACAAAAGGATCTCCATGTTGCGATGAGAAGTTGTGAATGAGTGTGATCAGCTCGCCGCCCTTCTTGCCTCGCACAGCTTCAACCATCATACTCATGAGCCGCAGACCAAGAGTCGCCTCTCGAGTCCAGACCACACATCGCTTGAGTGTCACGCCTGCCTTGCCCAAGCCACGATCGGGCGCGTTCTCGTCTAGTTGCGCGAGCGCTCGTCGTATTTGACCCTCCAAGGTCGCGACGAGGCTCAAGTAGGAACGTAATTCCTGTCCAATGGCCGAACGCAGACTTTGACCAACAAGACCTCCTTCCTGCGACTCTATAAATTCTGCCAACGACTTGTAAAGCAGAGAAGGTTCGGCAAGCTGGTGGAGAAGGGCTATAATTGGCACAGGCAGAGTGGTGGGAAGCTGCAAAGACTTCTTGTCGGCGAAGGGCAAGTGCGTCGATGACAAGCCTTGCAAGGTGAAGGGCAGATCTCGCAAGAGAGCAGACTCCGCGGGCTCGAGACCGTCCATTGCTTTCCTAGGCTGAGAATTCGGTACAGGAGCAGAAGCCACTTGTGTCTGTTGGGGGCGCGGTCTTGTCGGCACAGGCTTCTCTCTATCTCTCGTTGGCGTCCGAGTGCTTGTGCTGTCTGTCGGGACCCTAGGGAGACCATTTCTAGCAAACGCCTCGTCGAAGACTTCATTCTTCTCCTCGTAGAGCTCGGCTTCGCTATCCTGCCGTTGGATCGACTGATCTACCTGCAGCATGCCTTCCTCCTGTCCATGCTCATCATGCCCATGTCCATACCCGTTGGTCTGTTCGCCTTCACTCACTTTCAGCAAGAAGTAGAGGATTTGCCATTTGTTATTCAGCACTGGCTGCGCAAGCAATCGCGAATACAGGTTACTGAACGCAGCCGCCTTCTCAGGACTTGCGTTTTCGCGCAGTAGCTTGGCTCTTATCAAGTCCGCCGCCTGGGGCACGTCGTCGGCGGGTAGCTGGTTAGTCGGCGCGCTCGAGAGGATTTCAGTCGTTGCGGTGTTTGCGTCTTCCCATCTTTGGTCGGCGCGTTCTTCAGCTTCGCCGGGTTGCTGTGCGGGCACGAGCCGTTCTAGCAATGACTGAATTGCACTTTCGATGCGCTCTTCTTGCGACTTCGACATTGTGCTCTTTTCGCATTCTGGAAATATTGACTGTTGCAATCGGAGGGTCTGGCCACTCAGGCGACGCGAATGTTTCGAGCGTTGTTTTGAGAACGCGCGCCTGCTGCGGGGCAAGTGGACTCGAGCATGTGAAACACGAATTGGGAAGACTTCCAGTAGACCAATAAGATATTGGAAGTGTGCGAGGATGTTCATGTACAATGGTGGATTTGAATATGAATTATTTTGCTTTGGCTCACTCATCATATCGTAGCATGTGCCTGAGATCCTGTCCAGACACTTCGTCTCCCTCCCAGGAAATGCCACGTAGTCCACCCATTTCTTCTGTGGTGACGCCGAACTCCCATCAGTCGTAACGAAATTTCCGCGTCGGCGGCCGCATGTCAAAGCTAATACACAAGTGTCATGTACAGTTCAAACTACAAATAGTCCATGCTCCAACGCTTGGCTAGCCTGACCAAGGTCTCTGCGGATGACCATGGCTGCCAACCTGCGATGAGTCGGACATGTTCAAGTATCTCGAAGGCGACTCTATGCTCGCTGCAACGCCATAATTGGAACGGTCAAGGGTGTCAGAGGGCTCCTAGCTGCCTTTTGTGTCAGCGAGGTCTCCAGCGATGCCTGCGAGACAAGATCCTGTTACCTCCTCTGCAGCTGACCCTGAGGCATCTGTCCTTGCTGTGCCATACCTGGGCCGCCCTGGCCCATCATTCCATACGGGTTGGCGTAATGCTGAGTATCGCCGGCTATTTGTTGCATGGCCATACCTGAGATACCCTGTGCTTGTGATACTGGGCAATCCTTATGCGCCAGTAGCAATGTCTTGAGGCCGACTATTTCCTCACGAAGCTGAGTGACAGTTGCGGCCAGTGCGTCGTTCTCTGTGCTGAAGATCTCGACCTTCTGCTGCAAGTTTGCCAACCACTGCTTCTTGCGTTGCCGACACTTCAAGGCGGCGACACTGTCGTGCGTTAGCGGAGGTAAGCTTCAGGAACAGCAACTAGTACATACCGATTTCGCTCAAGGAAATTCTTGCGCTTCTCCTCATCGGTCATCTTCTTGCCTTTATCATCCAGATTTTCGTCGTCGCCTTCGGGACTACCTTCCATATCATCAGGTTCTTCCGACATGGCACTGGCACCACGACCCTTCTTGCTCGCAGGTCCTTTGGCAGGTGTCTCTTCGGCTTTCCTCTTGCCATTCGCGGCCTTTCCGGCAGCGCCCTTCTTGCCGCGTGTGTTGCGAGAGTTGGACTTGGTATCTTCCTCAGAGTACTGGTCGACTCCTTCTGTGCTACCGGAGATATTGCTGCCGATGCTTGCTTTGTTTCCGCCACGGTTGTCTTGTACGGTCTGCTGGTAGCCTGGTTGCTGCGGTGCCATGGTATAACTCTGCGCATTCCGCTGCTGACCACCAGCCTGTGCCAGCATAAAGAGACCGTTGGCAGCCTCGTTACTTTGATGTGATCCGAACGGATCTTGGTTGTCTTGTTGTGCACTCGCATTCGGGTTGTACGGCTTGCTGTCGAGGTCGGGCTGGATGTTGGGATTTTGTTGCGGCTGGCTTGTTGCAGGATGTGAGCCAATGTAGCTATTGGCCTGTGTCTGCGCTCGAGCTGTCATTGCCGTGCGATGGAAGTCCAGAGTACCGGGCGTGGCTCCTCCACTCTGCAGTTGATTGTACAATGCTTGAGAATTGGGCGATGGCTGCGGGAACATGGACCCGCCACCGCCAGGCGTCAAGCCAGTGCGAAGGGACGACTCGTTGGGAGTCGGGAAGCTTCCAGCAAAGTGGTGATCGCTGTTGAAATAGTCGTTCGATCCAGTTGGGCCGGTGAGCATAGCAGGACTCAATGGACCTTGACGAAGAGAACCGGGCCAGCCGGGTGTGTTGCCAGGTAAAAGCGACGCTGGCGACGTAAGGCTAGTTACACCTGGTAACTGCGTCTTGCCCGGTGTCTCGGCAGGGTTGCCAAAGGCGTTCTCAAATGGATTCGGCTCTTTCGAGAGGTGACTGGTATTTCCAAAGTAGTCGCCGTCCCCGTTCTGCGTGGGTTTTGGTGGTGGAGCGAGGGGCGCATTGGTGGGTGCGGCGTTGACCTCCTTGTGATCGGCGTCGTCTGGTTGCTTGATAGTCGGGACAGACGTTTCTGTTATCCAGTTAGTCATGCGTGGTCGCACTGGGCATGTTGTCGCAACGAGCAGTGACGACGAACCTGGCTTCGCCTCTCCTTCCTTCTTCACTGAATCTAGTGTGCAGTCAGCAATGACGCTTTGCGCGTTAATGCGATCGACTGCGACAGGAGGCATGCCATGATTGCGATGGGAAGCGCGAGAAGGTAGACGATAAGGGCATGGCATGGCATGGCATGGCCGGTCGCAAAGCGACAGCGGAGATGAGTGGACGGCGACATACCTGAATTCTGCAGCGACGTGCGATTCGACCGCGGCGATGCTGTCTGACTCTTGCTGTTGGCATTGAGATGCGGTGAATTGGTAGCGGAGGAGCGTGTTGCAATCGAGGTAGCCATTGCGCCTACGTCACTGGTGATGATGATGATGATGATGTATCTGGGCTCGGCGTGATCGTCTGTTTTGGACTCTCCTTCCTCTCCACCACACTACTCGAACGTGCACAATGTTCCTCTTCTCTACCAGAATGTGTCAGCAATACGATGCACACCACAACACGCAAGCAACGATGCTGGCGACCCGATGCGCCTGCACAGGTCGATGCATTGCGATGCGATGCGGTCAAGGCAAGCGAGCACCTCTGCAGCATGCGACTGCGAGTGGCGACGCATCGCATTGTCGCACGCCGAGCAGCAACGTGCCAACGTGTAAGCACGGCGGCAGCGATTCATTGCAGGACGAGTGTGTGGCTCTCGAATGGAAGACAACGTACCTTGGACCGGAGTCGTCGAGTCTCGTGATGGAATATCAGGCCTGTCGATGGCCTTCGCCTCTGGTGCTGCTTGTGCGTGACGCAATGTCCGATTCAAACCAGGAGGCGCGTCGATGATGCTGCGCTTTCCGCGAAACACCGACTCCAATGGTAATGATTGAGTGAGTGCCAAAAGATTGACCAGTCTTCGATATTGCTCCTCTGGTACGACGGCAACGTGACCGCGCACGCGAAACACCGTCTGCGCTGTGTAGAAAGGCAGGTGTGCTATGACGAAGGAAAGAGCGACCGACGTCATGCGAGGAGGTCTCGCGCTTTTGAGTCTGCCGCGCTGACAAAATTCGTCTGGGCAAGCGTGGGAGCACGGGCCAATTCTTGCCAGCTCGGCACTGGCACGGACGAGACGCGTCCGCTGCACCTCACTCGCCCGTCATTATTTCTTTTTTCTCCATCCCATCTCTTCTCAACAAGCATGAGCGATCGCGTGCTGGGCTTCGTTCCCTCTTTGTCTGCGTGCAAGGTGGCTGATCCTTTGCTGTCCGGACACGCCGGCACGCGACTCCTCAAAGCTTCGAACTTTTGTCACGTGATGCTCGGCATCAGCAGCGCCACCGCTCGCGATCGATCGCCATCGGATCTCGGTCTGAGCAGCACTCGCACTGCCGTCTAGGCGCCGCGTGTTTCTGCCTTAGCTCGCTCTCACAAATCCCACCAGAATTTCTCTCTCTCGCCCGATGGGAAGCAATCACAGTGTTCGCGCACGAGAGTAGTCGATATGCTATCCTTGCAAAACTACGACATTGATAGCATGGATGCGAAGGAGTGTTATGTCATCATCACACATTCATCCTGGCTCGCCGAAATTGTACCGACGAAATGGAAGCAAAGTTCTAGTCTAATCATGCACTCCGGAGACAGCTCCTCATAACTCAGCTTCACCACCACGGAACATCGAGGCATTAGTACTGCTCTGAGCGTCTGATCAGTCTCGTACAGAGACTACCTTGCAGCTCGTAGGCCGAGAGACCAGATGCAGGTTCTCCAAGCTCTTTCGAGCACTGCTTCTCGGCAAAGCGCAACAGGAGGGCACAACAAGTGGGCACTATTTGCCGGAAGCGCTTTGGGCGAAATGATTATCTGTCACGGCAATGCCTGTACCTCAAGATCAACAGGTATGTGAGATGATGGCATATTTTATGAGGCCTCACGAAAGTCGCGGCCTCTACTGCCATTTTAATCGACGCCATAGTTCTCCACAAGAAGGCAAAGCTGTAGACAAACAATTCATGTTGAAAGACTCTTCATCACCTCACTGCATGCGGAAGTGTGAGAGGTTGTTTGTTATATGATGATATGTTAAGCCTCTCACACTGCTACTTAGACTTAGATCTGTATCTCACAAGTCTATCATTTCATCAGGTGTCTGTGCATTTGCATGTGCTGATTGTTGGCGCGGGGCATGCCGAATTCGGACCACCAAGAGACGTCACTGCCCAACTTTTAATGATCAACACTCGACTCACGAAGACTCGACGTTTTCCAACCGAACGGGGTCCGCACCGGACTTGATTTTGGAAAATCAACGGTGCTTCATCATGGCGAAGGGAGGCGGCGAGAACAGCAAGAAGGCACAAGGCCAGGCCAGAAAGGCTGAAGCGGCGCAAAGCAAGAAAGATGCTGAGAACGCAAAGAAGGCAGCTGAAGAGGCCAAGAAGTGGGACAAAGGCGCAAAGGACAACAGCAAAGCGTATGTATGATCTGAGCACTGTCAAAGCTGCGGCGCAAGAGGACAAGAGCTGACAACATGCACACAGAGACGCTGCAGCAGCGAAAGCAGCAGAAGCCGCTCGAAAGAAGGCAGAGAAAGATGCACTCTTGAAGGAGGAAGAAGCCTCGCTCCCTAGCAAAGGCGGAAAAGGCAAAGCCGCACCAGCGAAGAAATCCAGAGGCCTCGATCTCTCGGGCCTCGATGCACCATCTTCTAAGAAAGAGCTCGCACTCAATGCGACTGGTATCGATAACGCTCTTGACGCGTTCTCCCTCGTAACCGACAACAAGGATAAGATCGATCGTCATCCAGAGCGGAGATTCAAGGCTGCATATGCGGCGTATGAGGAAAGAAGGCTGGACGAGATGAAGGATGAGAAGGGTCTCAGGCGGCAGCAGAAAATTGATCAGATCCGCAAAGAGTTTGAGAAGCATCCGGACAATCCGTTCAACCAGGTTGCTGGGACGTATAACATGTCGAAGGAGGAGATGAATGAGCTGAGAGATGGCGAGAAGGCTAAGAAGGAGGCTATGCTTACTGGGCAATGAGCATGGACGTTGATGTCGGATTTTGTGTTGCAGCGAGCACGGCGTCTTCATGAATGGCGCGAAGCTTTCGCACAGGAATCGAGCGATAGTGCTACGGACATGCAATTCGTCATGCTTGCGATGAGATCAGGTCACTTTCTCACCAGGCACGCTCGTCACGAACGAGGGTACGTACGACTGAATGGAATGGAAAGGGCACGGCCGACCTCGGAGAAACTTCTGCGAAAGTCGACAGGCGTTCAGCGGCAATTCCAAGGTCGATCTTCGTCTCATTCACCCGAAAGACTCTTCCACGAGAGAATCATCCGCACCAGGCTCAGCAGTTCCCAATCTCAACCCCTCAATCTCTCTTCACTCAAGACACTGAATCTCCTCCTCTCCATCTCAACCTGCTTCTCACATTCTCCAATCTCCTCCTCCAAAATTCGCATTCTTTCTCCCTCAGAATTCAGCCTAATCCCGCAGCCCGTCAAGCTCATCTCTAAGCTTAAGATTCTCGAACCGCCCAGCCTCCCATTGTCTCTCTGCTGATCATCTCGTCGGCGAAAATCCTACCTCGAAGACATTGTCACCTCTTAATACAGCAAATTCTTCTGCGACGTTATCGTCACTCGGTATGCAGTCGATAGGTGGTGACTTGTCAAGACGACGCTGTCATCATCAAGCTTTTCAAGATCTTCAATGCCCGGCTAAACGTTCCTTGAGAGAGAGGCCTCTGACGAGAGGCTTCACTTCGGCCTATGTAGCTCGGAGGCGGTGTTTAGGCTTGCGTTTTTTTTTGTGACTCTAGAGTATGAATTTTGGCTTCTAAGGTAGATCTATGAATTTTTTTTTTCTGAAAGAGAACGAGTGAGGGAGGTACTCTGGAGCGTGATGCATGCAGGTTCTTGATGTGCTCGAATTTTTCTCCCCCTGGGCTTTTGGTGTTGAGAATTTTTGTTGACTTGTTCGTCGAGGTTCTTGGTTGCGGTGTGTTGTACATGTAGTAGGTCCATTGGGCGCGGCGCAGATGTAAGGTAGTGTAAGAAGGATACTGAGGGGAGCGGTTTATACATGTTTTTTTTTTGGCTTTTGCTTTTGTTTGTTGATATTTATCAGCAGCGAGAGTTTTCTGGATCTCACTTGTGCCGCTCCGCGAAAGCTGGGTCTGTCTGCCAGGCAACCGGCCCAGTCGTAAATTAGCAGATGGGGCTGTGTGACCGAGGGATGGGTAAGGTGGAAAGATATGAGTCTTCGCCAGGCTCACTGCATACATACTTTGTACGCTCCGCGGGAAATCGTGTGATGCCGCACGCTGTCTGCGAGGTGATGAGCTGGGTCATGGATGAGGAGGTGGAGTGGCATAGCGTGGTGATAAGAGAAAGGGAAACATGTTCTTGGCCCATTCACTGCCTACCTCAGAGTATTCATGATTCTTGAGAGCTCATCAATGTTGAGATCTGAACTCTTCGCTTCAACTCGCCCTCCTGACTACGTGTACAGTCGTCATATTGTCAGTCATTCATGTCATATAGTACATACATACCGCCAAAATTCAATGCGTTTCTCTTCTACATCGCATGACTCTCTCCAAAACTTTTACATTTCTCATATACACCACCAGACAAAAGGCTGCAATTACTCGTCCACCTCTTCTTGCACGACCTTCAGCCTCTCACCCTTCCTCGACAAGGATGAAGAGCTCTTCTGCGCCGCAAGCCATCGGTCAAGCGCAGACGCAGTGCTACCAGAAAAGCAAACCGTCAGCGTTCCACAACAGCAAATACACATGCGGGTTGCCTGCCTACTTACTTCTCATCAGGCAAAGAAGTCGCAATCGCACTCTCAAGCGGGCTTGGATCTGCAGACGGCCGGTGGCGTGGGGATGAAAGCTATTGCAAATTAATCAATATATACTACCGTTATCATCCTGTCTGTTGTACAGGCTCATGATGCTGTCGATGGTGTTTCGTATAGGGATGCGTACCTGGACTAGAGGGCTTGCCTGGGCCAAGCTCACCTCTTCTCCGCTGTAAGTGGATACCCAATCATCTTCTTCTTCAAACTCTGTTTCGCACATGCTGGGGATATCCGCTCTCTTGGAAGCGTTGCTGGAATGTAACTGTGATCCTGACTGTACTGTTGACATAGATGTTGAAGATGGTTTGGGGCTCGTAGGTTGTGGTTGAGATAGATCGACGTCGGATCTCGCTGCGTCGTGGGACATGCCGTAGAGAGGGTGTGGAGGCGCATTATCTTTTGGCACTTTGCCGTTGGCCCCAAGCTCGGGCACACCCCGAGGAGGCCGTGGGAAGGCATATCGTGATCGGATGGAGGGCAATGCTGTGGTGGCGTCTGGACTGGGAGGATGCTCGGCTGGGAGCTCAATCGGTTGACAGGGAGATGCAACTGCTGATACCCCATGCTTTGCGAGCTCCGCCGGTGAGTACATTTCGGGATGCTGTGCCATATGTTGGTTTCCAATGTACGTCCAGAACCTGTTGGTCCTTTGCTTTATGCTGGAACCGTTCCCGTTCTGATGTTGGGCAATGAGTTCTGCGAGAGCCATTTTCGAAACATTGTTCTTCTCCGTTTGTGCATCAGGCCACTGCTCTTCGCCACTGCTTCTGTTGTTAAGCAGTGGTGTTCCATTCAATGAGATAGAATCCGCGTCTGAAGACTTGAGGTTCCTGAACGCCGGGTTTCGCAACTGACTCTCGGAACTGCTTCTAACTGGTTTGCGGGAGTTGGGCACCTTGGGTTCTCCCAGGATGATTCTTGGGAACCCGCTGATGGGGAAGCCATCGGGCTCAAGTCCGTCATGCTTTGAAAGGAACAGGTTGATTGTGGTGGCCTTGCTCTCGTTCCGTAGAGGAATGTATACGTTCGGTAGCCCGAAGACGGAGTTCTCGATCATGCCCTTGATGATGGGCTCAGTCAGCGTGAACTTGAAGCAGAAGTCAGACTGGTCGACGTCAGGTTTGACAAGAAAGTACGGCTCGAAACCCTCGACTCGTTTCTCATCTAGAATGCGACCCAATGCGGAAATCTCCGTGCCACCATCCTCAAATCGGCAATGTATCGCTCCTGTGCATATTTGTTCGCTCTTCTCTGCAGTCGCTTTGGACTGCAGCTCGAGGTAGAACGACGATGCAACCAGTCTGTGAGCAACGTTTCGAAGCGCTGCTTGTCGATGGGCTGTCTGGAGGCGCTTCCTCACGTTGACCTGAAGTGACAAAAGATCTGACTTGCCGTCAGCCGCCGGTGGTTCTCGGTCGAGATCTGGGTTGAATCGGATGAATCGTCGACCTCTAGCTTCTGCTCTGTCTCGTACAACGTGATGTCTGAATTGTTGCCACGCAAGCTCAGCATCAAGGACATCATCGGTGCGCTTTGCTCGCCATCTGCCAGACGCTTTCTTGTTGGGCGATTGGGGAGGCGCTGCAGGCACTGCTGCAATAGCTGCAGCCTTTTGGCGATCGGACAGTTTGTGTAGAACGGTGATTCTGTTCTGGCCCGTTCCCAGGCTCAGGAACATATCTGGCTCTCCAGCATCCGGCCAGATAAGCCTCCGCTCTCTGTCGGCAATGAAAGCAGGGTTTGGACTGCGAAGTCCGCCGTCCAGATATGTCTTGCCATGGAACACGAAAGGCTTGAAAAGTGTTGGGCTCGACAAGGAGGCAGCAATTGCTTCATACGTTTTGAGCTCCATCTCAGGGTTGTGCGGTCGCTCAAAGGCATACGCTGGCTTGAGATCTTCAGGTCTCCTGTAGCTGGCAAGCAATATCGTTTCCTGGCCGGTAGCACTTGTCGACGTCAGCGCGACTCGTGTGTTGTTCCGCAGCTTCTCGTTGGAACCAAATAGGTCATCATCGTCAGTGAAGGCTGTCTTCAGGGCTGAGTGCAGAGGCTTTGTCTTGAACTTCGGCCCACTCCCCAAGACCTGTGCGATCTGATTGATGATGGGCACACCTGCAAGTCTCGGAGTGAAGGCGTGATCGCAAAGTGCAGCGAACATGTCGATGATCGAATCAATTGTCCTGTTGCGCAATGACAGCGCTACCGCGATTAGACCGCCTGTACCTGAGCCCATCATGAGATCGAAGAATGATTGGACAGGGAGATGACCACCCAGAGCCTGTTCGATGGCTCTGAGCACCTCGAGCTGAACGATTCCACGAATGCCGCCCCCGTCAAGAGACAGGATGCGAACGCTGGCGCCCGCAGGCTTGAACTTGATCACTGTGGGCTTTGCCCAATTGGTCGCCTCTCGATGAAGTGGACAGCAGGACACTTGAACCGAGGACTTCGATTGCTTTCCGTAAGCCTTGATGCAAGCAGTGCAAAGGACGTGACCACAGGCAAGCGGATGCTCGGGCACATCCATCAAGCAGCAGAAGCAAGTTGCGTGAGAACACATCGAAGATGCAGGTCCGACTGCTTCGAAAAACTGGTTCAAGTACTCGATGTGTAGGTCTAGTGCAATGCGTTCCTCGGGTATAGCTTGCGCATCCACGCTGTGTGAAGCCTGCTCGAGCTCGTACTGGAAGTCTCGATGGATATTGCCAATAGCCGCTCGCAACTGTGCCTTCCACTGCGGTAGAAAAGTTGAGTCGAAGGCGGCCTGATAGTCTCCCGCAGCGATGATGCCGGCCTCGTCTTGGTGCCCTTTCGGCTGATGGCGTGCCTTCACGAGCATGCACTGCCTTGTGCCATCAGCAGAGATGAACGAGCAAGGATAGTGAAGTTCCAGGTATTCTCCCATCGCCCAGTCGAAGAATTTCTCATAGTTTGAGAAAAGCTCGTCGACCCTACCTTTTCGGAAGCGAGCACAATCCAGAAGCACGCACGAAGCCAGCATAACACTCATCTTCTCGAAAATCCATGAGATCCGGCCGTGTTGATGATTTGGTTGCTGGGAGCTGATAGTGGTGCAGAGTTGTAGGATGTGCCCGCCGAAGTCGTTTGGGATCGGGTTTCGCAATAGGGATATTCGCATGAAATTGAATGGTATGTCCAAATGCTTCGTGAAGTGATCGAAGCCACTCTGAAGATACGTGTTGAGTTCATCAGCATTCGTTAGCATTCGCGCTCTGCGCTTATTGCGGAAAGACTCTTCGCAGTTGGACTTGATAATCTGCTGCAGCTTCCCGACCTGTTCATCAATCGTGGTATATCGTGGTTTGCTAGGTATGCGAACGACTTTGAACGAGCTGTAGTATCGCAGAATGAGGTCCTCTACGGAGTAGATATGTTTGCCTAAGCTCCGCCAGTGCTCGGCCAGCTCTCGAAATCGAGGTACGCCCTCAACATAATCCAACGCTCCTTTGACCGAAGACAATAAGCTTTGCGTCGCATAGTTGACGTCCCATGCCTTGTCGTCGACACCAGGATCCGTTCCGTTGAGAGCGACAATGCAATGAGGTAGGGCGGGTTGATTGATCGACTTTTCCAAAGAGCTCGCGCCCCAGTCCAGGAGCTTCGTCAAGACTGCGGATTGGAAAGTCTTCGGGTTACGGAGAACGAATACCACGCAGTCAGAGAATGTGTAGAGCAGGCGTGGGTACAACCTAGTGACGGCGTACTCGCGCTGACGAGCCTCCTCGGTGTTGGCCCATTCGATGGGTCGCGAATAGACGTTTCCAGGGCGTGGCGCATCTGGCTCAGGATTGGTTCGCCGCCTTGCACGGGCTCCAAGTGGCGTACGCTCGCCTCCCTCGAATCCTTCGCAGTCTGCGTAGAGGATTGGTAGTTGCTCTGCATGTGTCGCTGGATCTGCATAGAGATGGACATCTCCCGAAGTCGGCAGAGTATCGTTGACTACACTACCGACCACGGGCGAGGGAAACATGCTCGGATTCTCCGGGTTGGCATTCTGAGAGTCGTGGTTGATCAGCATTTTGATCAATGTTGACTTTCCCGCATTGGTGACTCCGATAAAAGACACAAGCTGCGGATAGCGGTTGGAAGCACTTTCGATGGGAGAGATGCTCGCCATGAGCGTCGCATATCGGCCATAGTCCTCGAAGTTCGGTCTTCCAGTGAGATCTCTGGCAACGCCAAACCATTTTGTTGATTCGTCATCTTCGTGAAGCTTTTGAATCTCGTCGGGATCCCTGGTCGGGTTCAGAATGGCTCTCAGTCGCTTGACAACATGGGGGTCTGTCTTCTCATGAGGCACGCCATCTCTGCCTTTCTTCCTGGGTTTGTGTGGACCTTGACGTCCCCAGCAGTCGCTGAGAGCTACATCAGTACTGTGCCGGGGTTCACATGCACCAAGTCTCAGCATACCTGCAGTAGGAGCTGTCGCAGTCGACGCAGTGCCATACCGGGCGCTGTGGACCATGACAGCGATCGTCTTCGCATTCCTCGGAGGGCTCGTCGTCCTGGTCACTGCTGCAAGACGTGTCGCTGTCGTCGTCGCGGTATTTCGACGCTGTGGTCATAGTGCTCGCTCTCGCAGAGTCGTCTGGAAGGGGCTCATTCGGGCTTCTCCGCCAGATGCTGGCGCTGAAGCGCCGCGTGTCTTCGCACACCCGACACCAACGACGTGTGTAATAAGTTATGCGAGGACTAATAATGAGGGAGAAGATTTGAGAAGCTGGAGGCGTCCGTGCACAGGCGGTGCTGCGATGATGCCCGTTCGGCCTGGTTTCAACCTCTTATAAACTCTGCCTTCACCCTCTCTCCCGCGCTACTATGGATTCAAAGTCGCTTGTCAGTACGGCCCGCAGAGCCGCCTCCTCCGCAGATTGAGCTGGATAGGGGTATTTGTATATAGAAACACGCCAATTGTCCCGTCTATCGTGCTTAACTAGAGGATAATCGTCTATTCGAGCCTCGTACGCGCATTTCTATCGATTTCCACCAAATTCCAGCAATAATAGCGACTAGGTCGACTCGTAGTAATGCTAGTGTGCCTCTAGCGCGATTAGACGACGAGTTAACCGCCTCTGCTAAGTTAAAGAAGAAGGTGTTACAGTCTCTCTAGAAGCCTATTAGTCCGCCGCTAATAAGACGAAGACCTAACTCGACTTAGCAGGCAAAGAGTAGCTCTAAGAGTAGGTCTAGCGCCGGCAAGAAGAGCAAGAAGACTGCCGCAATAGAGCCTAATCCAATCGAGGGCCCCTCGGAAACATAAAGCAAGGAGACCGTAGTACCGCCGGCAGAGGATAACAGTAACGTTATACCTAGCAAAACAGCTGTTTCTTCCTCCGCCTCTATTACTACCTCCTCTTCCTTTAATACGGCGTAGGAGGCTACTACTGCTGCTAGTAGCGTATCCGCTCTTACCGCCGGTAATATTCCTGTTACTGCTCCTAGCTCTTTTAACTCTAATAATAAGCCTAAGATCTTCTACTATACTAGACAATAGACTGTGTTTAATCCGGCTAAGAAGGGTACCGCTCGGTCGCTTACTACGAAGGCAGTAAGCTTCCTTACTACGAGAGACAAAGAGGCATAGGATGGACATACGTAGGCGGCGAAGTTTAGCTAGTTAAATAGCTATTAGCGGCCTTATCGTGTTATAATACGCGCTAGCGCGGACGGCTCGAAGAATGCGTTTGTTAGCGACTAGTACTAAGTAGGCGACGATATCGACGGCGACTTCGTTTATCGATAAGCTCTCGACTGTACGATTAACCTAGTTAAAGCAGGTCGGAAGAAGCCCTTTATTAGTCTCGATTTCTATATAAAGCCTAAGCAACTAGTAGTAGCTAGAAGCCGAGGCAAAGTTAGTAGTAGTAGTAAGAAGTTAAAGAAGAATCCGGACAGCGTTTAAATAAGGAATACTAGCGCTATTATTGCTAAGATTGAGTTAATTAGACGACTAGACTATAAGATATTCAATGAGTGGCTCTATAGCCGCAAGGACTATCCGCAATTTAAGAAGGCAGGCGAGTCTGCTTACTAGCGTAACCGCAGTATAAAGGAAGTTAGCGAGAATCACTTCCCCTAGTACGAAGCCGCCCTCGTAGAGATTTCTAAGGCTATTTAGAAGGGCGAATATATCTAGAATAAGGATAGCTCTTAGCTAGACAGGCTTCTATTAAGGATTGAGATTATGTTAATCTCTCGCAAATTCTAGCTAAAGTATCAAAAAGACACAGTCAAGCGTATACGCTACGCTAGCGAGTCTGACTCCCCTAGAGGTAGAGGTATAGGTAGAAGCGGAATAGCGAAGCTATTCGGGGAGGTTCTCGGCGGAATGCTATACTACTAGAACAACGGCACTAGTGTTATTCCTAGCACTCTATCGAAGACTCCTATCCGTACTCTTGCTAGATACCGCTCTAGCTATAAGGCGCCGTTTAAAGTGCCGTCGGCGGCGAGGTTTCGACTAACTAAGGACTCGACGAAGGAATTTTTCGACTAGGCTAGCTTATAGCCGGCTTTCGCGGAAACAGACTCTCTACGCGCCTATATCGGGGTTTTCGTAGGCATAGGCTAGCACCTCGACAATATCGCTAATATAGACAAGTCTGACTAGCCTAATAAGCTAAAGGAATGGACTAGAATAAGGTTACGTTTAAAAGAAGGTATACGAGAATAGCTAGTAAAGAGGGAAGATAAGATTATCGCCGCGGAAGTAGCCGCTACTAAGGAGGGCGAGACCTAGTCGAATTTAGGCCTTCCTTTAGGCTTCATTCTTTTTATAACTACAACATCTACAACCTTGTAATAAGCGGGAGATTCTTAGTGTAATTACACTCATTTAGCTGCAATTTAGTATGTTAAATTAAATGCGTTAGTTATATAACAAATAGAGCAGCAGGCAAGGCTAGCGTTCGAACTGTTCACTTAGTTCTCTGCCTTCGGGGCTTACCGGCGCTAATAACATTACTCGAAATCGTCGAAATCTATGTCTAATTCTAGCTCTGTTCCTTCCTCGTTAAATACACTACTCTTAAGGCCTTCTAGGTTATCAAGATGCGGCGGCGACGTATTCTAAACGTATTCGAGCTATCGCGACTCTTCTATGTCTAAATCCATTATATTCTAAGCGGCGCTAGCAGTAGTTGCGAAGTGATCCGGATTATAAGGCAAATCGACGCTATTAACGTTATATCTAGCGTTCTTAAAGAGACCTCGCGTACGGCGATCTCTATACTTATAAAGGCACTAGATTAGATACTTCTCAAAGCTCTCGAATAGCACCTGCTTAGAACGGTGCCTTTGGACGGTCTTCTTTAGCAGATTGAATGTCTATTCGATAGGATTCAAATCCGGTAAGTACGGAGGCAGAAACTCGAGATGATAGCCTACGTCTAGTATAGCTTCTTTGACCCTTCTTCTATAGTAAATACTAGCATTATCTATAACAAAGATTATAGGTAGACTATCTTTAAGGCACGGCAGCACTTCGTCGACTAGCTAGGTTTAAAAGCGCTCGCTATTAATCGAACCTTAGTATACGTACGTACACGGCAAATAGCCGTATATAGTAAATGCTAGTAGGACTAACTACCTCACTTCTCGCTTAGTATATTAGTGCTAGATACAAGCTATTCCTTTAGGTAACTATCTATACTTGCGCTAACTAGTCTTCTAATTATAGGCAGTCTCGTCGATAAACACTAATCGATCGACCGGCTACTTTGCGCACCTAATAACCTATAACGCTCGAAGTAATAGGTTCCTTTCCTTTGCCTTAATCTGCTGCCTTTTACGAGTCTAGCCCTATCTCTTCTTTAGTATTATATAGAGCATGCTCGGCTTCAAATCGACACCCTTACTACCCTTATTAACCGGCCGAAGTCGTAGAAACTCGTCTTAAAGAGATTGGATCATTTTAAAGAAGAAGGTGTCCGGTTTATCGTATAGGAGGTTAAAAAGCTACTCTTCTTCTACTACTAGTAAAAGCCTTCTACTACCCTTCTTAGCACTATAATTAGGCAGGTATAACTCTCCAAACAGGCGCCATTTAACCTAATAGCGATACACCGACCTCACGGTTATTGGTACTCGAGTCTAGGCAATTATCTGCTTAGGAGTATAGCCCTTAGCGAAATAGGACTTTAGAAGCTTCTATAGGCTGCTATCGATCTTAGTTGGACGCATAGTGCACGTAACAACACCTCGGAAGGGTCTATACCACTGGAAAACCGTCGACACGATATCTATAAGATGGTGGAGGATTCTATATATAAAACAGAGGACTGAAGGCCAAGAAACCACCAAAAAAGCGGTGTGGTTCCTCTCTCGGAGGTGCAGGGTTCTCCCCGCACCTGACTGACAAGCGACTTTGAATCTATAGTAAGACGGGATCCTGCCGTCTTCGCGCCCGCCCCGCCCCGCCTTACCGAGCGCACCGTACCTGAAGCGAGGCCAGGCCGACACGAAAATGCGCATCAGCAGCTCCAGCACACAGCACAGCGCATACAGTGAAGGCCTTCTTTTACTTCTTTAGTCTTGTTAGCGTGGCGTGGCCGTAACGAGGATGGTTTGGTTTCACCCTCTATCACGCGTGCTGTGTTCCTGCATTGCGCGACTCGTGCTCCTTCCTCCTCGTTGCACATGTTGTACGGGCACTATTAGCATTCGCATTGTTTTGCCCTCCATCCATCTCGTGCGTCTGGATACCTGGGCCGCATGCTGCAGAAGCAAGTCCCTTAAAGCTGAACTTGCGCCCCGAGCGGCGAACCGTCTTGGGCAATGGAGTCTACTTTCCACCAAGATCGTCATCGCATTTGTTACCGTACCTAGTATGCAAAGAGGCCATCGCAGCCATTCCCGAAGTCGCGCGCAAGACCGCACTTCTACGACAATGCCCGCGCTGAGCATGCTGTGATCGCGAAAACGACCAAGCCATCACAGCCGTGGTACTGCACGTCAGATCAGCCGTTCACTGCGATTGCCTTCACAGCGTCGAAGCTACCCTCCAGCTACAGGTACCTTGTTTCATCTTGCTGCAGCTTCGAGGCCATAGCACGTCATGAAACTTATTAGCTACATGTATCGGCTGCAGACGCCACGCATTCCGATGCAGACGATAGAGCTGTGCATCTTTACTGTAGCCGTGCTTCGTGAGCGCCCTCTTATCGCACCACGAGAGCGGCGCATGCACTCGACAAGTAAATTTTCAGCTCCATCAGCCATGGCTTGAGTGTGCGGACCGGGATGTATACAGCTTCACCGGCCTACCGTCGAAAGGAGCCTCGATTGGAAATTTGAGCATAGTATGCGCATCCAGCTTACCGAGACGTGTTTTCGGTGTATCTAGACTGATCTCACCTGCCGTAGACCACTTCACCGATCGATCCATCGCCCTCCACGCGACGCGAATCGCACTGGCTCACCTCTTCACGCTTCTCTCTGCCTCGGCGAATGCGCTCTCGATCTCGTCAGCCAGGAACAGCAGCAATGGCGGGAGGCACGCGCGAATCCCGAACCAGCCTGCTGACAAAAAGTCATGGGAGAACATGCCTGAGTTCATGAATAAAGATGATCTAATTACGCTAATACATATACGAATGTCTGAAGGCTCCAGAACGTTGCGCAAGAAGTTGCTCTTCAAACGTACTAGAGAAAATGGTTTTCAGCTATGGCACGAGCGGATTGAAGCGCCTGTATCTCAGAATGCCAGCAAACACTGCAGGGACCTCAGGGAGCTATGTGGACAGAAAGTACCCACTGCCTTTGGCCATGTGAACAACAACACCGAAAGACCCAAAGCTTTACGAAAACTTAGAGAGCCGTTGAAGCCGCCTCGTCGACAAGGTGTTGACTTGCATGAGTCCCTGTCCACCTTTCCAACATGTCTCTTTACCGCATCCATCCTCTAGGTCCATGCTCCTCTGGTCTACTCTTTCCACTTCATCGCGATTTAATCTTGTCTAAAAGTCTTGGGTCTTTCCGGTCGCAAACTTGAGTGATCGCTGGTCAACGCATCAAGGAGGATAGTGCAATGGATCGTCTTTCCACCTCAGCGGCGGCTTATGAGGAGGCCAGCCTGGCAGCATGCAATGCAATATGCGAAATGCTCGCACATCAGAGCTGATTATTTGGAGCGCCACGAAATCCTTGTGAGCTTAGCTTGCGAATGCATGGGTGAGGAAGCACACATGTTGACGGTGGTCTGCCTCCATCTCAGGCTATTTTCGCTTTGTGCTCGTGACTTCCTTCATGTTCTACGTGCACCGGATCTCGGGTCTTCTTAATATAGTATAGTGTGGAAGGAAGAGCGAGCCTTAGCGAAGCGCCTGAAGACAAACTGCACTAATCGGGCGATTCCTTGCTTGCAACACCTCCTTATAGACTATATATAGATTTACAACTCAACATACAGTATAGATAGGGCTTGGCATATATAGAGGGGGTTCTGTAGCATAGGAAGGCGCAACACATTGTAGATATTTTGAAATTAGCATCGTAAAAGTAAGATCTATAGTCTATTCTAACTATACGGACAGTTTCGGCTTCCCGTTTGTTCTACGAACACCTATGTCGCGATAGACAACAACTATCTTCTAGAACACTCTATCTATACGAGGAACCTTAGAAAGCAATGCTCTAATACCTCTAAGTGTCGCTTTGCCCGTATTTGCTATTATTCACTTATACTCGCTGCCTATCGGTGCCTACCCTTAAAACAGCTATCTCGCTAACTTATCCGTACCTCGATACCTATACGCATACCTAGCAACCTAAAACTTCTTAGACACCTTTAAGACACATCCGCGATCGTATTTAACGTTATGCGCTACCGGAAACCCTAGTATTTAGTGCCTCTATATCGCATCTAGCGTATTAGCTGTCCTATATACTACCGCGATACCGATACTCGAGCGCTGAGACCTACTATTCTAAACAGTACAGACACCCGCTCCGTAGTCTTTACTGCTTCTTAAAGTCGTATACGCTACTACTTAACAGACTCCGACTGTTAAATCTAACACTCGACACTCGATACCTACTCTTCCGATATCTTCTATATCTACTACGATAACGCTTCTACTAACACTTCCGCTAAAACTTCCGCTAACACTTCCTACAGCATATAATAGGCGACCGCAATGCCTAACGCGCTCTCTAACCTATCTACGCGCGATCGCGATAAGGCTAAGAAGGGCAGACTTAATGTCGGCGATGCTAGCGCTAGCGCTAGCGCCGGCGCTAGTAATCGGCGTAGGAAGGAAGGTAATCTAGACGAGGCTAATACCTAGTCGACTAGCAATTAATCGTATAGAACCTTAATAGACTGTCGAGCGTAAGCTAGAGATGCCTACTAATCTAGACGAGGCTAATAAGGCTAGCTAGATAGCCTACTTCGAGGAGCGCTATATTAATATAGACGAGTATAGCCTCGAGGAAGTATAGCTGCTTATATAGAATGCTAGTAGCAATTAATAGGCGATGCTATTCTATCGTCGCATTATCGAGCATAGTCTGCGGCGTATACTAAAGCTAATACATCCTTATCGCGAGCTATTACTAGAACCGACTAAGATACAGCTCGACTGCGTCTATACTATTATCTTCGGGAGATAGGATGTGTTGCTTTTAGCTCGTACTAGCGCTAGCAAAACGATCATTTTCTAGGCCTATACTATGCTTACTAGTTTCGTTATATTGCAAATCGTACTACTTATATGCATCGCTAATAAGCAGAGCGAGGATATAGTAGCCGCTATCCGCTAGTTAGATAAGGAAGAACAAGATCTAATTAAGGTCTGTATTATTACTGCCTAAACAAAGGAGAAGGATCTATCTATGTTTACTAATATTAAAGAAGGCCGATACTAGCATATTATCTATAGTCCCGAGCAAGCAATAAGCACTAAATTCTAGGAAGTCCTACGTACTATCTCGGATCGTCTTAGCCTCTAGGTATAGGACGAGGCGTATATACATCTAAAGTAGAAGGATTTCCGGCTAGATTATAGCGTGCTTTACCTCCTTCGCTAGCTTATAATATAGGATACGACTATTCTCGCCTGCTCTACGACATTAACGAAGGAAACCAAGAAGTATCTGCTTTAGCACGGCCTCCGTCTACAAGGCGATAGCGCATTCGAAACCTAGGTTATCTAGAGCACTATCGATCGTCCAGATACTAAGTACATCTTGCAAACGATACCTTAGGGCTAGATAATAGGGTTCGACTACCTATACTTCGTACTTAAGCATGTAGTAGACGCCGATAGCTTAGCGGTACTACAGAATATCTAGAAGACTATTATCTTTATCGATAGTCGTAAGTAGATCGACAAGGCTCGCGTTACGATATGCTAGTAGCTTATACTCTTAACTAGTAATATTAATAAGGACTCGCCGGCTAAGCAGCATTCTCGGAAGTATACCTAGGATAGAGAGCCGGTAGTACCTAGTAGCTATAGGACTATCTATATGCTCGGCGTTGTCTCTTTTTATACTACGCATATCGCCGACATTAATAAGAATAAGCGGTATAAGGAATTCAAGAAGCCTAAGTCTCAAATCCGTATCCTGTTCGGCACTCTAGCGACTTCTACTAGCGTTAACGTACTAGATGTCGGCTTAGTAATCTAGATTAAGCTTCTAATTACTAAGGATGTCGACGATCTAATATAGAAGTTTAGTCGTACGGCTCGCATTCCTAGCATAGAGGCATTAGTAGTTATGTTCGCACTATATTAGTTGAATGATATAGAGAAGCGTATACTATACGGTTCTAACTACCGCTCGATAGTTCTACGAGACCCGATAGTAGCTAGCGCTAGTGTCGCTAGTGTCGCTAGTGCTAGGCTATACTAAGTATAGGATTATGTTCTAGTACGACTATCTAATCTGCGATATACTACTATTCCTAGTAAGGAATTCGACGTCGATGAGTCTATCTTCGATGCGTATAGCTAGGATAGAGACGAGGAAGACGAGGATGCTATTATAACCGATCTACTAGCAGTGTCTATGCCGCCTCGTCCTGTTCGAACTACTAGCCACCCCTTTTATAATACTATCGTAACAGCAATCGCCGAGAACGCGACTAAGAAGTCCTAGTCTACTAAAGAGATAGGCTAGCGTAACAACATACTAGATATCTAGTTATAGTTATAGAATACGCGCTACTACCCGAACCTAGAATATCGCCGCTGCTTTCGTAATATAATCTTAGAGATATATAGCGAACACGAGTGTACGTATAGTGTTGACAAGGTCGTAGTAGGCACTGCCGATTGCTATAGTATGTATAATCTAGACCTGCTAGATCGACTAGTCTAGGAGGGCTATACTGCTCTAGTAGTTCTAAAGCTACTAACGGCTCCTAATGTTGGATCAACCTAGCACTATACTCTCCTGTTCCTCGAGAGCTTCGTATCTAATATCGTAGAACAGATCTTTCTAGACTAGTACGATAATCGCCTCTTCGGGGTTATCCTATCGACCTTCTTAGTACCCGAGCCTATTCTATAGGATCTATATAATGTCTTTAGTGCTAAGTACGGCCGGACCGAGAATGCATTTCGAACCTATGCCTCTAGTAAGGACTACGATACCCTAATTGAAGAGGCGGATATCTAGGAGCGGGCTATAGAGTTCTATACCTAGTATTAAGCGGAGGCTGATAACCTTCGAGAGATCTAGATAGAAGAAGACCTCCTACTAGAGCTAAATCGCATTATCTTTAGCGTATTTGCTAAGTATAATGTATTCGTTAGAAACAGAGATGCCGAGAAGAAGAAGAAGGCCGAAGAAGCTACTACTACTGCTGCTACCGCCGCCGTAACTCGGACAAGCTAACCTATCGCTAATCGGCCTACTAACTAATAATAGCGCCGTAAGCAGCTATAGAAGAATACACAGAACTCTGCCCGCTCTGCTATCGAGGCTCGTAAGAGGATAGCAGTAAGGAACACTAGAGGCATATAGGATCCAGATTATAAGGAAACCGCGCGTCGCTAAGTAGCAGGAGGCAGCTAAGTAGGGGATAGTAATAGTAGATCAAGCCGTCGGTTAGGCCGTAGCCGTACACTATCGGCTCGAGAGAGAGAGCGTAGGCGTAAGGCTAGCTAGTAGGAAGGTAACGATATAGAAGACTTGCTAATGTTTAGTGTATAATATTCTACGAGAGCATGCCTAGTTGAGCTGCTTCTACGAGAGCTAGCGCTAGAATTAGCCGCTAGAATTGGCACTGGAATTAGCGCTAGAATTAGCACTAGAGCAATTAGCGGTAAAATAGCACTAGAATTAGCACTGGAATTAGTACTGGAATTAGTACTGGAATTGGCACTAGAATTGGCGCTAGAATTGGTATTTAATAAGGCTTCTATTATGTCCTTATAAGCTCGCTGAGTCCTTGTCCTATCCCCGGAAAAGTGAGCCGTAATACTACGCTCGATCGCGTTGCTTCTACGAGAGCTAGTTGAGTTGCTTCTACGAGAGCTAGCGTATAATACTCCTACGAGAGCCGGCGTGTAATATAGGATGCCTAGTTGAGTTGCTTCTACGAGAGCCGGTATATAATATAGGATGCCTAGTTTAGCTACTTCTACGAGAGCTAGCCTAGTTTAGCTGCTTCTGCGAGAGCTAGCCTAGTTTAGCTGCTTCTACGAGAGCTAGCCTAGCGTATAATATAGGATGCCTAGTTGAGTTGCTTCTGCGAGAGCCGGTATATAATATAGGATGCCTAGTTGAGCTACTTCTGCGAGAGCTAGCGCTAGAATTGGCGCTAGAATTGGCATTTAATAAGGTCCTTCCTCACTACCCTTCTATTATGTCCTTGTAAGCTCGCTAAGCAGGCTCTTCTATTATGTCCTCGTAAGCTCGCTAAGTAGGCTCTTCTATTATGTCCTCGTAAGCTCGCTAAGCAGGCTCTTCTATCGTGTCCTTATAAGCTCGCTAAGCAGGCTTTTCTATTGTGTTCTTTACGACGAGGGTTTGTAGATAGTCGTAGGTATCGATAGTCGTATATATCGATAGTATATAAGAGCTAGGCGAGAAGCGTAAATTCGAGGAAGCGATAAGGATACCGAGTCCCGCTAAGACCCCGGATTTAGTATAGCAGAGCGCTTAATTAGTAGGATTAAACGTTATAGCTGCTTCCTTCCGCGTATTTACAATACCGACTTTACGACTTTTACGACTTTTATAACAGCATATTACTAATGTAGCGAGATACGCCGATTGCGCGCATTTCTAGCAAATAGCGCTAACAAAAGTGTCTAACACGATAACGACGGCCGCCTTAGGCACTAAGAACCGCCTCCGAAACCCGAGAAGTTACTAATACTAGCGAGAAGT